TAAAATAAATAAATAAATAAATAAATGCGCGCTACTTCGTGCAATCTCCCGGGAAGAAGAAAGCTCAGTGCCAAGCTGACCGGTACCGTGAAAGAGAAAGCAGACCAGACGTTGAGAAACTCAAAGGAATGGGGCCCGCTGTTTATCGGGGGAGGTTCAGTTGTTCTAAGTTAAAATGTGTGAGGGAGTGAGCCATCAATCAAGATTAAAAAAAAAAAAACCCCATGGACTTTGGGCACCCATCCAACAATGAGAGATGCACTCTCACCCTGGACTCTTGGGGGAGGGTCTAGGCCCTGCCCTGGATGAAATGACAGACTATGGACACCCCCGTTCCCTGGGGAAATGAGGGGATATTGGAGGTGTTGGTGGGAGGGAAAGGGAGGAGGGGAGGGAAAGGGAGAGGGAATTGACATGTGAAGCAATCTTGTTTCTAATTTAAATCTAAATTTAAAAATAAAATATAACAAATAGTAATAATACCAACAATGATAATAAATAAACTAACAGAAAATTGGAAGGTTTTTGCCCCATGGAAGAGAGTAAACATTGGGCTGGTGAGATTGCTCAGTGGTTAAGAGACTGCTCTTCCAGAGGTACTGAGTTCAATGGTGTTTTCTAGAACACTGTATATATAAGAAATAAAAAAACCTTTACATTCCCATCCAAAAGCACATTTCCCGCCCCACCTCAAACGTTCTTGCTGTACAACCTACACGGCTACACACACACACACACACACACACACACACACACACACACACACACACACACACACACACCTATGTGTTTGCCCGAGGCCAAGCGATTGCTAAAATCCTCTGAAAGGTAACCTGCGCTGCTTCAGGTGACTTTAGCCAATATCCCCACGGCAGCCAGGCTAAGACTCATTTCTCCGCAACCCCAGGCGGCCACCGCCTCTATCACACCCCACCCGAGGTTCACCGAGAGAGGTGCGAGCAAGACTTCGGCTCCCAGGGACCCACAGGCTCGAGAGACGGTCACATCCGGGCACCTGCTGAGCCAGCCCCTTCCCTCCCCACACACGAGGGCGGGGTCCGGCCTGACCAATGGAAGCCCTGAGTTCCCGGGACCTCCCAGGTCACGTGCCCAGCGGGCGGGGACCATGTCTCCTACGGTCTCCAAAGCGGGAGATTTGGACGTCGCGTGGGTGAGGGAAGGTCGGCCGCCGCCTCCGCCTCCGAGGGTAAGGAGAGCTCCCGCGGGGGCCCCGGTGCGGCCGCTGGGAATGCTCCGGAAAGCAGACGCCTGAGGCGCCGTTCGTGTGGCCCCCGCCGGGGCGAGATCGCCCACCCAGCTTCTGCCCCGCCTCGCTGGGGGCGGGGGTGGGCGCAGCAGGGATCATGAGGGGCCTGGCGGCCCGGTGGGTTTCCGCCCAGCAAGGTTGCACCAGCTGTGATGAAGTAAACAAGATTCCCAGGGTGGCTTTCCATGAGAATGACCCAGGGGGAGAACTCCGTGATGCCTTCCCGTTACACCCTCCTCTATTATCTTGGGTGTTAGCGTCGGTAAAAAACAAAAACAACAACAACAACAACAAAAAAAACTACCCTCAGCTTTGTGTCCAAGAGCCTGACCGAATTATTCTGTTTCCATTTTTGAACCGTTATCCCGTAGGAGGAAGCAGAGTGGAAGTAAAAAATCTTTAGAAGTAGATTTTTTTAAAAATCTGGGAAATTAGCTACAATTTACAAGTCAATCTTTAAAAAAAAGATGTTTCTGGCCGGAGTGGTGGCTCGCGCCTTTAAATCCCCAGCCCTCGAGAGGCTGGTCTTTGTGAATTTGAGACTCTACCGTAGCTGTGACCTCGTCTCAGAAAGCAACAGAGCAAGCAAGGAAAAAAAAAGTGAATCTTGACTGCAATTATGCCTGTCTGCGCATTCGGTTGGGCTTTAAGTATGAAGCCAGTTTATCTTTGAAACTCAGGTGGGTTCGGATACCCGTTAACTTCAGTGCACCAGGCTGGGCAGATGAAATTCTGACAGCGAGTGTCGTTCAGTAGACTAAGTTCTCCAGAGCACGAATAGCCAATGACTGATGTGGAGGAGGAGGAGGAGGAGGAGGAGGAGGAGGAGGAGGAGGAGGAGGAGGAGGAGGAGGAGGAGGAGGAGGAGGAGGAGGAGGAGGAGGAGGAGGAGGAGGAGGAGGAGGAGGAGGAGGAGGAGGAGGAGGAGGAGGAGGAGGAGGAGGAGGAGGAGGAGGAGAAAGCGGAGGAGGAGGAGGAGGAGGAGGAAGCGGAGGAGGAGGAAGCAGAGGGAGGGAAAGGGAAAGGAGAAAAGAGGCAAAGAGACAGAAAGGAGGAGGGGAACAGTAGCAAAGAAAGCGGGAAAGAGCCTAAGTAGGCAGGGGTCTTTCTTTTACGGGTCCTTTGCACCTGGACTGACCAGGGGAGACTGCCTGAGTGCATTCTGACAGGTGACAGCCACAAGCCAGCATTAATACTTGAATCCTTATAGCCACAAATTGAGTGGGCAAAGAATTGCGCTTTTTTGGTTTGTTTTTAAACTCACTTATATAGTGATATGATCATAATTTTCTAAGACGTGAAAATTTGGGGCTGGAGCCATGTCTCAGTCCTTAAGAACGGGCTCTTTTAGAGGATCTGGGTTTGATTCCAAGCACTCCAATGGCAGCCCTCAGCATGGGTGACCCCTGTCCCAGGAGATCCAAGGGCACCAGGCACACCCATGGTGGTGCACATACACGCATTGCGGACGAAACACTCATGCGCGTAAGTAAAACTTTAAAAAAAGAAACGAAAACTCTAGAATCAATGTAGAGGTGTGATGATTACAAATAGTCTCGGAGATAACCATCGTCACGAAGAGCGGGTGCAGTACCTAACTGGCACCATACGTACCAGCACTTAAGACTCTCAATATTAAAACCAATCTGGATTATGTGTTTTCTCAGTTTAACTGAAAGACTGTAATAACTAAAAATTTCCCTGTTGTTAATCAAAACAATTTTACTGTGGGTTTTTTTAGAAGTGTACTTGTTTTTAAAATTTTTTTAGCAAATTGGGATAGTTAAGGATGTTTACTCTGGGCTGGTGAGATGGGTAAAGACACCCCTGCCAGCAGGCCTGAGGATCTGAGCTTGATGACTAGGGCCCTCCTGGTAGAGATAAAACAGAATACTACAAGTTGTCCCTGTCCCTTGACTTCCACACACCCTGTGGTACAATTGTGTGCACACATGGACGTACACACACACACACACACACACACACACACACTAAATAGAAATGCAACAAACATTTTACGAAAAGAATATTCACTTGATGGTAACAAAAACGGGGTAGATTATAGCCTTCTCTTCTCCTATAGATGAGATCTTTAGTTCCCCCCCCAACCCGACCCCTTTTTTGACACAGGGTTTCTCTCTGTAGCCCTGGGTGTCCTGGAACTCACTCTGTAGACCAGGCTGGCCTCGAACTCAGACGTCAACCTGCCTCTGCTCCTCAAGTGCTGGGATCAAAGGCATGCGCCACCATCACCCAGGCTGTATCTACAAGTCTTCAGACTTCAGAACTTCACGTTATATAAGACAACAGATAAACCACAAAAAAATGAAATAATTACACCAGGCCAAGACCATTTGTATTAAAATATTGTTTAGTTCAATAAAACATTATTAATAAACTGTTATGTGAGATATAAACATCTGACTGACATCCTAATTCCTTGAAACTGTTTGGTTTTTGCATGGTTAGAGATTGAGCCCAGAGCCTTGAGTTGTGTGCTAATAAAGTCCTTTACCACTGAGATATGTCAGCATCCTACATGCTTTATTTATTCAGAGAGTGTCTTACTATGTAACCCAAGCTAGCTTTGAACTCTAAATCCACCCTTCTGATCCTTAGTACTTAGATTAGAGGCATGTATCACAACATCTCTCTCCTTCCAGACATTTTAAATGCCAGAAATATTAAGAACAATTTTATAAGATGAGTAACTTCTGAGATATAACTCCTTAAGTGCTCATGATGTTGGAACCCCCCTGGCATAATTCATTGTTCCAATTGCTTTTTGTTTTGTTCAGTAGATTTGTTGAATTTCCAGTAGTCTGTTGGCCTGCTAGCTTTATTATACTATAATCGCTTTATTCCAAGTGAACTAACTGTTCTAACTTCAGACCTTTTATTTTCTAAGTAAGAGAATGGATATAATTTCCCAAGTCTTTCTCTATTTCTTTTCTAATAGGTTTAAAAACTTTTAATGCCAACCCACAATAATATTGCTTTTTAAAGATGTATTTTTATTTTATGCATATAGGTGTTTTGTTCAAGTGCCTGTCTGTGCACCAGTGCCTTTGGAGGTCAAAACAGGGCTTCGGGTCCCTTGGAATTGGAGTCACAGACAGTTGTGACAGGTGGGTGCTGGTACTCAAACCTGGGTCCTCAGCAAGAGCAGCCAGCGCTCTTAACTGCTGAGTCATCTCTCCAGCCCTCTCTCTCTCTTTTTTTTTTTTTTTTTTTGATTTTACGAGACAGGGTTTCTCTGTTTTGGAGGCTGTCGGTCGAGCCTGGCCTCGAACTCACAGAGATCCACCTGCCTCTACCTCCCGAGTGCTGGGATTAAAGGCGTGCGCCACCAACGCCCGGCTTCTATCTCTTCTTTACAGACTTTTGGCCGTAGTTAAATTCCAAAATCACTTTAGAAACACAATTACCCTGGATAAAATACTGTGTCAGTCTTTGCCACTCCAGCTCTTTTCAACAAAATTATCATATTAAACTTGAACTCACCAACTTGTATGAATTAAATGAAAGAGAAAGTTCAGGAAATTATATAAAAATATACATTATTTCCATATTATATTTTCAAGCACAAAAGTAAATGTTACTTTATACTTTTCACTTTTATCGTTTAGGGCCTTTTGAAAAATAAGTGAACCAAATATTTGTGGTTAAGAGAGATTTTTCTCCTCTTGGCTTTGCTATGTTACCAACATTTAACTTTTGTATTTCTAGATATTGAGCTGTGTGACTTTAAAGGGAAGAGCTATGTTTTCAGCACTCAAATACTATGCAATAGACTATTTACATGAGGTATGATGTTACTGGCTTGCTATCCATTTCCTAAGAATTCTTGTGTTATATGTATCTTAGTGTGTGATAATTTTCAGTAATCCACAGGTTACTCTTTAGTTGCTTGCAGAGTCATTAATTACCTTAGGTTTTTATAGCAATTAAATAGTGTGTGTGTGTGTGTGTGTGTGTGTGTGTGTGTGTGTGTGTGTGTGTGTGTGTACATACTCTCAGCATTGGTGTTAGTAAGTGCCTTTAACCCCTGAGCCATTTCAGCAGCCCCGGTTTCAACTTTTTTGTTTTGTTTTGTTTTTGTTTTTTGAGACAGGGTTTCTCTGTGTAGCCTGTGTAGTCCTGGAACTCACTTTGTAAACCAGGCTGACCTCGAACTTGCAGAGATCTGTCTGCCTATGCCTCCTGAGTGCTGGGATTAAAGGCATGTGCCATCATGCCCCCGCCTTAGTTTCAACTTTTAACATTTCTTTAAAAGTCCACTTTGACTTTTAAATGAAAATAATTGAATCACAAAATAAGTCTGAAACTACCTGAAGAAACAAATGAGACTCTCGGCAAATTTGGAGGGTGTTTATTAACATTCCAAAGTGGCCTTCCTTTAAGAGACCTGGGAAACCGTGGCACATGTCTGTAATCTCAGTACTTGGAAAGCTAAAACAGCAAGGTAAGTTTCAAGTCACCTGGGGCTATATAGTAATACCCATCTCCAAAAAGAAAAAGAAAAAAAGAGCACACGGATAAAAAGAATGGGCACAAAAGTAATCTTAGTCATTGATAAATCAGAAACTTTGTCCATCTAATGGATTATGTCATTTGATCAGTGTTAAGCACCCACACGGCAAATACTATTACTCTACAGGTTTCACAGCTTCACAGTTAGCCAAATAATGTCAAGAAAAGCTAAGTATCTTGGGAAAATGTCAGAGGTGAATTTCAAGTTAAGATATATTGTCTATAACTGTATTTGCAGGAGATAGAGGTCGTGTAATAGTTCATTGTTCTTATGATCTTAAATGACAAGTTAAAATTTCATTTTCATCATTATATTAACCTGTCCCATCTACCAGTGCAAAAATATTACAGTAAACTAAAACTGTTATATTTTATAGGATTAAGAAATATATAGTCATCTTCAGATTTATTCTGTCATAACTGAGAAACACAAATATGTAGCTATAACATATGCTTGGGTTATTGCAAAAAGGCAGATACTGAAAAGTCCTCAAAGATTTGTTCTTATTTGTGGTGCCGTAGTAATGCTGGCATATTACCCTTCATGATGTGATGCTGAGAACTGCCAAATCTTGCAGAAGATGTGAGACTTTACAAAGTTGATGAAGGTGTATTGACAGCCACTCAACTATATAAAGAGCTGGCAAAGTAAAATTGCTTAACAGACAATAGAAAGGAAATGATCTGAATATCCAAGGAGTCAGACATGTCTTACTAATTCATGTCTTCACAAATTATCTCCTTTACGATCAAAGAAAACTAATGCCATCTGTGTCATCCAATATAGTTTATGAGAAAATTATCTCAGAAGCAATTGTAAACAAAATTTATTAGATGTAAATTATTTCTAACAATTTTCTTTTTTAGATGAAGTACTAGTCAAGGTTTTTTTTCTTTCCTATTTGCATGTATCTTTGGTCCTCATTTTATTTAGGTCAGATTAAATGATCTATTATACCATTTATTCTTGGATAATGAAAACCTCTTATTTAACATAACACCTTAAACAACATAAAACATAAACAAAAAATCCTATAATTTTTCCAGGTACATGGAATAATAAATTCCATGGGAAGTTGGAGCCACTGGAGAAGACTTCATGGAGGAGGTGCTGCTTTAGCTGAGAAAGACAGCTATAGAACAGCAGCGTTTTCTTTTTTTTTTTCTCCACAGATTAGACTGCAGTGTTGTGACCACTGAGTGTTAAGGTGGGATGTGGGATGCTAGAGGAGAGACTAGTCTATTTGCCACAAAGTCATGGGAGTTAATGTTGGGAAGATGAGGAGGAGTCAAAGTAGAGCTTGAGTCACAGGTATACTCAAGTAACCTCCTTTCTGTGTTGCTTGTTTGAGACAGGACAAGCAAGTACCAGCTGGCTTGATACTCAGTGTATAGCCCACAATGCCCTCAAACTAAGAATCCTCCTGCCTCAGCCTTCTTCGGGCTGAGATTACAAGAGGCACCACTATGATCACCTTTAATGCCCATTTAAAGGAGAGTTTTCTTATGTTTATTTTTAGACAGTTGCATTATACTGGTCAATAGAAGAAAAAAACACATTGCTAAGTGATGTAATACTTCTTTTTTTGGTCAAGTGTACATATACTTTAGCCTACCATAGAAAAAAATATTTGTAAGGCAACTTGCTGATATTATTCTCAGTTACATGGTTCTTTGACATTTTTATGACAAATGTATCAGTTTTAAAGAAAAGTTATATCAACTTTGACAATAATCTTAATATTAGTAAATGGTATATATTAAAATTATTTTACATTTTCATGCAGAACACAGTTAAAGAAAGGCTTTACAGAGATGCTTTATTGCTTCAGATCCCTTCATGTTTAAATCAAGATAAAAATTTTATTGACGATAAATATAGGCGTCCATGGACAAGAGGTATGTTTTTATGTCTTACAAGTTATTTCTGAGTTCACTGTAGTAAATTAAGAAAATTATGTTATGTGACTTAGTAAAGAAAAGGAAGAGATCTGAGATATGAACAAATTTTGTGTGTCTAAGGCATTGTAGAATATAATATGAACTTTGCTTGCCTATTTATTTTATAAAAACAATAGACTGAATGCTTATGTGCCCTCAAAACCACATGTTAAACTTAAGTCCCATTGTGATTATATTTGGAAGAAAGGACATGAAACTGGAGATTAATGTCCTTGTATAAGATATCCCAAGCACCTCCCTTTCCTTTTTGTCTTGAGGATATAACAAATGAAGTAGAAGAGAATCTCCATCAGATACTGAATCTGCTGGTGTCTTGTTACTGAACTTCCTAACCTACAATTCTGTGGGAAGTAAATGTTCTCAGTTTGAGTCACTTAATCTCTAGTATTTGTGGTATAGCAGCTCAAAGTGGCTAATAAAATTGCAAATATGAGAAACCATTGGACAATTTTAAGAAAAGAAATGAGAGAGCCTAAAAGGTATTTCAGAAAAGGCAATTCTGGTTGTCTAAAAAATGGGAAGGGTTGGGATCTGGGAGTCAAAAGTAGAAACACAAAAGTAGACAGCTCAGTTGGTAAGGATGTTTGTTGCCAAATCTGACAGCCTGAATTTGATCCTTGGGACCCAGGTGATGGGAGATAAGAACTGACTCTGACCTCTACACATGTCATAGCCTTGGAGTTTAGGAAGAAGAGAATGGATTGGGCAACACTTAAGAAATGCTTGTATGATATAAAAGCTTTTTTTGATACAATAAATAAAGACCCAAGGACTGACATTGGGGTTCAAGCTTCAAGCTGAAGATCAGAGAAGCAAAGCAACTGGCCACTAACTCTTACCTCTACCTTAGCTCAGACAAAAAGAGTGATATTCAGACTGTTCCAACTTCACTGCTCCTCAGATTCAATCAGACTGCTATATTCTCCTCATTGTGGTTAGAGACTAATCCTGAGACTGACTACTGAAAACCCTGCTCCTATGTTTTATACCTCTCTAGTGCTGGGATTAAAGGCATGAGCTCTGTTACTCTTTTAGAGTGATTCCATCTCCTGTAGCTCTGGGTGGCCTTGAACTAACAGGTCTGACTACCTCTTAATCCTGAGTCATGGGATTAAAGGTGTATGCTACCAATGCATAGTTTCTATAGCTAACTAGTGTGGCTGGCTTTGCAAACTGATCTCCAGTGGCTTCATTAGATCATAAACAATATATCACCATACTTTTGGGGGGGGGTTGAGACAGGGTTTCTTTGTGTAGCTTTGGAGCCTATCCTGGAACTCACCCTGTAGAAAAGGCTGGCCTCAAACTCACAGATATCTGCCTATCTCTGCCTTCCAAGTGCCGGGATTAAAGGCGTGTGCCACCACTGCCCAGCAAAACCTTTTTTTTTTTTTTGAATACCTTGAAAAGAGCAGTAGGACTTCCAGTAATAAAAGTACTGCCTGTCTGAAGTAAAATTTAAAAATGAGGTAGTACTCAATTCAAATTGGTGGTGACCACCTGCACTCAAGGGGCAGGAGAAGATGAGTCTTTAGAGCGTGCAATGTCTCCAGAACAACTGAAAAGGGACAGGCCTCATCGGAAGATGCTTTTGAAAAGTGGTCTCGTTAAATTGACAAAAAAAAAAAAAAAAAAAGATGGTGGAGTGGGACCTTGCATGTGGTAGAGAGAAGAGAAACTAGAGGCAGCAACAGGGAAGGATGGGGGAGCGCATCTTGTTCAGTGGGGTCAGTCCTAGTCCAGCAAGGAAGCTCAGGCCACTGGGGCTAAGCCCACAGCAAGGAGCCACCACTGCTGCAGCTCACACTGCTTGCCCTGATGGGGGCCAGGGAGGAGGGGTGAGGGCAGGGAGGCCTGCAGTGGCCTGGGGCTAGAGTGCATCTGCCCCCAGATGGGCTGCTCAACTGCAAGGTCATCCTGGCTCTGAGTGACAGCAGGATATCAGAGATGGGTCTTAGCAATAGTTGTGTTTACCGGAAACCTTGAACCAGACCAATGACTCCTTGCAATAATGCATGGAAAGCTGCTTGGGCAAAAAACACTTCCTGCATGACACACAGCAGTTTGCAGTGCCACTTTAAGGGATGAATGTGCGATGGAGAGGTGGGGATGAGGGTGGAATGCAGTGGCATGTATGAAGAGAGGCAAACTAGAGATGCAGCAGCAGCAGCAGGGACAGGTGTGAGAATACCATTGCGGGGTCAGCAGGTGGGGCTGGCAGTGTAGTGTGCAGCAGCCTGAAACTCATGCAGCCTCTGGCCCTGAATGTGCTGCCCAGCCACAAGATCACCTGACTCTGAGCAGCTGCAAAATGCCTGAGATGAAGAACATTTCATTGTTTTGGATTAAGCCTACTTGAAAGACCTCCATCGTCCATGCTGGAGACTACACTGGTGTCGGCGGTCACACTGGGCTAGTGTCCATGATTCGTGTTGCTATGGTCCTGAGTTGCTGCCAGAGGCCATGTGGATGTCTGTGGTCTGGCTCCTACCAGCAGCCATGTTGGCGGCTGTGGCCAGTGCAGCCACCTGAGACCTCTATCGTATTTTTCTGTGAGGCATGGATGAAGATGTAACATCTTCAGAGTAACAAAACTGGGAAGAAGTAACACTGAGTGAAACTCTGTCAGGGATACTATTTTTGGAAGAACGTGCAGTTGCATAATTGCATATTCTGGGGTAATATGGGGTCCCTCTTCTTAAGGAATCAAGGATCTAATCTGAGAAGTAATCTATAGATGCATAAAATTTCAGTAAAAAGCTGTATACAATTAAATAACAGAGTTCTACTGGCCATATTATGGACCTTCAAGGAGAGAACATCAGGATGAACAGGAATGCTTAACGAAGACTTAGCAGGGTTATCTGGGAGCATAGTGGTGTCTAAGCAAAGAGAAGCTGGGAAAGGAGGGTGTTATTGGTATATTCAGACGATACTTTCTTGACAATGATTGAGTTTGGGGGAAGCAGACTATAATGATGAGAATCAAGTATCACTTTGGAAAAGTAATTATATGTGTGAACAAGTAAAGGTAACTCCATAATGAAAACAATGGATATTTGGCTTTCTTATGTTAAGAATAAAAGGACGTTTTAGAAGTTGATGTTGACTGTTCATTTTGGCCTCAGCTATTTCAGTTCCGGAGATGACAGATAATTCGGTCTTGGAACAGTGGCCAGCAAGGTTCTGTGTGGAGGACATTCCTGAGAAGTATGTATCCTTAATCCCACATCCCCTTTATCTATAGAAGGCAGTAAATTCTTCTTCTTAATCCTTAATCCCTTTACCTTCTCACACATTTTCTACTTCAGTCTGAAAAAATAAAACAAACCCTCATTGCAAGCACAAAGAAGAGGCTAGTTGGAAGTTATGTATAGCCTCTTTTCACCCTCCCCTCCTTTACCACAGTTTCATTATTATTCTCTTCACTGACATTACAAAAGATATGCAGAAATTAACTAGTGGCATTATACTTTTAGTCAATATATCTATCTTCTGAGCAAAGCTTGTTATTTTAGTATTAAACTTCCTTTAGTAAAAATTTAGACGTAAGACCACTTTCTGGTATATTTATCAACATTATTTACTATTAGTTCAGTTACCATTCAAATATTTGCATATTTGTGTATGACTATAGGACACAAAACAAAAAAAAGATACAGTTACACCTTCAAGAAACAAAACGGGGCAGAAACTGGCAAGCGAATCATTGCAGTCTCCGTGCAAAGCACACGGCAGAAGTAGGTGCAACGATAGGGAAGACGGCGCTGTTTGCAGTGTCAGTGCAGAAACCACACTTCTCAGTACCAACCCAAAGAAGCCATTGCTTACTTCATATGGAATGGGCATCAGACTTTTGTTATTATTCATACTTTCAAGTTTTTACAATTTAAATGTCTCTTAATTCCAATAAAAATAAACAGCAAAACCCCCACCACATTAAATTGTGTCTACACTCTTGATTAAGTGAACCCAAATATTCTGTTTGCATCATCTAGGAATTTACTAGTCAAGTTAAGAATATGATATAAACACTTAGAAAAATTAACTTGTCAAAATAGAAGATGAGTAATGTGAGCTCTGCGATAGGACATAAGGCCAGTAGGACATGTTGACCACAGTCCCCTGAGCAGTGAGGAAACTGGAAGGTGCAGTGTATTCAGTTCTGTGCACTGTGAGTTAAGAGATGAAAAACTCAAGTGCTAACAGCTTACCCCTCACTCACTTTCATCATTGGTGTGCTGACAATGGACCAGTGCGTCTTGTATATGTGGATCTCCTGAGAATCTCAGTAAAATGCAACTTGTGATGAGCCAGTGTGTGTTGGGGCCTGAGATTCTACATTTTAAAAACTGTCCTAGGAGGAGTGGGGGGGGCAGAGGGTTTGGAAGGAAAGGAGGAAGGAGGGGGAACTGGGATTGGAATGTAAAAAATTAATGTTAAAAATGAACAACAACAAAAAAGAGCAGAGGGAAATAAATTCATAAATGCTTAACTGGTAAAAACCAAACAAACAAAAACCCCAAAAAGCTGTCCCTAGATGTTCATGCTGCTGGTCTAAGGATGGCTGAGATCTTTGTTCAGTTAACATGGTAGGCCTATGCATTTAAAGTAGGAGAGATCAACTTCACAAAAAGGCAGGAGTTGAGCTTGGGCTTGGCATTGAGGACATGCCTCCTTGACAGGAAATATTTGGGTCAGAGAATAAAACATGCCTGAAGGCATGGCAGGGAGTGGGGTGGGCAGTCACCAACCTAGCAAGAGCTGCAGCTATAGGGACAGACTGTCCAATAAACACAGCTGTAGTTTTGATTTACATTTTCCTGATGGCTACTTATCTTAGGCATTTTTTCATGTAGTTGGCCATTAGTGTGCATTTATAGAATGTCTAGTTGAGTTTTTAGCTTATTTTTCTAAATTGGGTCTTGATTGCAGAACAGAATATAATAGTTTGGATAATGATATTGAGGAGCAGACATTGAATATAAATAAAGTACAAGGGCAGTTTGGCAGTATGTGGTTTGTATCCAGATTTCATTTATTTTTATCCTAAATAATAGTCCAATAGTCTACTGTGTGGATATGTCACATTTTACTTACCCATCCATTAATAAGGACATTAAGGTTGTTTGTGCTTCTTGCAATTATGAGTAATTCTGCTGTTAACATTCATATACACATTTTTGTGTAAACAGTTATCTAGGATTGGAATTACTGGGTCATACAGTAACTCATGTTTAACTGTTTGAGGAACTGCCAGGTATGCTATTTATACTCCCACAAAGTGTGATAAAGCTTACAATTTATTCATATCCTTGCTAATACTTTATCATATAGTTAAGAGGATAACACAAAAATAACTATAGGGTTGAGATCAGCAGGAAGTCATTGCCTCCCCACCTTAAAGAAACATAACCTTTAGTGGATGTGTACTGTCACTTCCAAACTGGTTCAGCAGAGAAGGGTTCCAGAGGAGTAATGTTCCAACCTGTTTCTCTCCTACCTCTGATCTCCCACCAAGACTTTCTGGTGGTTGATCTCAGCTAGAAACCAGAGGGACAAAAGCCTACTTTTAAGTGTTCTGTGTATATTCCAAGATACAAATCCTCCATCAGGTATGTGGCTTGCAAATACATTTGTCCTGTGGCTTGTCTTTTCTCTTTCCTGATGGTATCTTTTGGAGCATACTTTGAAACTTTAATATAATTCAACTTGAGTATTTTTGTCATCATGAGTGAATTTAAAAATTATATATAAGAAAAATTTACATGCTGTAACATCCTAAGAATCTTCTCTTCTTCTAAGAATTTGCACTACTCTCAAGCTCCCTATTGGCTTTCCAATGCAGAATAGTTGGTCTTGAAACCTATACACAGAAACAACAAAAATGGACTCAGCATAGTGTGTGTGTGTAACAAACATATTCAAAGAAAAAGAGGCTATTAACCTGAGAGTTGGGGACATGAGAGGAGCTGGTGTGTGGAAAGGGAGAGGAAGTGATATACTTGTATTTCAATTAAAAACATTTTTGAAAAAACAAATCAGATTATGAAATACCCTACCTCTAACCCACAAATAGTATCCCAAACAGACCACAATCCTAATTACTTACCATGTCTTACAAAGCCCACAGGGAATTGGCCTCTGCCTGTCTGACTACTCTATTCCAGTTACTCTGACCTTACTCTTTTTTCTTAGAATCTACCAAGTTTGTTTCCTGCCTCAGGACTTTATGGCTCACTTCCCATCATTATTCAGGTAGCTGCCAAAATAGCTCCTCCATGAGCCTTTCATGGGCTGCATTCTCTAAGCATACCAACCTTATGGGTGTTACTTGATGTCTGCCTATCTTGCTATGCTAGAAATATTTCGGCTTTCACCAGCGGCATTATTTATTGAGTTGATCATCTTCCCTTGAGCGGATGAGCTTTGTGGGAACAAGACTTTGTTTCCTAGTGCAGTGCTAGTACCAAGATTAGAGTCATTACATTGTAGTATTTGACAAACATTTTAAAGGAATTAATGAATGGGGTGAGCAAAAAAAAAGAATGATAATCAAAAACATTGCCAATAGGAGATCTCAAAAATGCCAGTATTTATGGGTTAGGCGAAGGAGGAGGTTCCAGAGGAAAGAGACAAATACTGCTGGGAAAGGAGAAACAAGGAGGACCAGGAAAAATTGATCTTCATGTCATTGGTATCAAGAGAGTTAACTGGGTGTTTTACCAAGTACTGATTGTGCCAGTGACACTTTTTTTAAGACACTAAACTAAATTCAGAAGTCAATGAAGGTCCACATATAAAACAATATTCTCAATAAGTAATACAGATATGGCGTTGTTAAACTATTCTTGTATCTTATATTTTCTTCCAAAGTAAAGAAGTAATTTTAGAGAGTTTTTTCTTTGATTTTTCCCTTTTATTGAAAATGGATTTTTTCACATACTATATTCTTATTATGAATTCCCTTCCCTCTACTCTTCCCAATTCCTCTCACCCTCCCCTCCCATCCAGCTCTACCTGCTTGCTTTCTCTCATTAGAAGACAAGCAGGCTTCTAAGGGATTATATTAAAATAAGACAAAACATAAACTAGCACATTGGGATTGAATAAAACAAACGGAATACAAGTCCAAGAGAAGGCACAAGAAACAGAAACCCTCTTGTTCACACATTCAGGAATTCCACAAAAACACTAAATGGGAAGCCATAATATATATGGATATATATATCCATATATATAGAGAGTATACATATATGTTATATATGGTAAAAAAGAGATGACTATATATAATAAAAATAAGATTAAAAAATTTAAAAAAGAAAAAACCTTGACATGATATTGCAAGACAATGAACCTCCAAAGATGCCAGTGAGTTTGTTTCCTGTTGGCCTTCTACTGCTGGGTATGCAGCCTACCCCTTAAGAGTGGTTTGTTTTCCTAGTGAGACTCCCTTAGGGCAAACTCAATTTTCAGTTGCAAATGGTTATAAATTGGAGACTACTTTCAGATTGGGGATGGGGAAAGGCATCCACTTCTCATTTCAGCTGTAGGGCCCCATCTGTCACGGATCCATGCAAGCCCTGTGCAGGCTGCCTCAGTCTCTGCATCCATATGCTCATTGATATGCTGATTTACCTGGCTTTTTTGTTTGTCTTCCATCCTTTCTGGCTCATACACTCTTTCTGCCTTCTCTTCCACAGAGTTCACTGAGCCCTGAGAGGAGGGATTTGATGCAGACACCTGTTTAGTTCCAAAGTCTCCCACTCTCTGCCTAATGCCTATCTGTGGGTCTCTGTATTTGTTCCCATCTGCTGCAGAGAAAGCTTCTCTAGTGATCTAGCAATGGCTAAACAAAGCACTGATCTATGAGTGTAGCAGAATGCCATTAGGAGGCACTTTTTTTTTTTATGGAGATGAGTTTTATTGTAGATACAAGGGAGAAAGCAGGCAGAGGGAAGAATCCAGGCTGGTCATGGTTGGCAGACTCAACCAGACCATGAGAGGAGATGGGGAGGGAGAGCAAGAGAGGAGCTGCCTACTAAGAGAGGTGGCCTGGGCCAAGAGACCAGCATCCATTAGGAGGCACTTTATGGCCGTGCTTTTGTTTTTAGAATAATAGTATTTGGTTTTATCCTAGGTTCCAGGGATGTCTAGGTTCAGGTTTTTGGTCACTCAAGCAGTATTGGGTGTGGGTTCCATCGTGTGGAGTGGGACCTAAGTCAAATCAGATATCGGTTGGATACTCCATCTAGCTATGTACCACCGTTGCACTAGCAAATGTTTCAGGCAGGACCTGCAGCAAAGAGTTTGTGGCTCGGTTGGTGTTTACATTTCTCCTTTGGTAATGTGCAGAATACCTTTCTATACCAAAGACTTTACAGTTGTGCATAGGCACCAGCCCAACTTCCCCGTGTTCAATGGGTTGGGTAGGTGTTGTCTTCAAAAAATGAGGCCTTGCTGTCAGTTTGTGGAGAGCAACCTATCATCTTGGAAACAGCCTGGGTTGTTTGGAGATTCACATGGAACCCCTTTGGCCAACAACTCAATTATGTGTAACCCAGTCCTAGAACTGGAAGCTTCATTTGGTGACAAGAGATAGCGAGATGTGGCTTTGCCTCCTCTATTACTTGGTGATTTCAGTTACATCACCTTAATATATTTTAGGAAGCTTATACTATATTGTTGCTAAACTGCCCCTCAAATGGCTCTTAATTTTAGCTATCTCTCCTTGTATTTCCTCCCTCATCCCTCTTTTTCCCCCTTCCCTTTCCCACTTAATCTCATTCCAGCCTCCATTTCACCCATCCACAATTGTCTATTCTATTTCCCAGTCCCCTACTGTAAGCCTAACCTTTGTGGTTCTAAAGATTGTAGCTTAGTTATTATTGACTTAATGGCTAATATTCACATAGAAGCAAATACCTACACTGTATTTGTCTTTCTGGGTCTGGGTGACCTCACTCAGGACGATTTCTTCATGTCCTATCCATTTACCTGTGGTTTCCAGTTTCTGGCTGCTATGAATAGAGCAGCAATGAGCATGGTTGAGCAAGTGTTTCTGTGGTGGGATGGCATTTCATGTGTCCTTTGGGTAGATGCCCAAGAGTGATACAGCTGGATCTTGAGGTAGATCAATTTCCATCTTCCTGAGGAAACTACCACACTGGCTTGCGAAGTGTCTGTACAAGTTTACACTCCCATCAGTCATGGATGAGTATTTCCCTTGCTCCACAGCCTCACCAACATGAGCTGTCACTTGTATTATTGACCTTAGCCATTCTGATGAGTGTAAGATGAAGCCTCCAAGTAGATTTGATTTACATTGCAAGTATGTCCTTATGGTTCTTTGGATTTCCAAGGTGTATAATTTTGTTAATTTGGATATCCTGTCTCTGCTTTTTAATTAATTTGGATAAAGGTTTGTCTGTATTAACAAATTTCTCCAAGAACCAACTCTTTGTTTCATTGTATTTTCTTTTTCTTGTGTGTTTCTATTTTACTGACTTAAGCCCATAGTTTGATTATTTCTTACTGTCTACTCCTTTGGGGTATGATTTCTTTTTGTCCTAGAGCTTCCAGGTGTGCAGCTAAGTTACTATGAGATCTCTCCCATATATATATAAATATATATAATTCTTGCCTCTTAAAACTGTTTTCATTGTGTCCTTTAAGTTTGTGTCCTTCAAGTGTATTCATTTTCATTCAATCCTAGGAAGTCTTCACTTTCATAATTTCTGTCTCAACCAGTTTTTCATTCAGTAGTAAGTTGTTCAGTTTCCATGAATTTGTAAGCATTCTGTTTCTATTGTTTATATCCAGCATGTGTGTTCAATTTTGGAGACAGTTCTATGAAGTACTGAGAAGAAGGTGTACTTTTGTGTTTGGGTGAAATGTTCTGTAAATAAGTGGTGATTGAAGGTTTTACTGAGTATAGTAGTATGGTCTGACATCTGTGGTCCCTTAGAGACTGTGTAGAACATCTGTCCAGGCCCTTCTGGCTTTTAGAGTCTCCATTCAGAAGTCAGGTGTGAGTCTAATAGGTCTGCCTTTATATGTTACTTGGTCTTTTTTCCCTTGTAGCTTTTAATAGTCTTTCTTTTTTCTGTATGTTTATGTTTTGATTATTATGTGCCAAGGGGGCTTTCTTTTCTGGTCCAGTCTATTTGATGTTCTTTATGCTTCTTGTACTGTATTAATAGGCATCTCCTTCTTTTGGTTAGGAAAATTTTCTCCTATGATTTTGCCGAAAATATTTTCTGTGCCTTTGACCTGGATTTCTTCTCCTTCCTCTATTCCTATTATTCTTATATTTGGTCTTTTCATTGTGTCCCAGATTTTCTGGATGTTTTGTGACAAGAATTTTTTTTAAGATTTAGCATTTTATTTTATCAAGGTATCCATTTCTTTTATTGTGTCTTCAGTGTCTTAGATTTTCTCTTCCATCTGTTGGTGAGGTTTGCCTTTTGAGGTTCCCATTTAAGTTCCTAAATTTTTCATTTCCAGATTTCCCTCAGTCTGGGTTTTCTTTATTGATTCTATTTCCAGTTTCAGGTCTTGTTTTGTTCATTTCCTTCCACTGTTTGTGTTTTCATAGATTTCTTTAAGGGATTCACTCATTTCCTCTTTAGGAGCTCTGCCATAGTAATGAAAGCTGTTTTAGGATCCCTGTCTTATGCTTTGGCTATGTTAGAATACACAGGACCTACTGTGGTAGGGTTGCTGGGCTCTAGTGGAGACATATTATTCTGGATGTTATTGATTTTTTTTTTTTATTCTCATGTCTGGGCATCTGGGTTTGGGAAGATTGTAATTCTTGGTGCTGATATCTGGTCTTGTCTATGTTGGGTAGGTGTCTTGCTCCTGGTTTTCTGATGCCCTCTCTGGTTCTTAAGAGAATGTAGTGGCTGTGGGTTGCCTGGTAGAGAATTCTGGGATCAAGATAGGTGTGGCCACTGGGAGTTCCAGGTAAAATGTATTTCTAGGTATTGGTTGCTGACACTTAGGAATGGGCATGGACTGGAGTGAGGTAGAATTGAGGGAATCTACAGGAGGGAGGAAAGCAGAGTGCTTAGTCCCTTGGCAATAAGGGCAAAGAATGAGCTTAGTCCCCTGGCAATAAGAGTCGGGGAGAGGTGAAGATGTGTAGTTAGCCTACTTGTTTCTTTGGCCTGAGTGGCCTCAAGGCTCCAGGGAGTGTCTGCTGGAGTTGGAGACTGCAGGTGGTCTGCTACAGAGCTGGGGATAAAACGGGAGGGGGGGGAAGGAAGTGTCCCTTGGCTGTAGTGGCCTGTGGGTTCCCAGGGAGTACCTGCTTGGAGTTGGGGGCTGGGATAAAACAATGGGGTAGGGGTTTAGGAGGGGAAGATATGTGTGATAGTAAAAAACAGACGTTGAATATAAAATATGATGGAAATCTGACAGTGAGTGGCAAAAGTTACTAACAAATAAAAATGAACCTATGTAACTTCTCTAAAACTTCTGTTTTAGAGAAGTGTATTTTGAGAAATTGATGAGATAAGCATACAAAAATGGTACTTGCATTATTGGTCATAATAACAGTCACAGGAAACTTCAATTTCCAGGAAGGGAGAACTGGTTAAGTAAATGGCCGTTAATACTAAATATGGTAGCTTTCAATCACTTTAACAGAGTACTTGACATAATTATCTTAGAAAAGATTTATTTTGGTTTGCAGTTTTAGATTTTCCGAGCATGAGCAATTGATTTGGGCCTGTGGTGAGCCAGCACATGATGGCGGGAGCACATGGCAGACCAAAAGTGCTCAGCTCATGGACCAGAGGTAGAGAGTAAAAAGAAAGGAACAGAGTCCCATTATCCCATCTAAGGACATACTTCTAGTGTTCCAAACACTTCCCAACCAGTCCTATCTTTTATAAGCTCTGCGACCTCCCAATAGTGCCATTCAGTGAGCCAAGCCTTTAATACATTGGCCATTAGGAAGTTATGTAAGATCCTAAATACAGCAGTGATAAATGGAATTCTGTCCTTCCACTCAAACAGAAAGTCAATCAAATAGAAAGTCAGTGGTTACCATAGAATAGTCCCATTATTCATAGCTCAGTAGGCAATGGAATACGTATGTGAATACTGTGTAATTAGGAATTTATGTAATTTTGTATTCCTTTCAAGTGGGGTTACAGATAACTTTTGGCAAGATTTGGCAGATTTTCTATGGTGAATACAAACTGTTTACTAATAAAAGTGTTTTCAAATAGATAAAATCAATTTTATGTCACAGAAAGACAGTTACAGGAATGATGATTAATGGCACATTTGAGGAAATTGTTCCAAGTTCCAATCCCAACTCTCCAACTGGGATAGAGAATATCAGCTCGTTCCTCAGGAAGGACTACAGAGAAGACTTTACACCTATCAAGTGCTCCCCACACTACCCGGGAGTGAAAGCGGAGCACCAAGGTAGGAAGTGGTGAAACGTTTCCACTAACATATATCGCTTCATTTCTATTGCTCAGTTGTTGTTTGTTTGTTTGTTTTTGTTTTGGGGGGGGATAGGGTTTCTCTGTGTAGCTTTGGAGCCTGTCCTGGAACTAGCTCTTGTAGACCAGGCTGGTATCAAACTCACAGAGATCCACTGCCTCTGCCTCCCAAGTGCTGGGACTAAAGGCGTGCGCCACCACCACTCAGCTTCTCGGTTGTATTTTAAATATCTTTATTAAAAATATCTGCCTACATGATTGTAAATCTGAGTTTTGCCATGATAACAATATTTTCTCTTTCATACTATTATACTCTTCACAAATGGATTTCTTTTAGTTTAAGTTTGCTGAAACTCAAAAGAGTTTCATGTAAAGACTTGATCACAGTGTGTTCCAGCATCCAGATCTCATGGTACAGAAGTGTAGTGGGCTGTTAAGTTTTGGATTCTAAAGTTATACCCATATGTTATTTTCTCAAAACATCCTAAAGATATCTAATATGTGTAAAAGCAAAGTTCAAATCATAGATGGGGTTGTGGTCAGACTGGGCCAAGAAGTGTCCCAGTTTTTAAAAAGTTATTGACAGTATCAACTAAAATTATGTTTTATCCAGACTGTTTTCCAAATCTCTGTAGCAAGCCAAGTTCTTCAAACCTTGCTGAGAACTGGCTTTCTTGTATTATAATGGCCTATTCTGTGTTTAATGACAAAACTTGAAGGTCTGTTATGTAATCACTCCTGCTATTTAAGAAATGTTATAGCCAGGAGTGGTAGTGCACACCTTTAATCCCAGCACTCGGAGGCAGAGGCTGGTGAATCTCTGTAAGTTTGAGGCCAGCCTGATCTACAAAGTAAGTCCCAGGATAGCCAGGGCTGCAAAGAGAAACCCTGGCTTGAAAAAAGGGAGGGGAAAAAGGTATAGCTTGAGCATGAAAAAGATAACTAGATTACTTAACTGTTTTTATGTGATGCAGTTTGGGGAAAGTTGTTAAAGTTTAGGGGTAAATTATGGTGGTTTTTTGTTTGTTTGTTTATTTACTTATTTATTGTTTTTTCCAGACAGGGTTTCTCTGTATTGTTTTGGAGGCTGTCCTGGAACTCACTCTGTAGACCAGGCTGGCCTGGAACTCACAGGGATCCGCCTGCCTCTGCCTCCCGAGTGCTGGAATTAAAGGCATGCGCCACCAACGCCCGGCCATGGTTTTATTTTTCTTCTATAATTTTTCTTGATTTATTAATAAAACTTCTTGTAAAATTTTGTGGAGATGAAAAGATTTTTATAATAAATTGTATGTGTACATAAAGATGATTTATAAAAACTAACAGGCTAAACACAGGGCTGTTATTATTCTTGTGGGAAACTATAAACTATTGTTGAATAAAATCAATTAACTAAGGGACAATAATGCTTAACTTGTTTTCTTTTCATGTCCTATATCATACACGTCACTTTATTATCTTTGTAATCTAATATGTTTTTATAGTTTTATATGTTGCTAATTTCAAAGATGTACATGGATATATACTCTCATTCCCAGTCATTTTACTGAGGTTAATCTTGGAGATAGAAGTATTTCACATGATTTTGTTCTTAGCTTTACCACTGCTGGTATAATATAAGCATACCTTATCATCACTGGATACATTATTGATGTTATTGTGGTAATGCACATAAGCCAATGTGATGGAGAAAATGTATATTTTACTTGCCTTTTTAAAAGTTATTAGTGTAAGGTGGCTCCGTGGCTTAGTTGGCTAAAGCGCCTGTCTCATAAAAGTTATTAGTGTGTATTGGCTATTTGTATGTTTCTTTTGTGAAATGATTCTCTTTTTCCACTTGCATGTATTTTTACATGTAAAGACACCAATAATTCCAAATTCATTTAACTTTAATCTCATCAGTTCTGTTTTCTTTTATAGATTCTTGTGTTCCATTTGTGCTTAGAAAAAAATTCCCTTTATTTATATTTGCTATATAACTTTCCTTTATTTAAGGTGTTTGCTTTGAGACAGGGTCTTGCTGTGTAACCCTGGCTGCTCTAGAACTCAGTTTGTAGACCAGGCTGACTTTAAACTCACAAAAAATCTACCTGCCTCTGCCTCCTGAGTACTAGGATTTTCATGCGTGTGCCACGGCACCCACTAATTTTGTAATGTTTTATATAATTTTACTTCAGATATTTTTATGCTTAAAAATAGGGACTCTTAAGAAACATTTTGTCATTTGCCCCAATATCACTTAGCTAAGAGTCTTTCCCACTAGAAATGCCGCTGATACTAAATGTTCGTTTCCAGTTTAATTCAGGGTTTTCTGTTGTTTTGTCTGTTGTGTTAGTGTCACATAATTTGAACTCTTAGAGCCCAAGACATGTGTTAACAGATTCTTGTTATTTTCCCCAACTTCATATGTTTGTCTAGATTTACTTTCCCTAAATGATTCAAATCACACCTCTTGAAAGATTAGTGTTAACGTTGTTAGATATTTGGTTAGTTTTCCCAGTTAGGGATGGGGTAGGAGTGGGGAATGGTTTGTCTTGCCTTTCTTCAATTTTTTAAAAGATTTTCAACGGTTAACCACTAGGAAATCATTATTTCAATAATTCATACACAACCTTAAGGAACTCTTACCATTTTAATCTAGTTAATTGGGTTTTCAAAGTGGATAAAAGTTTCACAAAAATAGTCCTGTCTTCTTTCTTGTCACTAAGCCTCTTTTCCTGCTTCTTTCATAACTAACAAGATTTGCATTTCTTGTCTACAACAGAGTAAAAAGTAGTTGCTATGAAGTAAGAACTCTGGGGAATACAGAACAGCCATAGTTGTACAACTATGGAAGCCAACATGCCTTAGTGAAAACAGTGCCTTTGTCTAGCAGCATTAGTTGTGGTGAGATGCTGACATCTAGTGGCTGCATCAAAAATGGTAGTTGAATCTTGATGCTTGGAAAACAAGACTTCATCAGTGACATGACATGTCCCTGTACAGTAGAAATATCAGAATGTGGAGCTTGTGATTAGAAGAGTAATAAGGCGATGGGGGATATAAACACTGATGTTTTCACTCTCCACATGACTTCATCAGCATTGGCAGGATGGCTGAATTATATGTACAAACAGCCCTTAATTTTCTCAGATAAGCCCTGCTTTGATGTGGACTTGGTTGAGGGGCTTTCAGCAGTGTCTCATGGAGAGCTGCTAGTCATGAGATTGGCAGGAATTTAAATGGTTTGGACAGTCTCTCAGGAGGCCAGTTTTTATCACATGTTCAGCATAGGTAAGGGGTGCTCCCTGGGTGCTTCTTTTATGTCACATAATGACTGGGCACGTGTATCACTTATATGTTTGTCCATAAGAGACATCACTACCTGAAAACTGCATTCTATTCCTCTTCTGAGACCCACTGCCACCATTTAACTGAAAGGCCTAGAACAGATGAATTATCCATTCTCCACACCCAAGGCAGCTTTTATGTTGACTTTCTGAGTGCTTCCTTCTCTAAGCATACATTTTCTTTTCTCTTCCCACTAAGAGGGGGCAAGTTTAGTGTTCCCTTCCATAGCTCAGAAACTCATACAACTAACCAAGATTCTAAAGTAACACACACATAGAAGCTTGGAATAGAAAGGGAATTTTAGTTCATCAGTTGACTATTATCAGTGGTGATTTAAGTATGTAAAGGATGTCACAGTTTCCAGGTAAATATCTCAGTATATAGTTTTCATTATAATTAATTGTGTAGCAGCCTTGTATGGATAACTTTATAATGATGATGTCAGTGACTTTATATGTGGCTCTCTAGACCATATTCATTCATTATATGTCCTTACAGATTAAATGATCCAGAAAATGGAAAGCCAGACTCAGCCAGAGTTCAGTACTTTTATTTCTTTAAATTTTTGGTACTATTTTGAAATAGAAAATATTTCCCTCCATTTATTAAGCCAGTGTCTGTTGATATATGTCATTATAATACTACTCTTTCAGAACATTTGTCTCTATCTCCAATGTGCTAAATAATACTACATTTTGCTGAGCTTTTTTCCTATATTCTGTGTTTTATATACACAGTATAGTGGAGAACTAAATAATTTCTGTGTGTTTGAAAAATCCATTAATATATAATGTCTAGATCTCTTGTATGACTATTAGATATTTAATTCCTTATTTCTTTTCAGGATTACTTATTGATGAGGAAATGGTTTTTATAAATAAAGCATTGGACAATCATCTACCAACTGTGGATACTCTCTTGAGTAGACTAAAACTCTATCTTGTTAAGGATCCGCTTTTAGATTTCAAAGAACAACTCTCTGGAAAGGATAATTTCACGTATGTAATTGTCTGATACTGTAACTGCTTTAATATGAGATCATTCTTTTTACACCCACAGGTTTAGATGCTGTTGGTAAGGGTTCCAACCAACATCTCAACTTGCATGTTAGTCTTTGTGTGTTTGATTGACAATATTTGTTAAATGATTTTAGTAAGCATTAATTAATCTTGTTTGATTTTTTATTTAAGGGAGTGTTTCTCTGTTCGAGAACGTTTGGAACCTTTTGTGAGAGATGATTTCCATATGGCTGAGGAGACCTTTTGTAAGAAGAAGCTAGTATGTTTCAATAGAATCTTAACACTTGTTTTCAGTAATGTATTTATAGAAGGGAACATACCTTTATACATTTTAGTAATTATTTTGACTCTTTACAACTGTCATACTAAAATATTTGATACTAGGTTGAATGTGTCAATTATGGAGCCAAATTTACTTCCGAAGAGTGAGATTGAAGTTGGATCCTACCCAGTTATATCCCAATTTAATTGGTCTGGTGGGTCCAGGTACAGAGAATTTTCAAATCTCTTTTAGTAATTTTAATTACTATTCTTGATATAGACATTAAAGTAGTTAAATTTAAAATCTATAAACTGAGCTCTATGGGCATTGTAATTTAAACACACATATGTTTTGTGGACAACTGAAATATTTTATACGTTGGGCCCTTTTTTGAGGGTGTACACATAATGCACTTCAAGGGTTTCCCTACAGATAAAATGTGAACACATTGATTTGTTTATTGCCTTACTGACTCCAGCCCCCTCACTTGTTGGTTGTAGTGGTGCGTAGTCTCACCTGTTGGGGAATATTGTCTGTGGTGGTGCAATAGAGATGAACCCCATTCCATCATCTACTTTGCCACTTTTATACCTCTCCCTTTCTGTGGTAATTCTTTTTAACTTAGAATTTTAAAATATTTTTATTAGCCAAAAAGATAATACACACACAATTAGACTACTGTGTATCACTAAGGTAATGGGGGGAGCGTATAAAAGAGATCATTCAAGAATGCTTGTAAGAAGAACTTATTTTTGACTGCTAAACTTCTATTTTTTAAAGTATGTGTAGCATTTAAGGCAGAATATGACTCAAGTTTAAATTTTGTGTGTCATTTAAACAAATGCATCCATGTAGGAATCAAATATATTTACTTGGAAATATCCCTTAAGTCTTTTTTAATCATGTATTGTTTCAGCCATCAGTTTTTCCTTCTGATCTTGAATTCTTCATATCTACAAACCTTAAACAAGAAGTTCCGATGCTACCATCATCAGAACTGAAAGAGCCATTAAACTCAATGCCTGAGATAATGGAATATGTAGATGAAAATGAAAAACTTTTCAAAAGAGGTAAGAATTCATTTAGAAATGTGTTTCTTGTAAAAATTACTTGTTATCTGAGTTTTTATTTATTAAAATACTTTATAGAGATGGTCTGTAAGTTGAGTTCTCAGGATCATCACTGTTAAACTCTTTATCTATTTTTCCCTTTATCACTTTTTTCTGGTGTTGGAGTTTGAGTAGGGCCTCCGTGTGGTAGGCAAGTATTCTTCCATTGAGTTACATTCCCAGCAGTGAGAATCCAGTTTAGATTTACTTATTCTGGACATTCAGTGACAATGCAACCATGCGATACATGGTTTTTCTGTGGCTGGCCTCTCTCATTTACCATAATTTTTCAAACTTATAGGATGTATCAGTGCTTCATTGGTTTTATAGCCAAATTATATCCCATTATAGAGATGGTTTCTCATATTTTATTTACCTACACAGTTGTTGAAAGACATTTTAATTGTTTATGTGCTTTAGCTATTATAAATAAGTCTGCTATGAATACTTATGTAGAAGTTTTTTTAATGTGTGGATGTATTGTCTTAGTTATGATTTCTATTGCTATGAAGTTTCTATTGCTATGAAGTCTTTGTTATGGTTTCTATTGCCATTACCATGGCAACTCTTTTAAAGGAAAAACATGTAATTGGGATAACTTACACTATCATCATGGTGTAACATGGTATCATGCAGATAGACATGGTACTGGAGAAGCAGCTGAGAGTTGTCTATTTTGACTCACAGGCAACAGGAAGTAGTCTGTCTCACTGGGTGTAGCTTGAGCATAGGAGACCTCAAAGCCCACCCCTACAGTAACACACTTCCTCCAATAAGGCCACACCTATTCCAACAAAGCCGTACCTCCCATTATTGCCACTCCTTTGGGGGAGGTCATTTTCTTTCAAACCACCATATTCTATTCTCTGACCCCCAAAAGCTCATAGTCATATCATAATGCAAAAATATATTCAGTCAAATTTCAAAAATACCCATAGTTTATAAGTCTTTTTAAAATTTTTTATTTAAATAACATTTTTTTCCATTTATCTTACATACTGACCAGTTTCCCCTCCTTTCTCTCCTCCCAGCCCCCCCCCACACTTCTTAACTTCTTATTAACTCTCCCATTCCACTCCTCCTCCATCTCCATTCAGAAACAGGGAGGCCTTCTGTGGCACATCAAGTGAAAGCAGGACCATACTCCTCCCTTTGCATCAAGGTAATCTAGTGTGGAGAACAGGCTCCCAAAGCCAGCTAAGCACCAGGGACAGATCCTGATCTTGTCACTAGGAGCCTTACAAAGAGACCAAGCTACACAGCTGTCACATACATGCAGAGGGCCTAGGTTGTTTTCATAGAGGCTCCCTAACTGTTGGTCCAGAGTCTGTGAGCCCCAATGAGCTTAGGTCAGCTGTCTCTGTGGGTTCCCAAGTCATGATCCCCCTCTATAACAGTCTTAAATGTATTTAAATGTTTAAAGTTCAAAGTCTCTCTTGAGATTTGCAATCTCATAACTCTAATCTCTTGTAAATAAAAACAAAAAACAAAAAAGCAGATCACATACTTCCAACATATAATAGATAATATTACCATTCCAAAACATAGGGAAGGGAGCAAAGTGAGGAAATACTGGACCAGAGCAAGACTGAAAACCAGCTGGCCAAACTCCAAACTCTACATCTCCATGCCTGATGTCAAAATTTTCTTTAGATATCCAACTCCTTTCAGCTTTTTTCACTGCAACTTCTTTCTCTTGGACTGGTTCCACTCCCTGTTAGCAGCTCTTCTTGGAAGGTATGCCACAATTCTGGCATCTCCACCATCTTGGGGTCTCCAACACACTCCAGGCTTCAAGTTCACAGCCTCAGGAAATGGCCTGTCTAGGCCACCATTCAGGGACACTCCTGACACATGTGGGGCCTCAGCAGCTTTCCTTAGTTTCGGTGGCAAATTCCATATCCCTTTTTTGGCTGAAGTTGCCAATTGTGCTGCTTACTGGGGCTGGAACATGGCTCCCTCATTCAATTACATCTTCACCAACTTTTTGCTTAATTGGTTTCTTTCACTGCCTAAACTTGGCTATACTGAAACTGGATCTGCAGGCCAGGCTGGCCTCAAACTCAGAGATCCACCAGCCTCTGCCTTTTGAGTGCTGGTATTAAAGGTGTGTTACCACGCACCCGGCTCTAAGCTTTTCTTTAACTCATTTTCACAAGTTGGAAACTTAGCTGGGTAGAATCTTGCCCTGAGGTCACTACTCCCATTATCTCATTTTTTAATCTGTTTATCTCCTTGAATACAGGATTTAGCTCCATTCCACTTTCTGGTGCTCTTTTTTCTCCTCAAATATTTTTCCTTGCTCAACTTGCTCTTTATCTTCTTTAACACTAGTAACCATAAAGCAAGAGTCTCTACTAGACTGTTTTGAGTTTTCCTTTGCCAAGGGAATTAATCCAAAACTCTTCACTTTAGCCTCAGGTAAACTTCTCAGACAAGGGCAAAAAGCAGCCACATTCTTCACCAAAATATTGCAAGAACAATTTCTAGGCAACTAAAATCCTTCTCCCCTGAAGCGTCTTGAGCCAATCCCCCACAATTCAGATCACTCCTGCACCACTGTCTTCCATGCTCCTAATGGTATGGCCATAAGCAGTACTTAAAGTATTCCATTGATTTTTCTCACTCAAAACTCCCAAAATCCAAACGCCTCCAAACAAAAGCATAGTCAGGCCTTTTGCAGCAATACTCTAGTCCCTGGTACCAACTTTTGCCTTAGTCAGGGTTTCTATTGCTATGAAGAGACACCATGACCATGGCAACTCTTTTAAAGGAAAAACATGTAATTGGGATGACTTACATTTTTAGAGGTTTAGTCCATTATCTTCATGGTGTGACATGGTGGCATTCAGGCAGACATGGTGCTGGAGAAACAGCTGAGAGTCCTACATCTTGACTCACAGGTAACAGGAAGTAGTCTGTCTCACTGGGTGTAGCTTGAGCAAAGACCTCAAAGCCCACCCCTTCCTCCAATAAGGCCACACCTACTCCAACAAGGCCACGCCTCCCATACTAATGGCCACTCTCTTTGGGGACCATTTTCTTTCCAATAGCCACATGTATTTTACTTCTTTTTATCATTTTTAATTTAGTTAGTTAATAGGTTTCATCCTATGATTTTTATCTCTCCATTATTTTTGTTGGTCTTCCCTCCTTACATCTGATTCCCTGCCTGACTCCTGCTAGTCCCCTTCCTTCCCCTCTGCTTTCATGTCACATGGAGTCTATTACCCTTGACCCCTTCCTCCAACCCTTCTTTAATACTTCTTTTCTCCTTTCTGGCTGTGTAAACCTATACCTCTCCCAGCACACACATATACACACATATCAGAACTAAAGTTCAGGATTTGCATTAGAGAGAAAACATGTGGTATTTGTCTTTCTGAGTCTATAATAATTTCTGGTTCCTCCCATATTTCTGTAAGTATAGGGATTTCTTTATTTCTTTATGACTGATTAAAATTCCATACGTATGTGTTCTACGTTATCTATTGATCTGGACATCTATGCTGTTGCCATTCCAGAGCTGTTGTGAATAGTGCAGCAGTAAATCTAGGTCTCAGTATGTCTGAGGTAGGACTCAGAGTCCTTTTAGTATGTACCCAGGCAGGAGTTGTCTAGCTGTGTTTTGTTGTAATTCTATTTCTAGCTTATTGAGAAACCTTCATACTGAGTTCCTCAGTGAATACAAAAGTTTGCATCCCCACCAGCGGTGGGTAAAAGTTCTCTCCTCACATCCTCATCAGCATGTGTTGTTTGTTTTCCTGATAATAACCACTCTAACTGGGATAAAAATAGAATCTCAAAGGAGTTTTAATTTGCATTTCCCTGATATATAGCCAAGGACATATAATACTTTTCCAAGTATTTGTTGGCCATTTGTATTTCTTCTTTTAAAAACTGTTCAATTACTTGGCCTATTTATTGTCTGGAAGGTTTATAAGGGATTTTTGTTGTTCGCTTTTTGCTATTCCTTATATAGTCTAGATATTATCTCCTTTTTGACGTATGACTGATGAAGACTTTCTCCATTCTCTTGTCTCTTAACTCTGTATATAGTTTCCATTTGTTATATAGAAACTTCTTAATTTCACATAATTCAGTTTGTCAGTTCTTGAGGTTGTTTCCTAAGCTATTGGAGCCCTTTCAGATAGTTCTTTCCTATACCTAGATCTTCAAGTGTTTTTCCTTTGTTTTCTTTAGTCATTTCAGCATTTCCAGTTTATATATATATGTATATATGATTTTGAAGGACAATCTTTTAATTATATTTATGTACAGAAAACTTAGCAGTGTACATTTAACCCGGTTGAATGGCAAGTTCTTTGACCTTTGCCTTTTCCAGCTTGGCAATACAACCCACAGATTTTGGCCCAGAACATCATCTCCCCTATGGCTGTGGATTTCATTGTATCTGTTGTGTAATTGGTCCTGATAATGTCCACAAGCTTAGCCAGAGTGCCTTTGTATTCCACATTTAACCTGTGTGAAGGTAACAGTGGTGTATGTCTTCCTGGGATCAGCCGCCCCAGCCTAACCTTCCCCTTGCTCATGCTGTAGGGGACCCCAACTTGAAACACAGGGCAAAGGCGGGAAGACCAGCTCAATGGGGTCTACATCATGGACAGTCACCACCAGCTGACCCTTCTTGTTCTCCACCAAGATAGTGACTGCATTGACCCTGCTTGAAGGACAGGTGGTCTCTTAGTGGGGATGTCCCTTTTGCCAACAGCCTTTCTTCTTCTCCTGCTTGCTCTCTGACCTGTACTTGTGAGCGTGGTTAAGCAGCCGGGTAGCTATTTGCTGGTCCAGGGCCTGGGGGAACTTGTTAGTGGCAGGAGGTTAATAAAAGATGGCCCTTTGACACTGCAACCTGGTGTAACAGGGCCATTTGATGAAGCAGGGTGTGATCTCTTTGGCACTGCAGGTCCTGTCCAATTCGAAATTTGAATGGCACTTTTGTGGACAGAGTTTCTTCTATTTACTTTCAGATCTTTCTACCAAGCATGAATTTGATGCTGAGGATATGAAATGCAACTCCACAGAGATCTTACCTATTAAAAGCCCAAGTGAACCAGAGTGCAATGAACCAGGTAGAGATTTTGCTTAAGTCATTGACCTACTAAGAGTTCGCTATATGACATAAAAGTACACTAAATTTGCATTTATAGTCTATGGTGAATCAGTTTTCATGTTCAAAAACTTAATCATTATGGTTCTACTTGTCATTGTTTCCCCTTTTCTGTCCCTTTATATTTGTCCTGTCATGATCTTGTCAACAACAGTGGGTCATATACACAGCAGAGTTACAAATGTTGGAGAAAATCAATAGAGGAAATACTACTAAAATTGAAATACAAATCTTGGGTCTTGGGAGATAGCTTAGTCAGTAAAGCGTTTGCCACACAGGCCTGAGTGTCTGATCCCCAGCAGCCAGGCTAGCTGAATTGATGGACCATAAGTTCAGTGACAGACCCCATACCAAAACATGTGACAGAAAGTGATTGAGTAAGACACCCAGCATTGACTTCCGACCTCCACAGTGGTGTGCATGCATATGTACTCTCACATCTACATAACCTTACATTATAGCTGACTAAATATAACTTTATTCTTTTAGCGTTTTATTTTATGTATGTGTGCCTGAGTGTATGTATGTATGTGCACCATGTGCATGCAGGCTCCATCAGAGGCCAAGAGAGGGAGGGCATCAGGTCCTGAAACTATAGCTGCAGATGGTTAAGTGTGGATGCTGAGACTCAAACCTGGGTTCTATGGAAGGGTACCAAGTGTTCTTAACTTGGAGCCATCACTTTAGCCCCAGTTACATTTCATTTAAATATTAGTACTCTTGTTGACCTTTGTTATATTTAGAAACAAGCCCTTTAAACTGCATATTGTTTAGTGGGGTGGGGGTGATGCCACAGTGCCTGTATAGAGTCACAAAGTCACCACTGTCATAGTTGAGATACCAAGTGATGGATCTGTAGTTCTTTATATAGATAAGAATTTAGGGCTTGCTTTGTATCTGTAGGGATCTAAATTTCTTGTGTTGTGTGTGTGCACACATACATGTGGATAGAAGCCAGAGGTCAGCCTCCAGCATCATTCCTCAGGAGCCATCTGCTTTGTTTTCTGAAATAGGTCTCTCAGGGGACTTTGGACTCACAGCTAAAGGATGAGCTGGGACTTCCAGTGCATCCCATTATGCCCAGCTTCCGACATGCATGGGTGCTGGGATTGAACTAAGGTTCTGGAGCTTTGCTAGCTGAGCAATCTCCCTAACCCTGCCCCCAAATATCTTCTTACTGACAGATTTTGTTGCCACATCAAAAAGCATATAAGCAGCACAAATTTGATTCGGTGGTTAAAAAAAAATAGGAGATGAAGTTGGGCTGGAAGTGTGGATCTAGGAGGAGTTGAGGAAGAGAGGTGACTATGATAAAATACGCTGTACTAAATTCTCAAAGAATTAATACAAATGTTTTATTGCAACAAATTGATCAACCAAATAATTATTTATGGGACTTCTAAATTTTATTTTCTGCAGTATTATATAACTTTAATTTTCATATATTTCAGGAGAATTAGAAATACCACTAACCAGTATAAGCTTACCAAGGCAACATTCTCCAGTGAGTTCATTATGTGCAGGATTTCATACATTTCCATTTTCTGCTGTGTGTAAAATGTAAGTAAAGATTTTATCTAGAACCCAAGTTACAGTTCAAGCAAGCAGTTGCTTTTTTTGTTTTGTTGTTGTTTCTCAAGACAGACAGGGTTTTTCTGTGTAATTCTGCTGTCTTGGAACTCAGTCTGCAGACCAGGATGGCCTCAGCTCACTGAGGTCTGTCTGCCTCTGCCTCCCAAGTGCTGGGATTAAAGGTGGGCACCACCGTTTCCCAGCTCAAGATAAGCAGTTTTTATTTTTAATGAAATCTCTCCATTTAAAGGCAACTTCCTTTAGCCTCGATTTTGTTTAGAATTTCGTCAGTCTTGTAACTTTAATTCACATTTATCTTGTTATTTCTCTCTCAGTGAACTATTAATTCCTTTTGTCAGTCATCTGTTGAGTTGTTACTTTCCTTGTTCATTTTCAGAACTCCTTATTAGCCTGCTCTGCAGGAAGTCACAATGGCTTTCTTGGGTTAGTCTGTTTTCCCTTACTTTACATTGTCCTCGTTTTATTGTTTTTCTTTGTCTTGGGATGCCTAAACTCTCTGTTGGTTTTACTGTGACCAGTTTTATCCAAGTTCTTTCTTGTTGTGTCTTGACCTTCTCTTTGAGATTTAAAAGAAGCTCACCCAGATTTTTTTTTCTAGTACTCAAGTAGTTTTGCTTTTGACATTTAGATCTGTGATCCATTTGGACTATATCCTCATACATGGTATGAGGAAATATCTCAGTCTTTAGTCTTCCTATATGGATGCCCAGTTACCTATACACACAAAAGTCTTTTCCACTCACAAATTTCAAATCTACCATGATCATATGTAAAAGTTATGATATCATATACTTGTGTCTATTTCCACATTTTCTAGCTAATTCTTTTGGTTTAGGGAGCTAGCTCTTCAATTCTGCCATGTGGATCCAGAGAATGAAACTCATGCCCTAAGGCTTGGCAGTGGGTACCTTTCCTCAATGAGCTATATCACCAGCTACAAGTTCAAATCGTTTGGAGGCAGTTACCATGCAAGTTTTGTTCCTGACAGAAGAACAGGCTCTGCTCGTCTCCACTAAGCAACATGCAGGCTTTGGATTAAGACAGTGCATACTTTATCATATTAAAAAGTCTTCTCAACTCCTGGGGAACAAAAGGCAACTTCTGAGGTGCTCTTAGGAAAAAATATGACACTATATAATGTGTGTTATAAACAGCAGGGGGGATATATATGCACACATCCGTTTTTTTCCCCACAGAATATTGTTAGATGATGACATAAGAAATACATAAGACTGACTTTACCTAGAAAGAAACTAGGTAATATGGCAATATGATAGAATCTTCTTCACAGTATAATCTTTTACAATAATTTTTAGTATTTTGAATGTTAATATATTACTATTAAAAGTAAATAACTTGAATATTTTAAGATCCTTACATGGAAATAAAACAATTTAGGAAATTGCCTCTGAATACTTGCCAGTGATACTCACTGCCATGAAAGACACATTGTGTGTGTTGGTTCCATAACAAATACCACAGACTGAATGGCATGAACAATGTTTTATTTCGTCATAGTCCCGGAGGCTATTGAATAATATGTTTGCTGGATTGGTTTTGGTCATGTAGGATTAAGAAATGTTCTAGTAACTTCATTTACCTAATTACCTCTTTGTTAAAAGACCTTATCTCCAAATACAGTCATAGTCTGATATTCTAAGGATTCAGGTTTCATCATATGAATTTGGAGAGTCATAATGAACCCTAGAATAAGTGGTTTAAAGCTCTGGATTATAGTTAAATTGCCTGGCTCCTTCACTTGCTCTTAATTGCTCTTTTCCTCAGTCTCTTTCTTTCTAGTGCTGGGTGTCTACTTCAAAGACTTGTTATTAAGTCTTCTAAGAGATGATACATCTGTAGCCAGGAGTAGGTAAGGGTTATAGAATAGTGTGTTTGTCAACTTATTTCCCAGAGGATTACCAGGGAGTCCTATCCCATTTCTGTTGGCATATGTTCTTTGACCTTGATTACCTCTGCTATGATGGCATCAGCATTGAGAATACCAGACATGTAGAACCAAGGTTTGATCCATAAACCTGTTCAGCACCCCATTGTTTTTGTTTTGGTTTGTTTTGGTTTGGTTTGGTTTTACGAGACAGGGTTTCTCTGTATTGTTTTGGAGGCTGTCAGTCCAGCCTGGCCTCGAACTCACAGAAATCTGCCTGCCTCTGCCTCCCGAGTGCTGGGATTAAAGGTGTGCGCCACCACTGCCCGGCTTCAGCACCCCATTGTTATTGCACAAAATGGTCTGTGATATTAGAATTAATGCTGCAAAGCTAAATCCTCAAATTCTAGTTGAACCCAAACTTGTCTATCTTAGTAGTAGCCCAGCATACTTGACTACTGACAGTCTGAGAAAGCTTTGTATGGTATCTTTTATTATGTGGAGTACATACATTTAGTGTTCTCCAAGGTAAGTTAGTCTAGTATCTTGGACTAAAGCCACTCAACGTTGCTTCTTATGCAAGTCACAAAACTAAAAATATAATCAGGACAGTCATCTTCATTCCCATTGTAAACTGGAACTTAATGTGTGCTAAATCACACACCTCCGGGAGAATTACAGGACCGCCTCCAAGTTCCTTGTGAATGATCCCTAGGCTGCTCTTACAGAGTAGCGTGCTATTGGATAACTGGAAGCAGTCAAGGACCCAGAACTCATCACGAGTTCTGTACACATCTTTAATGGTCTGTATAATGTCTGAGACATAGAGGAGCCATCATTGAGTGTCCTAAGTATATCTTCACATTCTATTTAAGAATTATTTTCATTTGTTGTTCAACTTTGTGCTGTATAGAACTCTACCATGAGCTCAGCTTGGCCGTAACATGAATGAGCTCTGAAACAGCATGGCATAGTCATGCAATCACATATCCTTTAATACTTCAGTTCCTTTGCTAAAGCAAAAGGTGTTTATTTGCAGGGCACAGTTAATCTTTATTAGGCTCTTTCACTGTCTTTACTCTGTATATTGTAATCTGTCTAAGGAGGCAGGTCAGAAAGAGAAACCAGTATATATTAGTATAATCTTAAATTAGCATTAAAATATCATATAATAACTATAATAACTCTTTAATCACACAGGCTATTTTTTTTTTTTTTTGGTTTTTCAAGACAGGGTTTCTCTGTGGCTTTGGAGGCTGTCCTGGAACTAGCTCTTGTAGAACAGGCTGGCCTCGAACTCACAGAGATCCGCCTGCCTCTGCCTCCCGAGTGCTGGGATTAAAGGCGTGCGCCACCAATGCCCGGCCGTGCGCCACCAACGCCCGGCCACACAGGCTATTTTCTATATATTGTTAGAACTCAAATATCTAGTGGGATATATGAAAAGAGTCTTGCCTGATGAATTATGATTTGGCAAAGTTAGGACAAAAATGGCTTTTAAAACAGTTGATGATTCTAGAGTCATTTGAAACAATTGAAAGTTACTCATCACAGCAAGAGATAAGTCACTTTTGTCTGACTTATGGCTAAAAATTTTTTAATTCCCATTTTAAAAATGACTTTAAATCTACATATGGGGATTATTCCTATAATTCCAGTATTTGGGGCCTAGGGAGTAAGGTCATGAATTTCAGACTAGCCTGGGCTATATGTTGATTACCTATATATAAAAAATGTACCTCAATTATAAAGCTAAAATATTAAAATATTTTAAAGAAGTGAGATACTAAATAATGCTGCTATACCTTTGACTTATTTGTAGTGCCTACTACATGTAAGGCCCATTTTAGGTTTTAGAGCAACAAAAAGAAAAGTCAGGATGAAATAGGGTTGTATTTCCTTACTAATGGGAAACATATCTTCAAAATGCTTCATTTAAAGCAAAAATATTAGCTTTCATTGGGCATGGCTGTCTGAAGAATTTCTTCTTATTTCCACTTCAGAATAATTATTTACAATCTGAAGTGTATTATAAAAAAAAAACACTTGGTAAATTTCAAGAATTGTCCTGATTTTCGTTTTATACCAAATGACTAGATTTGGGGGTTGTGTAGATGAACTGTGTGGTTTAGATCTAGAAATCTAGCTTTCAGTTACCCCATATTGTCAGTGTAGTATCTAGAAGTACTTACCATTGCATTCCTCATTTATGTTCCATATGAACTGAAAAACAGAATATAATCAATTCTCCATTTTAGTGGAGATGAGAGGTTTGGGATATAAGACCTTGTAAATCAATAGTTTCTCCCCTACCAGGGCCCAAAGCTTCATAGCTACTAATGAGCTGTGTTTGACATTAACTTTCATATATATTTACTCCTTTCCCCTCTGCACTCCAAAAACTAGCACACACAAATTTTACATATCACCCTCATTGCCTACCAAGATTTAGGGACTTGATCTAAATTTAGGACCTTGTCACTTCTGGAGAAAGTATGGCCAGTAGATTTTATGCATAGTTCTGATTCTTAGCAACAGAGAGAGTAGAATTTCTATATATAATGGACTCATGGCTAGAAATTTACATAAAATATTATTAGCCAGGCAGTGATGGTGCACACCTTTAATCCCAGCACTCAGGAGTCAGAGACAGGAGGATCTCTTTAAGTCTGAGGCCAGCCTTGTCTACAGAGTGAGTTCCAGGACAACCTCTCCCATCAATCACTATTTAAGAAAATTCCCCCGTACCTGCCTATAGACTGATCTTAGGAAGTGTGTTTTTTCAACTGAGGTTACCTCCTCTCTAATGACTTGTGTCAGGTTGACAAAAGACTAGCCATTCTTAGGTCTGCTGCACTCATTGCCCATAGTTATCCTCAGTAGATATTCTGGAATGGCAAATTTGTTTCTGTTTTTAAAAATGGGCCAGGCAGTGGTGACATATGCCTTTAATTCCAGCACAGGGGAGGCAGAGGCAGGTGGGTGGATCTCTGTGAGTTTGAGGCCAGCCTGGTCTACAGAGAGAGTTCCATAGCTACTGAAAAATCCTGTGTTGAAAAACAAAAAAATTAAGTTGTTAAAAAGTTGCTATACAAAACAGCATATTGATGAATTAAACTTTGATTTTTCTTTTATAGTAATTTACTTAGTGCTGGAGAATCGACTAATAAATATTGTATGCTGTGGCAACTTGGAAGCTGCAGAAACTCTTGGGTCTCGTTCTTGCTTACAGGTAAATAGAATACATAGGCAGAGGCATGCAAAGAATACAAATGTGAGATATTTTTCTTTGACTGTTTCATAACATGAAATATGTAACATAACACCAAGTCCAGTTGTGCTATAGAGGTTCATTAGATAAACAAGGTCTCAACCTGGTTGAGTTTCTCATAGTTCTTATCTTTGAAACAGAAAAAACAATCTAACACATGCACTTATAATATGTGTATGTGTAAAAAGTTTGTATTTCTTAGTTGATAAGTTGGTTGCAAAAGGTATTCTACATAGGAAATGACAGAAGTAATGTAAAAGTTTCATATTTTTCAAGCATTCCAATAAGGATAATTTAAAACCTATAACAAAGAACATTTGTAATTTAATAAAATAATTTTGAGTTGAATGACCCCCCCTCCAAGGTTATCTCCTTATACAATGAGAATAATAGTTATGGTGCTGTCTATTTTCTTAAAACATGGTTTACATAAAGACAAACATAAATGTTCACCACAGCTTTATTTATAAGAATGGAAACCTGGAAACAGGGCTAGGGCTATATAGTTCAATGATCCATGCACAGGGTAGCAATGCACAAACCTCTGGGTTTAATCCTCAGAACTGAAAACTCCCCACCAGGAAACATTTCACATGTCCATTGAATAAAGGAAGGGATCATCAAATTGTGACATACATATAAAAAGAAATATTATCAACTAATCAAAAAACATAACTATCCCACTTAATTTCTGAAATAATAGAAATTAATTCTGGAAAACTGATTAGTAAAGACCAGGAGCTAATGATGACAGGAGGATAATGCAAGAGAGAGGAGGATGTGGGTACATGAAGGCAGGTAGTGGGATCCTGTGATATTGAACTGTTTAGTGTATTGAGTGTGACGAGGGATACACAAATCTATGTAGGTGATAAAGTTGCATAGAACTTGTCACAGGAATAGGCGAAACTGAGACAATATGAACAAGATTGATGGTTTACACAAGATTGATGGTTTACTATAGTGCCGTTCTCCTAGTTGTGTGATTATACTGTGTAATTGGAGGAAATAGGAGAGTATGCATCTCTGCATTATTTCTTATAGTTACATTGGATCTATAATTATTTTTATTTTTTAAAAAAATGATAAACTAGACGCTGGATCCAAGAACACATCAGAAAACTCGTCCACCATGATCAAGTAGGCTTCATTCCAGGGATGCAGGGATAGTTCAACATATGAAAATCTATCAGTGTAATCCACCATATAAACAAGCTGAGAAACAAAAATCACATGATCATCTCACTAGATGCTGAAAAAGCTTTTGACAAAATCCAACACCCATTCATGATAAAGGTCTTGGAGAGATCTGGGATAACAGGAACATACCTAAACATAATAAAAGCTATATACAGCAAACCAACAGCCAACATCAAACTGAATGGAGAGAAACTCAAGGCAATTCCTCTAAAATCAGGAACAAGACAAGGCTGTCCACTCTCTCCATACCTCTTCAATATTGTACTTGAAGTTCTAGCTAGAGCAATAAGACAACAAAAGGAGATCAAGGGGATACAAATTGGAAAAGAAGAGGTAAAACTTTCACTATTTGCAGATGATATGATAGTTTACATAAGTGACCCAAAGAACTCTACCAGGGAACTCTTACAGCTGATTAACACCTTCAGCAAAGTGGCAGGCTACAAGATCAACTCAAGAAAATCAGTAGCCCTACTGTATACAGACGATAAGACGGCTGAGAAAGAAATCAGAGAAACATCACCCTTTACAATTGCTACACACAACATAAAATACCTTGAGGTAATGCTAACCAAACAAGTGAAAGACCTATACTGCAAGAACTTTGAGTCTTTAAAGAAAGAAATTAAAGAAGACACCAGAAAATGGAAAGATCTCCCATGTTCTTGGATAGATAGGATCAATGTGGTAAAAATGCCAATCCTGCCAAAAGCAGTCTACAGATTCAGTGCAATCCCCATCAAAATTCCAGCACAGTTCTTCACAGACCTTGATAGAAAAATTCTCAACTTTATATGGAAAAACAAAAAACCCAGGATAGCCAAGACAACCCTGATCAACAAAGCAACATCTGGAGGCATCACCATTCCTGACTTCAAGTTCTATTATAGAGCTATAGTCCTGAAAACAGCTTGGTATTGGCACAAAAATAGACAGGTAGACCAATGGAATCGAATTGAACACTCTGAGATTAATCCACAAACCTATGAACAGCTAATTTTCGACAAGGAAGCTAAAATTATACTGTGGAAAAAAGATAGCATCTTCAACAAATGGTGCTGGCATAACTAGATATTGGCATGTAGAAGACTGCAGATAGATCCATGTCTATCGCCATGCACAAAACTTAAATCCAAATGGATCAAAGACCTCAACATAAATCCAGCCATGATGAACCTGTTAGAAGAGAAAGTAGGAGGTACCCTTGAACGAATTGGTACAGGAGACCACTTCCTGAACATAACACCAGTAGCACAAACACTGAGATCGACAATTATTAAATGGGACCTCTTGAAGCTGAGTAGCTTCTGTAAGGCAAAGGACACAGTCAGCATACAAAAAGGGCAACCCACAGATTGGGAAAAGATATTCACTAACCCCACATCTGACAGAGGGCTGTTCTCCAAAATTTGCAAAGAACTCAAGAAGCTACTCTCCAAAACATCAAAGGACCCAATTAAAAACTAAATAGAGAATTCTCAATAGAGGATTCTAAAATGGCTGAGAGATACTTAAGAAAGTGCTCAACATCCTTAGCCTGAGATATCATCTTACTCCTGTCAGAATGGCTAAAATCAAAAATACCAATGACAGCTTATGCTGGAGAGGATGTGGAGAAAGGGGAACACTTGTCCATTGCTGGTGGGAGTGCAAACTTGTATAGCCACTTTGGAAATCAGTATGGAGATTCCTCAGGAAAATGGGTATCAGTCTACCCCAAGACCCAGAAATTCCACTCTTAGGCATATACCTAAAAGTTGCCCATTCATACAACAAGGATGTCTGTTCCACTATGTTCATAGCAGCATTATTTGTAATAGCTAGATCCTGGAAGCAACCTAGATGCCCCACAACTGAAGAGTGGATAGAGAAAATGTGGTACCTTTATGCAATGGAGTACTACTCAGCAGAAAAAAACAATGGAATCTTGAAATTTGCAGGCCAATGTATGGCACTAGAAGAAACCATCCTGAGTGAGGTAACCCAGTCACAAGAAGACAAACATGGTATGTACTCACTCATATATGGATTTTAGACATGGATCAGAGGAGTGTCAGCCTACAATCCCAGGGCCAGTGAGTCTGGGAGACAGGGAGGTTCCCAAGAGATATTCATTATACCCCAGAGAAGTGGAATGGGGCAAGATCTCCTGAGCAGATTGGGAACATGGGGGGAGGAGGGGAGAGGGAACCAGGAGAAAGAGAAGGGGATAAGAGGAGGGTAGAAGAAACCATGGGGGAACAGGAAGTTGAGTCGGGATGAGATCAGGATGAGAAATACCATAATAGTTGGAGTCATTGTAGCTTTGAGGAGAGAGCTGACACTAGTGAGATTTCCAGAGATCTGCAAGGATAACACCAACTGGAAAACTAAGTAATAGTGAAGAGACTACATTAATAGCCCCTACCTGGTGATAAGGTTGATGACTACCTTATATGACATCCTAGAACCTTCATCCAGTGACTGATGGAAGCAGAGACAAATACTCACAGCTAAACACTGAACTGACCCCCTGGAACCCAGTGACACAGATGGAGGAGTAATGAGCAAAGGGGTCAAGACTGTGCTGGTGAAACTCACAAAGACAGCTGACTGGACAAGGGGGAGCTCTTGAACCCCAGACTGAAGGCTAAGCAGCCAACAGGGGACTGATACAGACTCCATGAATGTAGTGTCAGTGAGGAGGCCTCAGAAATCTCTGGAGCCTTGGGTAGTAGATTAGTGTTCACCATGGCATGCAAATGAACTTTGGGAGCCCATTCTACATGGAGGGATGCTCTCTCAGCCTGGACACATGGGGAAGGGCCTAGGTCCTGCCCTGGATTAAATGACAGACTCTGGAGATCCCCCCCCAAGGAGGGCCTCACCCTCCCTGGGGAATAATGTGGGGATTGGGCTCGGGGCAGGGGGGGGGGTGCTGGTGGAGGGATGGGAGCTGGCGGGGGGAGGCTGTGATTGACATTTGAAGCATGCATGTTTCTAATGTAAATAAAACCATTTAAAAAATGATAAACTATTCACACAACATACATGATTCTCAAAGTAAGTATGCTGGATTAAAGAAAGAAGACCAAAAAGAATTCATTCGTACAGTGTCAGTTCCTTTACATAAACTTCTGGAAATAACGCAGTGGGTGAAGGCAGAGTGTTGGGGTGGGGTGAAGAGATGTAGATTTTACAAGGTAACCTCCTGAGAAGATGCTGGAGGACTACACTCAGGGCTTCACACATTCAAAGCAAACACTTTACTTGCTGAGGTACATCCCCAGCCCCTTCCCTAAAAAATTATTCAGTCTTTGGGAATAGCAAGAAGTTAAAATAGCCAGGCATGGTGGCATATACCTTTAATCACAGCACTCGTCAGGCAGAGGCAGGCAGTTCTGAGTTCAAGGCCAGCCTGGTCTACAGAGTAAGTTTAAGAACAGCTGGGGCTATGTAGAGAGACCCTGTCTCAGGACCAGAAGAGGGAGGAGGAGGAAGAAGAAGAAATTGTGTGGTCTCTATTGTTAAACTAACTTGGACTTATTAAAAAATTAACATTCTGAAAACAAAATACCAGATACAGCCTCAAATTTCACCTTTTCCCAAAGTGTGACAATATTTCTTTGAGAAAGTCAAATGTGAGTCTGTTTAGTGTTTTTCATTTATTTTTCCCTGTGTTTGTTTGTTTTCAAGTTCCAAGATTTCAAGAGCCCAGCAGTCAGTATTCTCTTGCAGATATGAGGAATATATTTTCTGTCAAAGGAGACGACAGCCTTGTGATTAACTCTGCAAAATCAAAGAGGTGGAGACAAGCAACACTAAATCCAATACTGGCTGAAACTCTGGAGCATTTGAAGGCATACTTGTGTCACAACGGTCTGTCTTCTAAGGAAACTAAGCTGGAGATCTTTCTGCCTACAAAAGTGCTTCAGCTGGAAAGTAAGTATACAACGGTGCACACAACTTGTGACCATTTTATAATGAGAAGATGTCTGACACTTAGTTTCTCCTCAGTGGCTATTCAAAAGGCTTAACATTCCAGATATGCTACGGTTCTGCCAGTTCATGACTTTTGGCTTCCCTGGGCTCTGATTTCATCTCAGAAAAATATGGCAGTTTAACTAACTGATCCTAAACTCCAATTCTGCTGCCTACAATCTTCCTTCCTTCCTTCCTTCCTTCCTTCCTTCCTTCCTTCCTTCCTTCCTTCCTTCCTTCCTTCCCTCCTTCCTCCATCCCCCCCTCTCTCCCTTTTTTTTCTTTCTTTTTTTGGCTTTTCAAGACAGGGTTTCTCTGGCTGTCCTGAAACTTGCTTTGTAGACCAGGATGGCCTTGAACTGTCTGTCTCTGCCTCTGCCTTCCGAGTGCTGGGATTAAAAACTCAGAATAGCATTGTGAGATTTATCCTTGCTATGTGTAGCACTAATACATTTCTCTTATTGATAAATGGCTTTCTTATTATATTACTTAACCAGACTGTGATCATCTCTCCTGGAGTTATTCTCCAATTTTTTAGTTTTGGGAGTAAAACTCTTATGAGTGTTTTTGTGCAAGTCTTTTTATGGGCATGGTATTATTTTTCTTGAGAGAATATACAAAAGTAAAGTTATTATTGTTGTAGGTGTTATAGGTGTTTGTTTAATTTTACCAAAAACTATGAACTTTTTTTGTTTTTGTTTTTCGAGACAGGGTTTCTCTGTATTGTTTTGGAGGCTGTCCTGGAACTCGCTCTGTAGACCAGGCTGTCCTTGAACTCACAGAGATCCTCCTGCTTGTGCCTCCTGAGTTCTGGAATTAAAGGCGTGTGCCACCAATGCCTGCTTGTACAAGAAACTATTAACTTTTTTTCCAAAATTATTTCACCATTGTACATGCCCACCAGTAATGTATGAATTTCAATTACATGGAAGCAGCTTTTCTAATGGACATTGTGGCTTTATCCTACATTTCCCTAGCGCCTAATAGTGATGAGTGTCTTTATATACTTGGTGACCAGATTTATTGTCATAGAATTTACTGTACAATTTAAAGAACATCAGTCAGTGGATCTTCATAAAGTCAGACATGTGCAGTCATCACCACAGATTGTTTTCAGAATACTTTTTAAACCCCTCCCTCAAATCCCATGTCCATTAGCTGTCACTCTCTATTTTGCCTATATGTGGAGTGACTAATCTATTCTCTGTATAGAGTTGCCTCTCTGACAATAAAAACTGTCAGATATTGGTCTGTTGTGACTAGCATATTTTATTTAACATCACAATTCATCTATATTGTAGGGTATGTGTAATGTCAAATCGTATGCCAATTTTTTAATTAGGTTTCTTTTAAAATGTGCATTTATAAGAATTTAAAAATATATTTTGGGTCCAGCCCTTTGTCCAAGGCTGTGACTCATTATAACCTATTAGCAACAGAGACTTAGTGGTGTTCCTTCTTTGCCTAGCCAATGAACTCCTAGTATTAAGAGATGGTTGTCAGGTAGTTATGGCACACGCCTTTAATCCCAGGACTCGGGAGGCAGAGGCAGGTGGATCTCTGTGAGTTCACAGCCAGCCTGGTTTATATAGTGAGTTCCAGAATAGTCTGAGCTACGCAGAAAAAACCCTGTCTCAAAAAAAAAAAAGAAGAAGAAAAGAAAAAAAGGGATGATAAACTTACGTTTTTTAAAGTTTATTTTATTTAGAAGCAAAAATGTATTTTCCAAACAATAAAGAACCCCTAAAGATCAAATTATGTTAATAGGAAACTATGGCTAAAAGCTACTTATTTGGCATAGAAGTCATTTTGGTGTCTTTCATCTTGTGTCCTAGCCTGGCTAGAACATCAGAGTCGACCCTTGCCCATAATGCCTATGAGTGACAAGTCTACCAGTGTGCACAGATTACGTCCACAGAAGAGACCACCTTCAGAAAGAGAAGTGCCGCTTCTGGTTTTGCCTGATGAATGTGTTTCTGTTAAAAGAACAAAAAAGGAAGAAAATCCAAAGAATAACCAAGAAGTAGCTGCTAGAATAATGCAGAACACAGACAATGGTCGTGTTGGACTTGATAACTCTGTGCCGTCTGTTGAACCAACTTCCTCTTCACGGATTAAGGCGTCTTATGATAAAAAACAGAGTGATTTGGACCTTTTGAGCGAGTTTATTACTCTGAGAAGTAAATACAAGACTTTCACTTCAGATGCTGAAGTCACAGGCCATGATCAAGACAATGGTGGGTAACAGTAAAATTCTGGTATAGATACGTAGCCTCTAGAACTGGGCACTGTCTGTTATGCAAATGCAAGGAAATAAAATCTCTTTTAGAGAAATTGTATAGTTTTTCATAGACAAGAAAAATGCCATTGATACTTCTTATAAATAGAAATAGATGGATAGGTAGATACAGATTTAGATATGGATATAAATATGCTTTCAAAGATTAAAATGCACATTTTAATTTGTAACAAAGCCATTACTTATAAAACTTGCCTTGTATAATTTGGATATATAAGCTTAGTATTCCTAACTTGGTCATTCTCTCATGCTTTTTTTCTATTAACTGACAATCCTATGTCAATATTTTTAAATAGTTTTATTAATTCTTCAAGCGTTTCAAACATTGTCTTTTTAACATTTTCATTCCCCTTCCCCATCTCTAACCAGATCCACCCTCCATTTCATACCCACCCAACTTTATGTCCTCATTTTTGAAAAGGTTTCTTTATTTTATTTTATGTGCATGGGTGTTTTTCTTGCACCACTGCCTGTGTGCCTAGTGCCCATGGAAGCTAGAAGAGGGTGTTGGATCCCCTGGAACTGGAGCTACAGATGGTTTTGAACTGCCATTTTCATGCTAGCAACTGAACCTAGGTCCTCTGCAAGAGCAATAAGAGCTCTTAATCTCTGAGCCATCTCTCCAGACCCACCTTTTAAAAAATGTTTTAGCCCATTAAGTCCCATTAGTGCTACCTACAAACTCTTAAATAGTGGCCATCCATCCACTGGAGCTTGTTAAACCCACCAAGGGCTGCGCTCTCCCAGCTGTTACCATAGCTCTTTAGCTAGGTTTATCTTAGTATTTTAACACATCTTCATACGTGCTTATACATTTTCTTATCTAATTGCTTCTCAATCTTCCTAACACCATCAAAGAATTTCTATCTGAGTTGTAATTGTTGGATATTTCCTGCTTCTAACCACATGAAAAGTACTGCATCATATCATTTCATTTCCAATAGAACTCTAGAGTAATTTGTTTTTATTTCAGAGAGGGTCTCACAATGTAGCTCTGGCTATCCTGGAATTCACCATGTAGGCCATGCTGACCTCAAACTCACAGAGATTCTCCAACCTCTGCCTCCCAAGTGCTTTAATTAAGGGTGTACACCACTACACCTGGTGTATTCTACAATAATCTTGACAGACTTTACCTTGGTGAAATTGGTACAAAAAATGTTTAATGTTACTTAGAGTGTAATTGGGTCTTGCAGTCCTGTGTTTTATCTGTGGAGACAAGACTTGGTTCTCAGCGTCATGCAGTTATGTTCGATTTTCCAGAAGGTGTGACAGCCATATATATGCAGAAGCTCATTACTGGAGGTACTTTAAGGGAATGAGCTTCCCCAAAGAAGGAAGTGATCTCAGCTTCTCTTATATCATGACTCTTTCCTGATGAGTTTCTCCTGCCCCGCTTAGGTGAGGACTGAGTGAGTAGTTGACTCATTCAGGTATTTAGCTACTGAGCCCACTTGTCTCTCAAATAAAGCTCTATTCTCCAACTTAACTTTTATTAGCAATAAAGGTAATGTTTTATTTCTTGCTTTATTTTACAGTTGATCAGGCATAAGAAATATGTCTCACCTTTCTCAAAAAATTTCAATAATTAATATAACTTGACTATAACTATTCAGATTACTTAAAATTGACTGGCAGCTCTGGGAAGATGGCTCAGTGGTTAAGGGCACTGGCTGCTCTTCCAGAGGACCCGGGTTCCATCCCCAGCACCCACGTAGTAGCTCATAACTGTGTAACTTCAGTTCCAGCGGATCTGGCCACCTTCATACAGACATACATGCAGGCAAAACACAATGCACATGAAATGAAAATAGAGAAAAGATTTGTCTGCGCAGTGGTAGTGGTACACACCTTTAATCCCAGCATTCAAGAGGCAGAAGCAGGCAGACCTCTGAGAGTTTGAGGCCAGCTTGGTGTACAGAGCAAGTGCCAGGACAGGCTCCAAAGCTACACAGAGAAACGCTGTCTTGAAAAACCTCCAAAAAATTAACTGGCAATTTTGTTTGAAGATGACATAATCTAGTTTGGATATTCTCCAAATTATACTTGGGGTTCTCTTTTTTAATTCTGTGCATTGGTGTTTTGCCTGCAACTGGAGTTGTAGACAACTGTGAGCTGCCTTGTGGATGCTGGGAATGGAACCCAGGTTCTCTGGAAAAGCAGTCAGTACTCTTAACCACTGATACATGTCTCCAACCCCATATACTTGGGGTTCTTTATTTTTGCTTAAGAAGGGTCTGTCTGTGTGGCCATGTCTGTCCTCAAATTTGTAATCCTCCTGCCTTAGCTTTCCAAGTGCAGGAATTATAGGCATAGACAATATGCCCCATATGTTATCATACTTTTAACCTCACATATTAAAATATCTCAGGTTGGTAACACAGTTTTAAAAGTATCTTATATTCATATTATTGGTGGGTGACATTAATATTTAGTTAAAATAGTTTCATGCATACATATATGAATCCTCTGTAATACCTAGAAAAGAAAAAAAAACTTAGCCTATAATATCTAGGAAAAGGGGGGGAAAACCTAGCATTTATTAAACACTGAATCAGGTGCTGAATTGCATATTAAAAGGAGGGTATTTTTTGGCCTGGAAGTAAGGTGGGCAGTTATGTAAGACTTCATGTAGGAGATGGCTGAGCCGAAGAGTAAACAGTGAAAAACTAGTGTATGTACTAGAACAGGATGGAGACATTAGAAGGCTTAGTACAAAGGAGAAGATTTTAAGTAGAAAGACGACTCTGGAAAGGCACAGAGATAAGCTAGAGTGCTGCTGTCTTGGAAGTGTCAGGAACTGGATGGTGTTTGGTCCCCAGATCTAAGGCAGGCATCCTAGCCAGTATTTACATACGAGGACACCAGACTGCTGTCAGGACTGGGGTTGAAATCTGACCGGATGCCTACTTTTTCCCCACTTCCGTCGTCCACCTTGCTACTCAGCATGGTGTTAGGTCCATTGATCCGGATAGTTCACCTAACTTAGTCTCAGTGTACTTCCATGAAGAAATTTAGCAACTAGGGTACTGAACGCTATGTTAAAGTAAAGCAACATCATTTCTCCTGAACAATTGAATGTTTTTACTAGGATTTCAAGATAAAGAAAAGTGTTCTTTGACTCTTCAAGAAGAAAGTCCTGTTGTTTCTAATAACAAAACTCCAGAGGAAAGATTTCAAGAAAGGACAGATGATGTCATCGAGATCCAAGCGTCAGGTATGCATTATGCTTTCACGATGTGTTCTGTTTCACTGGATTTGGAAGTCCTCTCCCAGATTTGTAGAACAATTATTTCCCATGAAATTGTCTGTCTTTGTTTCAGAAACTGAATTCCATTTCTACTTTCATGTTACTTCCAGACATGGGATGCCTGTGCATGGTCTCTCTCTTTCTTTTATTGTCCTAGTCCAGCCCTCTAGCTGCTATTTCTTCCTTCATTATAACTGGAGCCATTTCCCCACATTGTGTAGAAAGACCGAACTGCAAGAGTCCTTAGTCTCTCCTCCCATGTTTGGGAAATGTGTTAGCAATGATGTAGCCTCTCACCCACCGTCAGGGTGATGTAGGTCTTTTTCACAAACACTCACTTCAGTGCTGTAATTTTTTAGACACCCAGTGCCAAGCATACTGTCTCCTAGAAGCAGCAGCGACACCTGTCTTAGAGAAGCTTGCTTGCCTCTGTACTTACCCTGCTGCTGATTGGAAATTTGCTACTGTCATTTTTGACCAAACAAGATTCTTCTTAAAGGAACAAGAAAAAATAATAAATGATGCTGTTCACCAAGGTGAGTACAGATCAGATTCAGACTACCCAAGGATGCACATTTATAGACAGCTGTAGTAATGTAGACTTCAGACCTGGCCGAAACCTTAACTGTAATTTAGCATGTAGTACCCACCACGTCTAGGCCAAGCCCAGGAGATCTCCGTGAATCTCCTGATTGATATGTATTATTTAATAGATATCCATTGCAAAAAAAAAAATGAAGTTAACCCTGTAATTCACATTGGAACTAATACTTGGCCCTGCTCTGATCATGTCCAAACAAAATTACAAAATCAAGATCCAAAGGATAAAATTATTTGCAGTGAACTTAACTGTATCCCAAAGTGAAACACAAAATTTGTATAAATACAAGCATACTCAGCACCCAACAACATAAAACTGATGAGATTTTATGAAAAGTCCTATCTCCAGGCAATAAAGAGGCAGGAAATACAGCTCATAATGAGAATAATTCATTGAAACAAACCTAAATCAAAGACACTAGAGTTATCAGCAGTTGCTGAAGCTTATGATAACTGTTTCTGCATATTCAGAAGGGTTTTTAGGCCGCTGACAGATAGCCATATTCAGTAATTACTGTTGTCACTGCTGGCCTCTACACTGTGGTTCTAAAGAAGGAGAGAACAGAAAAAAAAATTTAAAACAAGACAGTAGGCTTTCTATCCTTCTTATCCATATGAGCTCCCTTTCCCACCTCTCAGTCCATAGATTAAGAACTTCTCTTAGAGTTATTTCTGTCCCTGCTTGTGGCATGTGTGTTGGGGTTTGTAGCTGCCTATACTGTAGGCCAGGGCATACTAATAGAAAAAAATAGGAAACTTACTGTTTGTTGAGTGACATTTTGAAATTTAGCCTCCTTCTCCAGTCTGCCTGTTACCATTCATTTTTAAATCTTGGGTGGTATCCCACATACTCTGTCTTGTTCTTATAGTTGAATCAGTGGAAGAGACAGTGCACTGTGCTTACTACATGTTATCTGGACCTAGTTGTTTGTTAGTAAACTCAGTTTTCTAAATTCATTAAATTATACAGATGTTAGCAAATTAGCACCTCTTTTAAAAATAATATAGCTGGACTGGAGAGATGACTCTATTGTTTTAAGAGTATGTGCTCCAGCCGGGCGGTGGTGGCGCACGCCTTTAATCCCAGCACTCGGGAGGCAGAGGCAGGCGGATCTCTGTGAGTTCGAGGCCGGGCTGGACCGATAGCCTCCAAAACAATACAGAGAAACCCTGTCTCGAAAAAAAAAAAAAAAAAAAAAAGAGTATGTGCTTCTCCTGCAGAGGTCCTAGGTTCAGTAACCACATGATGGTTCCTACCACCTGTGACTAGGTTCTAGGTCATCTGTAACCTTCTTGTGTCCTCTGCTTGCTACTACATGCACATGGTGCACATAAACTCACACAGATGCACACATATTCTTAAATAAAAAAAATAAATCTTTGCTGGATATGATGGTTCCTGACTTTAACCATACTACTCAGGAAGCAGGTGGATCCCTGTGAATTTGAGGCCGACACTGTAACAACAAAAATAAAATAGGGCCAGCAAGATGCCTTAGCAGATAAAGGCACTTGCTGCCAAGCCTGGTGACCTGATTTTGATTCACAGAACCCACATGGTAGAAGGACAGACACAGTCTTGTAAGTTGTCTTCTGACCTCCACACACATGTATGGAATATACATGCCTCCTCTCCCCATCTCTTACTTCTACATTCAGAAGAATCCAACCATTCATCTTCAGAAAGTTCTGGAAGTGCATAGGGCACACTAAGTAGGTAACTGGCTTGTCCCTCTGAATACTTCTCTTATGTGAGCCATATCTCTGAGATAACACTTTGAGATATCTCCATTTCAAAGTATTCTTTTTCAAATCTCTACTTCTATCTTAACCACTTGGCAAGTTACTAATTTAATTTTCTTCTTGATTAGAACTGTTGGGTTTTTTCCAACAAAAATAGACATAATTGAATATTCCTTGCCAACAGAGGATGAGCTGGGCAGTTAGCTGCCTGGGCTTAGTGCTATCTTGAGGACCAGTTATCCTCACTAAAGCTGTGCCCTCACCCGTAATGAGATCACAGTAATCCTGGTAGGATTGTTAGAATCAGTGGACTAACCTGCTTATCCACAGCCTAACAATAGTACACACTCGCTAATAGACACTAGCTGTTATTACTAAACAGACCTGATACATATTCTAAAACTCCAATGTGTTAACTATGCTTTTACTTATATAGGTAAAAATGATGACAGAGAAGTAACATTCAGGCATGCTGCTCTCTTACATCTTCTGGTAACAATCAGAGATGTCCTTTTAACATGCAACTTGGATACAGCATTAGGTTAGTAGAGAATTTTTTAATTTTTGCTTTCTCCTTGTTGAATAGTCCATCTGAAATACCTATCTTACTTTTCTGAAAAAGATGCACTTCTTGAAAAATTATGTAGCCTTCTTGCCTATTACACTGATCAACATATTTTTTGTCATAATTGCCAGTGGGATGTGTGTGTGTGTGTGTGTGTGTGTGTGTGTGTGTGTGTGTGTGTGTGTGTGTGTGCGCGCGCGCGTGTGTGGGCAGTATATATTCTATACATTTCAGTGCTAAGGATCAAACTTAGGGTCCCTTTATATTTTAATACTAAGTAAGCAGTCTATCACTAAGCAAGACTCTCAGCTTAGACAGCAAATATATATACTGTTTATGCTGTTAGTCTAGGTGTGAATTATAGAGTTCTGATGACCTTATACAGGTTTGAATGTACAATCAAAGCTATGTACTGGTTTTTAATGTGAAATTTGACATTTTGCCATATACATTTTAGGTCCTTAGTGTGTGTTTGGAACTTTGTCTTAGAAAGTAGCACTAGCTATTGCTATACAAAATAATCTAGCCCTTATTGTAAAGTGGATGGGGAGCCATTGAAAAGAGATGCTACTGGAGTAGATGTGTTTTTTAAGTTAATTCTGGGCCCAGAGAGATGGCTCAGTGGTTAAGAGTACATATGCTCTTGCAGTGGACCCCAGTTCAGTTTCTGGCCCCCATGCTGAGCAGCTCCAGTGGGATTGCCTGGCCTACAATAAATCTTTTTAAATGGTTAAGACTGACAACAGTATTAAGAATGGGTAATGAGCCAGGCAGTCAGTGGTGCATGCCTTTAATCCCAGTGCCTGGGAGGCAGAGACAGGCGATCTCTGTAAATTCAAGGCCAGCCTGGTCTACAAAGCGAGTTCCAGGACAGCCAAGGCTACACAGAGAAACCCTGTCTCAAAAAAACAAAGAACAACAAATCAGTAATGACAATCAGATTTTTTAATAAAATTTTATTTAAATTAGAAACAATCTTATTTTTCATAGCAATCCCAGTTCCCTCTCCCTCCCATCCTCCCATGTCCCCAACTGACCACCCCCATCCCACCCCACTATCCACTCTCCAGGGAGGGTGAGGCCTCCCATGGGGGATCTTCAAAGTCTATCACGTCATTTGAGGCAGGGCCTAGGCCCTCCCCTGTGTATCTAGGCTGAGAGAGTATCCCTCCATGGGAAATGGTCTCCCAAAATCCATTTATGCACTAGGGATAAATACTGGTTCCACTGCCAGAGGCCTCATAGATTTCCTAGGTGAGAATCAGATTTTTAAAAATTAAAAAAAGGAGGTAAAACATAAGTCAGTATCTTGTGGTCGGAGAGACAACTCAGAGGTTAAGAGCACTTCCAGAGGATCCTGGTTCAAGTCCCAGCACCCACATGACAGCTCACAACTGTCTATAACTCCAGTTCCAGGGGATCCAACACCCTCACACGGACACCAAAGCACATAAAAATAAATAGATGAAAAGGAATCATTAAAGGCAAAAACAAGGGCTGGAGAGATGGCTCAGGGGTTAAGAGCACTGACTGCTCTTCCAGAGGACTCAGGTTCAAATCCCAGCACCCACATGACAGTTTAAAACTGTAACTCTGATTCCAGGAGATCTGACACCTTCATATCAATGTACATAAAATAAAGTTAAATAAATTATTTTTTAAAAGACAAAAACAAAAATAATAAGTCAATCTAAATGTTATCTGTCAACCTAGCAGCACCAATATAATAGTTAGCAAGCATATGCATATAAATCATATAGAATAAGAATTAAATATTTTAAGTTATCATTTCATTAATTACCCAAATATTGCTTCAACAACTAATATACAGAAGTAACCAGGTACTCTACTGCAAAAATTCACAACACTCAATGGGCCCCAAAATCTTATAGGGAGCTTGTAAAAAAGAAATTCTTGGGATTAAAAAAAATCTAGATTTACTAAATATGAAACTTCAAGGACAAGATTAGGCTCTTTCATGTTTAAGTTGCTCTTTGTATACAGTTACTATTGTATATGCTTGTAATGCCCACTTTTGGGGAAGCTAAAAGAATTCCATGAGCCCTGGAATTGGAAACCAACCTGCAGAACATAGTAAGACCCTGTTCTGTGTGCACGATTTAAATACCAGTGTTTTAGCAGATGCACAAATTAATTATGAATAAATACCATTTACTTTACCCTGAGTTTTTGTATTCTAATGATGTTGTCATGTGCATTAAAAAATACAAAATTCAGGTACAAAGTTGCATAAATTAAATAGTAAGAAAATTCCAATGAATAAGTATTTCGAAAGGATTTCCACGTAAGTGTAGATTCTGAAGTTTACAGGAAGAGTGAATCAATACTCAATAAGCAGGAAGCAGGAGAGATAAGATATATTCAAAGTATGGAAACATGTACAAGTAAATTGATGTTATATAGTGTAAAAAGAGAGATGTGGCATCGATTTTCTAGCTTCACCCAATTTTAAGGACGTTATATGTTTGAGGAGGAAGATGTGTTTATCTGAGTTCAGCATTGTACCAATTAATACCAGAACTTGGGAGGCAAAAGAAGGTGGTTCTCTGTGATTTGAGGCCAGCTTGGTCTACAGAACAAATTCTAGGTCAGCTAAGGATATACAGTGAGATCCTGACTCAAAAAAAAAAATAAAAGAAAAATAAAATGATATTTCCCAGATGTGCATGTATCAAAATATCACATAGTAAGTACTCCATAAAGCAGGTACAGTTTTTTTTTATGGTAAATGTTTTCATTTATTTCAAGAAGTTAGTTATTACTGAGCTTTTTTTAAACAAGAGCTAATAAGCAAGAATAATTTTCCATACAGAAATTTTATTCATAAACAAGACTTGAATTTATTCTAACATTGAAAGCTTAGAAGAACTGGAAGAAATACAAAGCAAACACTTGTGAGTCGAACTACTTTTGCCTTTTTGAATATACTGTGCTTAGAATGGCAGACACACACTGAAGGAGACAGAAACGTGCATTTAGTCCACAGGTCTGCATTAAGAATGACATGCAATTCATGATTTCCTTTCAATTAATTTTTTAATTGAACCACTGAAAAAAGGGTTTGGCTTGATTTGGTTTCCACTTGAGAGGAAGATCTGCTTCCCAAACTGATTCTCTTTTTGTACTAAACATAAAGCGTGTGCCCTGCCCTTTCCCCAACAGCTATTTAAGGTGACTGCATACTGACAGCAAACACCATTTTTATTGTAACAGTGCCATGGCCTTGAATAATCAGGTTTTTAAAAACAGAAGCAAAAACCAAGTATCAAGTGCAAATGTAGACACTTCCCTTAAAGAATCATGCAAACCTAGCACGCATGCAGAGCCGCTACCGCACATGCTTAGCAGTAAGATTAGGAATGTGCACACATGACCCAGTGCACCAAAGGCTGCCCACTACAAAGCTGCAAGTGTTGCTGAGTTAGTAATTTATTCAAGGCACTTAAGAATTATGCAAATGGAGTTTCCAAAATATATTACTAATTGCTTAAACTGTTAAAAAGCCCTGAGTCGGAACTTTCAGCAGCTTCCTGAAACTGTATACTCAGATAAAATGACATATTTGCTTATTTCATTAAAAAAAATAGAAGACCACTTTGCTTTTGAAATAAAGCCAAGAGAACTATACAGGAAAATTCAAATACTCAACACATTTTTTCAGTTTGCACACATCAATTCATACTTTTAGGTTTAGGTATCAAATTAACTTGACAAGTCCCTTTTCCTGCACCTATTGCTTACATTCTCAAAAAAAGAAAATCTAACTTTAACCTCAGACAAGATGAGAGGCTAGAAGGGGGAAAGAAAAGCAGTATTCTGATAGAAAAGGAGGTAGAAAATGGCAAAGTAGCAACTTTATTAACTATGCAATCCTCTTTGTATGCTGTATTTGATGGCACTACTAGCCACTCAATCAGCCACTGATGCTCAGTGCAAAGGACTTCTCCTTCACTGCAGTAAAGCAACATATGCACGAGACAGCATTAAATAGCTTCCTCACATTTAATGTTTAAGAGACATAAAACTGTAATTATCAATACTGCTACTGTGTGTGTGTGTGTGTGTGGTAAAGTCAAAAGGATATACATGATTATCAAGTAGCATCAGTAAGCATTCCTATGTGATATTTTAAGCAAGTTAAATGGGACACCATTTTAAAAGAAAAATGTGTTCTGAAACTTTGACAGGTATACTCAATGACAAGGGATGTTTATAACAAGGCATAAATTACTTGTGAAAATCTGTTACCGTCCCAATTTAGTACAAAACCAAAGCTAACTTATTTATTGTATTTAAATGTATCTTTATAAGCTGGGCAGTGGTAGTGCATGCCTTTATCCCCAGCACTTAGGAGGCAGAGGCAGATGGATCTCTGTTAATTCAAGACCGGCCTGGTCTACAGAGTGAGTTCCAGGACATCCAGGGATACATAGAGAAATCCTGTCTTGAATGCTCCCCCCCGAATTGTATTTTGCTGCCCTAGCTCAAAGTGAAATAATAAACAATTTCAATTAAAATACATGTAAAAATAACAATTATGTCAAGGGGAGAGATGTCCTTCCCTCAAATGTCAGGAACTTGATGTCTACCTAAGTTTAGATCTTGCAAACACAAAGGACTCTACTCAGTAATGTGAATGTTTGCTTTATGTGTACTCAGAACACAACTTCATAGAGGATATGAACAAGGAAGTTCTTGATGGGTGTGGCATTTCAACTCTGCAGGATAAAGTTCCACACCTGTTTCCCAACAAAATGAGAAGTGACACTGCTGAACTGCACATTTAGAAGCAGTCAGGATAACAAACGTATGACATGTGGTTCTTGCATGTACAGTTTTTAATACTATTTATGTATTGGGTATAAATTTAAATTAAAACACTAACATTTTTATGAAAATCAGAATAGGACTAAACGAAATGTTAGCTGTCACTGTTTTGTTTTCATTTTTGTTATTTTATTTTTACTTTCTGTGTTTGGGTGTTCTGCATCACTTGCGGAGACCAGAAAAAGCATCAGATCCTCTGGAACTAAAGTTACAGACAATTGTCATCTATTGTGTGGGTGCTGAGAACCAAAACTCCATCAACAGGAAAACAGCCAGTGCTCTTAACCACGGAGCCACCTCTCCAGATCTATTAACTGTCACTGAAGAATGATTTCCTAGCCGGGCATGGTGGTGCACACCTTTTATCCTGACACTCAGTAGGCAGAGGTAAAGACAGGAGGATCTCTTGTGATTTCCAGGCCAGTCTCATCTGCATAGTGAGTTCTAGGACAGCCAGGGCCTACATAGAGAGACCCTGTCTCAAAAATCCAAAAAACAAAAAGGTGTATTTTCTTTTAGTGCTAATTGCTGTGGAGTTATGCTAAAAAAAAATTAAAAATTTTCCCTAATCTTTCTTTAACAGGATATTTGTCAAATGCAAAAGATACCTACAAAAGCATGTTGGACTCCTGCTTGGATAACATTTGGAGACAGCTGAAAGTTTTACAGTTTGCTAAGGAAAAAAGGCCTAAAACCAACTATAAGATTGAAGAATTACAACGTCAGATACTAAGCAGGTTGCAAGGTCAACAACAAATTAAGGTTGAGTATTAAGGCTAAAGCAGATAAAGAAACTAGTGTAAATAAAGGCAGTATAACATGACCTTACGCATTTAACTTTGAAGTTATACATAGGCTTTGTTTGGCCCTTGACAGTTTTCTCCTTAAGGAAGATAACAGTAGTCTCAGATGCGGAGAAAGGGGGATTCATGTCATTATTCATTGCCTTCCGATTTATAATGATTTAATTTCTGTTATAAAGTGTTGTTGTAGATTGATTCTCCCCACCTGGTATTTGTATAAGATCATGGAAATTTACATCATAATATAACTACAATAATTTATTTTTGGGTAGTGATCTAGAATCTCATCTGACATGATATTGTAAAAAATACTTTGTGTTTTTATTTTCTTACCCACCCTACATCAATTATATGAGAGCTGAATTAATGAAGTTTTAAGGCAAAATACCTCTTTAAACCTAATCTATCAGAAAAGCATGACAAGAGGTCACACTAAATCTAAATACAAATTTATATGGGCTTTTCCCTTTTCTACTTCATCACTCCTTTATCCGTTATAGTTTGAAAGTCTTGAATGACTTTCGTAAGTCATTACATTAAATCAATAAATGAGAAATTTATAATTGAACCTGATTCACTGCTCTCCTCCAGAAAAGAAACTGCTTGCAATGGAGGAGAATGAAGCAGCTACTCCTTCTCTCCAGTAATTTCAGACTTGTGGGGGCTGAAATTTACAGTAAGAACCAGGCTGAGACAACTGGTGCGTAGATAGTGTAGATAGGAATGCTGAGGCCCTGGCTCAGAACACGTCCCTCAGTGATATCTGCTGTTACTGGAATTTAGAACAAGGGTATTTACTCTGTAACCTGTGTGTTCCCTTTTTGTTTGTAAGATAGGGTTGTCTTGTAGCAGAGGCTGGTCATCCTACCCAGGCCTCCTGAATGCTGGGTTCATGTGGCAACTCTATTCTCATCATCATTACTTTTATCTGACCAGTTAAACTTGCTAGTTTTATGGCTAGCAAAACTGTGAAAAAGAATAATCCAGCTGGGGACATACCTCAGGGTAGAGCACTTGCTAGCATGTGTGAGGCCCTGGGTGTGACCTCCAGTACCACAAAAGAAATACGTAAGAGAAAAACAATCATTCAGCAATGCGTGCCAAATTCTTATTTTTGTCCAGGTACTGATTATAATAAGAATGGACTCAGATGGAGAAAAGCATTTACTTATTAAAACCCTTAAGAAAATGGAAGGTAAGAGCATTTAACTTATGTTTCATTTAATAAATGTTTTCTTTAAGTTATATAAATGAAGTCATCTAGCTGTTATTGTAAAATACCATACATTTGTCTTCTCAAAATCTAGGATTCAAGTGGGGTTTCACCAATGGTTTGATTCTCCAGTTGCTCTCATCGGTATTTAACTAACAAATTTTAAACCAATGTAGACTCTAAGTTTGCAATATATCTATAATGTACTTACATGTATTTTATTAAGAATTGATGTTTTATAGATTACTTCCTAGTTGCTACATTGATGCTATCTGATTACAACTCAGTTTTATAAACAAAGAAAAAAATTCATAAAGATTATATAGCATACTACATCTTGTAAGTAGTAACTGAGGAGATAGTATCTAGCCGGTTTTCTTGTTTCTGGGTATACTTCAGCTCTGCTCACTGATACTCCCTCTGCCAGCCCTCTCTTCTTTGAACTTTGGAGCCTATTGCTTACATGCAGTAAGGCACTCACCATGTCATTAATTTGTTTTTAGGATCATTTAGACTTTAGATGATGTGAGTCACCTTATGGCCTATATAAAGAAATAACACTCATCCTTATTGCTACCAAACTGTGTTACCAAGTAATAGTACACATAATGGTTAACCATTACTACGATATTATTACATAATAACTTTGTGAAGTTTACAGTTTATGGAAGTACACTAATAGATTATAGAATTAATTTTAGACTCGGTTTAACTGTTCTTTAGTTAGTTATGTCAACCAAAGATAAGCTAGATGAATATAAGGATACAGTATTTGAAATTTATATTTTGTTTAAACACTAGTAAGAAATTTAAAGTTGTGAATGGATAGTGCTCAACAAGTTCCATTTCTAATACAGACAGTAAACAAAAGCAGACACATGCTTGTCATATCACATTGAAATACACTCCTCTGCATATTTTTATGCACTTACTTTTTGGCTAGAGAAAAAATAAGAATTTACTATGATTTGTGGCAAAATAAGATTAAATGCATAACTAATGAGTATTTAATATGGCTGTTTTAAAATGAAATGTTTGATGTTTTTGTTGGTATAAAACATGATCTTTGTGTATACACACCAGAAAAATTGCTTATATTATAAGCTTTCTAGTAAACTAGACTTAGAAATGTAATCTGGAAAAATCTTTTTTCAAGTAATTCCCTTTCTTATAGAACTTCAGTTCATTTTTATGGGAGTGAAATTTGTGACATTGACAAAAAATTATAAAAAAAAAATTAGGTCTTGTTGAAAGAAAACTCCCGTTTTCCCCAACAGGTTTAACATTAACTGTTTTACGTTCAAATGAGAGAAAAGATTTTCTGGAAACTACTGGTGTTTTAAAAGGGTAAGATTGTTTTCTTTTAATCTATGACATAGTTCCAGAGGAAAGGGAGAGCTCCCTGTGAAGTTCCGGCTGTGCTGTAACTCAGTGCGGGGGAGGGGTGCTCACGGGCCATTAGTGGGCCTTGGGTTTGATCCCTATCCCTTGGGAAGGTGATCCTCTCAGAGTTCTGTTTTAAGAAAATCTGAAGTCCATGGCTTTATTCTCCTTAGAACACTTTAACTCTCAACACAGTCATGTCTATCTAATAAAATTAGCATCCATGAATTTAGTTTAGTCATATTTTAATATCCCCAAATTATCATCATCATTATTGTTACAATAGAAATAGAAATACTACTGGGCGGTGGTGGCATACGTCTTTAACCCCAGCATTGGGGAGGCAGAAGTAGGCAGATGTCTGAATTCAAGGCTAGCATGGTCTGCAGAGTGAGCTCTAGGACAACCAGGGCTACACAGAGAAACCCTGTCTCAAAAAAATAAAAAAAGGAAAGAAATACCTTTTAAAACATAACCTTGTTTTCTTCAGTATCTTGGCTTGTCATATCTCCTTCCTTTCTTTCTGGGGAGGACCTGCTAATAAGTAATAGACCTAGCATTGGGTTGATTTTTATTTGTTTGGTTGATTGGTTTTTTTTGAGACAGGCTTTCTCTGTTTAACATCCCTGGCTGGCTGTCCTGGAACTCACTTTGTAGACCAGACTGGCCTCGAGCTCACAGAGCTCTTCCTGCCTCTGCCTCCTGAGTGCTGGGGTTGAAGGTGTGTGCCACCTTTATTTTGTCTTATTTCACATAGAAATTATTTCTAATATTGGGATCCAAATAATGAAAAGAAATATAAATAAAATAGAAGCCCATAAAAACTAGGTATAAGCACTTTAAACTTCTGGATTTATCCAGATAGAAAGGCATAGTGGAGAGGTTTTAATTACAGTGGGTGCTCAATTACATGAAGACGATGAGAAGGGGACACTTACACTACTGTAGCCATCATTTCTCTTCTTTTTTCTTTTCTTTAGAGACAGGGTTTCTCTGTATTGATTTGGAGGATGTCCCGGAACTCGCTCTGTAGACCAAGCTGGTCTCGAACTCACAGAGATCCACCTGCCTCTGCCTCCAGAGTCCTGGGATTAAAGGCGTGCGCCACCAATGCCCGGCTCTTTTGTTTTTTTCTTCAAACGTGTCTATCATTTCTTGTTTTCGTTCAACACTTATGAAGCCCATTGGGAAGAAACAACTCCATCTGACAGTTGTCAGAAAATACCCTACTATGTAGATTCTCAAAATTAAGACTTTGCATTGGTGAGTGAGGCTGTTTTTCATGTTGTTATCTATTATTGATGATACTCAGGTAATAAAATCAGAGTTACATTATGAGCAAATGAAATTTTGTATGTTCTGGTATTTTTTCAAAGTATGGTATCTGAGAGATAGATAAAATAAAGCACACCTTTAATCCCAGCACTCAGGAGGCAGAGGCATTTGAGACCAGCCTGGTCCAGCTAAAGAGTGACAAGGTACTTCCATGTCTTGGTCTGCTTTTGTCTTCAGTACGAGTGCCTGTGTGGTTGTGCATAATCACAGTATTGGAGCAGATTTTCCCTGGAGCAGCTTCTCACTCGTGGTGGAGTACAATCACGTGGAACACTCTTGCTGGGCCAAGCACTGCGGGCAGCTGAACGTTCCTTTCCTGGTCTTTAAAGTCATTCTGCCAGACACAGCGCTGAAAAGTAAGGAGAAAAGCCAGTGTCCTGCTCTCCAGTAGAGGAGAATTGTTCTGTTTAAAAAAGTACTTTTCTTTGTTCAGATTTCTAATTATATGGTTTCTTTAGCATACAACTTTATTACTACTGTTTAATAACAAGAGAAAGATGTGGTAGAAGAAAAATGTAAACATTTATAATTCTCTTATTTAGGAAACACCTTGCTGGATAGATTTGGTGGGTTTCTCTTGGAAATTCAGATCCCATACATATTTTTTGCATCTGAAGGATTGCTTAATACCCCAGAAATACTCCGGCTGCTGGAATCTGAGTAAGTCATACTTTTCAGTTGTTGGTTTCGGCAACGTCAGTATGTGTATGTGTGTATTCTGATTAGCAATTACACTGTACACGCTATACCTTATCTTCCTGATCCAAGACTAGAATATTACAAGAACTTCTTTCCAAAGAGTGTATCAATTTACATTTCTAGTCCCTAAGCTACAACTATTGAATAATATCTTTTATAATACTTACTAATGTTATGGACAAAATGAAATTTAATTTTTCTTTAATTTGCATTTTATTTAAAATTCTCTTATTACCAGCACTAAAAATATCTTATGTGTTCTTTTTCTGAGAATTACATGTTTTCAGGTCATTAGTTTTAAGGTCATATTAACATTGAGTGTTTTAATTTAAAAAATACTGTATCATAGTACACAGGAATATTGAAGTGAACATCAATGAAGGAAAACTGAGTTATTACTTCAGATAAAATCCAAATCAACATTATATTCTTTTGTTTTCATATTGAAAGGCTAGGGTACTCATAAAAAACTGTTAGCTCATAAAAAGTAGTTAAAGTATAGACAGAGACTTGGGTTGTAACTCAGTTATCGAGTATACTTATTATGTGTGTATGAGGCTACTGAGTATTTGTGGGTCCCTGGATTTAAACTCCAGTAGCAGCTTGACCTCCAAAAGTAAGTCAGTTTAAAAAAGAGAGGAGAAAAATCTGATAAATGGGAAATCTTACAGTTTTTTGACATGTTATTTGGTTTTATGAGTTACTGCTAAAGAACTAGCATAAATCAATGAAAACATTTGTAATGTTGTATATGTATATTAATATTCAGCACAGTTACTAAGACAGCATATACTTTTTAAGAGGATTGTTGTTGTGATAAGAAAAAGACAAAAAGAAATTAGCATGGGCTGGAGAGAGGGCTCAGCTATTAACAGTACCTCCCAAGGACCAGCGTTGAGGAGTTAGGTTCCCAGGACTCATGTTGGGCAGCTCATAAACACCTGTAACTCCAGAGGTGACCCAGGGAATCTGATGCCCTGTTCTGGCCTCCATGGGCAGTGGAATGCACACGCACTCACACACACATGCATACATAAAAATTAAAACTAAATCTTTAAACAAATAAAAATTCAAAAAGAGATTAACACAGTTCAAGGAGAAACTGATAGAAAGTGCACTAGAGGCCTTCCAAACTGAGCAGGTACAGATTAGAGAAGTCTCTGGTTTCTTCCGTATACTGAATGAATCACAATTTCCTTCCCAAAATTTAAAGAGTAAGTTGATTTATGGAAAAAAAAAAACACAAAACACAGAAGGATAGCACAGTCCTCTGAAGGGCGTTCTTAGCCACAGCTTTATCTTCACTGGAGAACATTGTCTTTTGCAGCTATAATATCACACTGGTGGAGAGATGCTGCTGTGAGTCACTGAAACTCTTTGGAAGCACAGAGCGTTATGTAGTGGTGACAGTTGACGAGCAGACTGCTGTGGTTGTGCAGGTAAAACTGTGTAATAAGAAATAGAAACGCAGGTGGGAAGTGAATCTGGGGGATCAGCATGAGGAGTAAAAAACAAATATATTCAAAGGTATGAAATTATCACTTATTAATAAAATATATTAAAAATAGAAAGTCAAGCATATAAAAATGATACAACCATGTGATTTTTTTATATGGAGCTTAACTACAATCTGTGATTTGCAAATGGGCACAGTGCTAATTACCACCATGGAAAATGACTACCAATCATTTTCACATACTTAAGGAAGACAAAGACGAGTCAAGCAAAGTAGTGTATATCTGCAACCCTGTCATTTAGGAGACTAAGACAGGATTGCATGTTTAAGACCAACCTGAGTTATATAGCAAGAACCTAACTCAAAACAAACAAAATGATAAAATAAACAACCCTTAGCATTGTATATTGGCCTATTTTTAAATTATAGAAAAATTAGTGTAGGAAGTTTAAAAAAATACCCAGGGTTAGGGATAACAGAGTGCTTGGATAGCATGCACAAAGCTCCCAGTGTGATCACCAGGTGTACAAACAAAGCAAGATAAAGAAAACCAAAAATCAGCCCCTCTCTCGTATAAAAAAGTGTGGTACAATTTTATGTGGCTAGGCAGTCCGTTCATTACTTCTTTTTCATTTTATGTGTGTATGTGTGTGGCTGTGTGAGTTTACGTGCACCACATGCATACAGAAGCCCAGGGATCCCTGGAACTGGAATTACAGGTGACAGCAAACTGCCCAATCTCCATGCTGGAAACAGCAGATCCAGGCTCTCTGTGAGAGGAGTGAGTGCTCTTAACTGCTGAGGCATCTTTCCAGCCCCAAGAAAGCATAATACTAATCGATGTTAGAAATATGTAATTCCCCCTAAAGCAAATAGGGATTACTTCAAATTTGTTTTTTAGAGAATCTCCAAAATTACATAGAATTTGGACCTAATCTCCTCACCCGCAGCACTGCCACCCAGCAGGTCGCTCAAACCACAGCTGCTGACACAAGGACTTACCACAGTAAGACCCATAAATTTGTTCAAATACGTAATTTGGAAGTTAAGATGCACAAACTCTTGGAAGAGTCTTCTTGTATGCTTGCTTGACTGATGTACCAGTTGCAAAGAAATGGAGATTGGAGATCAGGTTTGATGATGCAGAGTATAAATTATTGGTAAATGTGGTGAGGTCTGGTTTGATGAGCAAAAATTACAATATAAGAATGAGATAATGGAAAAGTTCAAGTACTGGATCCTTAAGGAGAGGGCATTTCCTTAATGCTTAAAGTTCTTAATTATTTGTTGACTTGGAAAAACTTTTAATCCACAGTTATAGAACTTCTGTTAGAAGAAGGTCATGTCTTGAATGCCCTTTATCAAATGTCCTGTTAAACTTTAATAATTGAAGGAAAAGAGGATCTAGGCCATTGAGGGACCCAGGAAGTCTACCAAGCCTGCCCTTTTAACCTGCGGTGCAGGCTCCAGGGCTTGAATCGGGTCACAATGCTCGAAAGCAAGTGCTCTTACAGTGCACTATCAACAGGCTATCCCACAGTCTCTAAATGTACTTTCTGTTGCCTTGGAGTAGCCAGAGCCCAGGCCACAAAGCACTTTACCAGCACAGGAGTACTTATTTGTCCATTTTATTCATATCTTAGGCTGTGGAAGACTCATAAGGCTTCCTGATCGATGCTGTCATTAGTTTCTTATTTTATGTCTACTGCAGATTTCCCCCAGTTTCTGTATGATTTTCCTTTTTACATTAAGCCATACCCATGCCTCTTAAGTTACCATTTATATACCAGACTATTGAAATTTTTAAACAGTATCTTTCTATTTTCTTTATTTTTATAGGACCTAGAAGAATTATATTATGAGAAGGCATCAGACAATATCATTATGAGATTAATGGCATTGTCATTCCAGTATAGCTGTTGTTGGATAATACTATATCCCAAGGAAACATTAAATTCAGAGTAGGTAAACATTTCTTCCTCCAAAGTCATGGTCATCGTCTTCTTCAGTCCTCTTTGCACACAAATGTTCCTCTAGTGTGCTTTAAGTGAGGGATTTCTGGGGATGGAGTCATGGTACTGAAAAACAAAGAACTCTGGAGAAGACACATGTCCTGGACATTCTGTTCAGATCATCTCCTCCTACCCCCTCTCATTAAGAGTTATTATTTTATCTGCTTAATTTCTTTGCAATCCTGGGCTTGTTTGCTAAAAGATAAATCATTTTTAAACCATTTCTAAATTCGTGTTAATACACTGAATGCGTAACTGTTTTGTTACATACTTCCGTCATTGATGGGTGTAACCAAAACATTAGAAAATGCCATGGCCAGACAACGGCTTGAGTCATCACTGTATTTTTCCTTTCCTTTACTGATAAACATAGTAAACATTTCTTCTTTGTCCTCTGCCAGCTGGCTTCTCTCACTCAGGACCATCAACAGTGCTTTTATCTTTCACTGCTATGAAGTGTCTAAGACTGTTACAGTGGTCTGTTGCTCCAAACTCCCCAGTTCCGCGACACTCCAATGCCCTTGATTGTCCACCTGTCCAAGTACTTTCCCCTGACTGAATATATTTGTTTTGAGTTCTCTTTCTCTCCTGTCCTATTCATTATCCATCTTATCTACTACAATCAGTATCTGTTGGCATATAATTATTATGTTTCTTTCCACAGCTGCAGTCTTTCTTGGGAATTCCTGGCACAAATCTCCAAGTCTTTACTAAATACTTCCGCCTTCATATTCCACAGTCTTTCAAAGTTAGCATGTTCACATGTGAACTGAGTGTATAGTCTCTGCCCTTTAGGAACTTTTGGCATTACCTCTATCCATCTATCCTGCATTTATATTGCCAATACGTTAGCTCTGATTCTCACTGTTTCATATGGATTGTTACACTACCTGTTGCTTTTCTGTCTCCAGATGTCTCTCCGTGTTCCTTTAAGTGGTGTGTCATTACCCAGCTGATGCCCCTAAAACCAGCTCCTATTATTCCATTCTTAAGAAAAGCCTTTACTGACAGGCTGGGGAAATAACTCAGCCAGTAAAGTGTTTGGCATCAGGAACTGAGTTTGAATCCAAGACCCTGAGTTCAAATCCCAGAACCCATGTTGAAGAAAACAATATCGACAATAAAACAGTCAGGCATGGTGGTGTGCATTTTAATCCCAGCGGTAGAGAGGAAAAATCAAGTGGGTCCCCGTTGCTCACTGACCAGCCAGCCTAGCCTGCTTGGCCAGTTCCAGGCCAGTTATAGACCCTGTCTAAAAAAGCAATGTGACAGCACCTGAGAAATGACACTTGAGGTGTTTGCTGCTGACTCTAAGCAGGGCACAGTAGTGAACACCTTTAATCCCAGCCAGAAGCAGGCAGATCCCTGTGAGTTTGAGGCCGCCCTGACTACATAGCAAGTTCCAGACCAACCAGAGCTACATAGTAAGACCCAAGACCCTGTCTCCAAAAAATGAAGACAGAGGAAGAGGAGGAAAAGGAAAGGTCATCAACTTCTGGGTCTGTGTGCATGTGTATACAAACAGACATTACACACACACACACATTACACACGCACGCTCGCACACACATGCATGCACATACACGCACACACGCACACACACGCACACACGTACATGTGACCGCACGTGTAAGGTGTCAGGGACATGACCCGCCTGTATTTTCAGGCTGTTTCTTCACTGCCTTCCAGTTTAGCCAGGTGCTTCCTACTGTCACCCATTTCTTTTCGACGTCTCAACCGTTTCCTCTAGTGAAACTGCATGCATTTTTTTTCAGTCCCAGGTACTGTGTTTTCTACTCCCTCTTCCTACTCCCTATTCACACCTCTCCATCCTGTGGACTGCTTAGCTCTCTGTTTCTTCTGTATTTTGATTCTCTGGAGTACACACTGCTTTCGTGTGATAGATGCCCAGTAATTGTTCATTGACTGAGTCAGTCTTTCTTACCAAATTTCTAGCCAGTTTGACTCACTTTTATATCCTATAATACCACCTAACTCACAGCAGGTTTTATGTATTCTTTAAATTGGTTGTTAAAGAAGGTATCAATATATTTGACATTGCCCATGGATTTTTTTCACTTTTTTGACACCATTCTTGTTTAGTAGTTCACTGAACTCTTCCTGTATAATTATTATCTTGTGAGGACAGATACAAACTGCAGTCTAAGAGTCTAAACACCTTGGCTCTTAACTCCTTTTTGATTAACAAATACCCCCAGCAAGCCCTTTAACATAGTTAGCCCTTTCTACCTGGCTACAAAATAAAAACTGGTTCCTGCTTTACTGCCTTCACTTTGAAGATTAATGAGACCTATAAAACACTTCTAGCTTGGTGCCTACTTATAAATCATTTTAAGCTTTATCCAAAGCCTGGTAATTTTTTAAATAAATTACTTATTTGGAAGTTTTCTAAGGCTGTTTTCAGATTGCTGTTTATAGTTTTGTAGTTCAATTAAAATACAGAGAACAGCAAAAGATCCCAACTTGTTTTGCCTATCATATAATATTCTGAGATATCTTTATTTTATCAGAATATATACAGTGTGGTCATTTATTTGTAATATAAATATAATTATTTTCAGAATTCTGAGTTTCATAGCTCTGTTTTATTAGATTATTGTAACTTTTGTTTTGTTTTTCGAGACAGGGTTTCTCTGTGTAACCCTGGAACTCTTGTAGACCAGACTGACCTTGAATTCACAGAAATCTTCCTGTATCTGCCTCCCCAGTGCTGGGATTAAAGTCATGCACTACCACCGTCCAGCTGCTAATTGTAACCTCTAAGTAATATATCAATTAGCTGGCCAACGAAAGAAATAGAAAATGTAAAAAGAATGGTTTGCATTATGTTAGTTATTCAGGCAATTTCAAGAAAAAGCACCAGCAACCTTTGAGAATACCGCTTGGTTTGGTGTTTGCCAGAGTCATCGTATAGTTGCACTCATGGCTGTGACTTACTGCAATCCAAGGTTAACAATCTATAATGCAGAATATACAAGAGAGGAAACTCATTGGACGAAGCCCTGAAGAAACTTCCAAGAGTCTTTTCCTAGTTCACATACAAACGTTGTGACAATTCTACAAACCTTTATCCATCCAGGAAGCTTATTAGAGACACAATGACCAGGGTTAAGGGCTTAGCCCAAGTCAGTGCTTCCGGGGCTCAGAAGGTAAGAAAGTTCAGCAGTATTCATGTAGTTGGTACAAACAGCTTGGGCACAGTAAGTTACTCTGCCAACCTTTTACTCTGTGGAGAAAATGTGTCTGGTGTTGTGTGACACCGTTCATGGGGAGATGCAAAGAGATATCTACTCACCCTGAATAGGGAATCAGTGACAAAGCAAGGGTACCACTACAGTCCAACTTGGTGAACCAATGAATTTACTAGGGTTACTTACAGGAGTGTGGATGAAGGATTAACCAGGAGCAGAAATGACTCAGTTAGAAAGAACATGGCCAAAAACCCACCCCAGTATTGGTGACAGCTCACCAAAGCTACAAACTTGTACCTCACTGCACAACTTGGCAGTCTGCAGAAACTCCTTTCTAGGCAAATCAGCATGAAGAGGCTCAGACCATCCACACTGCCTGGAGGAGATAAATCAGCCACACTGTCTGGAAAAAGCAGAGACCAGGGAGCTGCCTGGAAAGGCTCAGATCAACTGAACTGTCTCGGGGGAAAGTGCCCCGACCATATGAGCTGTCTACAAACTATGCAGTGTGCTCCAGGTTCCAGCATTTGTGAGCTGTCACCTATGCTGGGGTGGGCTCTGGTGGTGCAGCTGTCCTTGAGTCAGTTCTGCTTCTATAAGTAACCACACTAAAACACATAGTTCACCAAGTTGGACTTCAGTGGTTACCTTACTTTGGTCTGTCATTGATTCCTGATTTGGAACAGATAAACACCTATTCACACCTCCCCAGGAGTAGTGTTAGACAACACGACGACACGGAGAAAGAAGCTGACACACAGGACAAAAAGAGCCAAGAAATGCCTAGTAGAGAAGAATACTTGCTTGGAGTTCTTAGTAATAGACTAGTAGTCTCCTCGTGGCTGCTTAGAATATAGAGAGTGGGTAGGTAACCGTAGAAGTAGCCACTCACAGGTCATCATTCACATCTGACCCAGTCATTAACTATATAAAGGGAAGAGTGCTTATTCTAATGTAGCAGCTCATGAGAGAAGGTAGGTGTCCTGGTAATAGGTATCCTATTACCTTGATCCAGAGATGAGTATTCTGTGTGTCTAACTTTAGTTCATACAGTCAACCCTGGAGGTAAGAATGGAGTGAGTCAGATTTTCTCCTCACCCATCATCTCCTAAACACATCCCCCAGCATCCCTAGATTTAATAGTGTGGAGAAGGAGGTGGAAATGTCCTTTCCAGAGAGGGTAAAAAGTCAGTGAAAGGGGAGGTGGGACATGCATGCAACTAAATGTCTAATGAGTAAGTGTGTGATAACATCACTCCTAGGTACCATCTCACAGAGAAGACCCTCCATCACCTCTCACAGATTTATGCAGCTCTGGCTTCCTCTGGCCTTAAATCTGAAGAACTGGATGTAAAGGTATTATTTTCCTATATATCCATAAGTATTGTTCATAAACTAAAATCAGACTTGAACTCAAGTGCCCAGTGTGAAGAAACATTAAGCAGACACAATTCCTTAAGATCCAATAAAGAGCAGGGTCAAGTTATTAAATGCATACAACTCCACACTTCTGTTTTAAAACCTTGTATGTGTTACATGAACACACACACATAAATACACACAAAACAAATAAATATGTGACAAGAACTTAAAGGGTGGTGTGATGCATGTGCCTGTTATCTTGGCACTCAAAAGGCTGAAATGGAAAGTTCATGAGTTCAAAGACAGCTAGGGAACTATATTGTGAGACTGTCTCAAAAACCAAAACAACAATGAATGTTTTTAGCTAATTTAAAATGAAGCCATAGTTAGAACTTTTACACTTGATCTTAGCCAAAAGGCCGAGAAGCGATCATAGTTAGAACTTTTAAAAACCACATAAGGAGATGAAGAAATAAATGTTCCTTGATCAAAAGGAGCCCTTCATGAAAGATGTACTGAGTTTTTTATCTGCTGCAGAATGGAAATCTCAGGACGTTTTGGTTGGGTAATGTGTACTGGTGATCTCCAGTCTCCTTGCTTGGCTGTAAGGCATTTGTCTGAGTTCAGGGTTCATTATTTTTCTGTTATCATTTCATGTTCTTTCATCTAAGAACTCAGACATTACCACAGCCTTGCTGTAGTTTCTGAGTACTGTTCTTAAAATCCTTGTGATAGGTAAGGCCTGTACCTATATTCTAGCAACTGGTTGGAGATCTCCACAGGAATATCCTGCAGATACCTCAGACTCTGCGTGTCCAAATGAAACTCCCCATCCTCCCCCAAGCTTGATTTATGACATCTCTGTTAGGTGGCATGCTCATCTTTGTACAGCTGCATTATCTCTGGGATAAGTCTCCCTCCCCTGCCATCATCACTTATCATGCAGATTTTTCAAATGCTTTCCTAACTAGCCACCTACTCCATCCTATGCTGACACCAATTCCATTGTAAGACACAGCTGTGAAAATCCACTCCCTACACAGTGCACTTCTGGAGGTGAGCAAGCTTGTCTGTTCACTTCCGTATTCTGGGCCCCCAGCCAAGGAGAAGGCTATTGGCTAATACTCACTGTTATGTTTTCTTGCTTGGAGATCTCCCATGTGTTCCTGCTTCATTCAGAATACAGTGGAATTCAGGTGGATGCAGAATTCAGTCCCTAGGTAATCATCTCTCCATAAATCCCCACATGGTCATACTCAGCCAAGGGAGAGATGTCATCCAGCCTTCCTTCCCCCAGGGTGCTGCTGTCTATGTCTTGGAGCCATATTTCAAACACTGCTTCTTTAAGGAGCCCTGCCCAGGCATACCCTCTCATTGTAAATATGGCCTTCCCCATTACACATTGTACTTCCATTATGGTGTGAGGTGTTTGTTGGTGGTGATTTTGTTTTACTTTGTTTTTTGTTTTTGAGAGAGTGTCACTGTGTAGCATAGCCCTGGCTGGCCTTGAACTCACAGAGATCCACCTACATCTCAAGTGCTGAGATTAAAGGTGTGTGCTACTTACTCCAGGCACAGGTATTTATTCCTATACTCTCTGCTTAGGTAAGAACTAAGTCCTTTGTAAACCTGTGGCATCTAGTACAGTGCTTCATACAGAGCAAATGTATTTAACAAATACCTGCTAAATAGTTATGTTAAATCACAACCTGTTAAGAATATTAAGAAGTGATCTTTTTGGAAATTCAAATCTCATAATATGGTAAAATTTTGTTTATTATCTAACAAATAAAGCTTGCCTGAAGATGAGAGTGCAAAGCTAGACACACTAGTTAGCCATAGAGACCAGGCAGTGGTGTCACACACTTTTAATCCCAGCACTTGGGAGTCAGAGGCAGACAGATCTCTGTGAGTTCAAGGCCATCCTGGTCTACACCAGTGATCCAGTCTAAAAGAGAAACAGATCCAGGTGGTGGTGGCTCACACATTTAATCCCAATACTTGGGAGTCACAGGCCTTTAATCCCAGCACTAAGGAGGTAGAGACAGGAAGGCATATAGCTGGGCGGAGAGAGGAATATAAAGAGGGAGGAGACAGGAGCTCAGTGCAGTCTAGGCAGTCAGTCTGAGCATTTAGTCTGAGGACTGGTGAAGACAGGATCGCTCATTTGGTTTGAGGTAGAGGTAAGAGCTAGTGGCTGAAAAAAAAAAGAGCTAGTCTGCTTTGCTTCTCTGATCTTTCAACCCCTCCCCCAATATCTGACTCTGGGTTTTTTAGTATTAAGAACAGTTAGAATTCGTGCAACATCATGATACCTACTACACACAAAAGTAAAATTCATAGAAAAGTTACCTTTAAATAAATGAATGGAAAATGTAAATGTGTCTTGTTTATTCAAATGAGGATCCATTGCTTGGTCAACCTTTTCTGAGCATGTAACAAACAATTATATGTAAAATATATCAGTAAAGTGCTGCTCTGTTCAGATACAGGGACACGGTCCACAGCAGAGAAGGAATGCCCTAAGGAAGGAAGGCCTTTGAGGATAAAAGAAGAGTGCTATGCAGGCAATTCATCCCAAACAAAAGTCTGCTTCCACCCAGATAAAAACTACTTCAGATACTTCTCAGGTCCATCCTACAAAGTAATCTGGTTTTGTCTTTCTTACTGTTAGTATGTCATTACTATGCATATGTATGTCATTATTCTGACTTGATGTCACTATTAAAATAGGCCTGAGGAAGATAGGGATGTAGCTTGGCGAGTAGAGTGCCTGCATAGCATTCACAAGGCCGTGGGTTCAGGCTCCAGTACCACATAAAACTGGATGCGGCCGTGCACGCCTGTCACACCACTGCACTTGGGACGTTGAGGCAGGAGGATCCATTTTAGCTACATATGGAGTTCAAGGATAGCTCGGACTACATGAGACCCTGACTCAAAACCAGAAATAACTAGGGGCTCTTAAACCCATATATATTATGTATGTATTAGAATGCATTGCTCCTTTATTTAGTTGTCATGGCTTTTGTCTCTTAGAGAGCATCAGTATATTATTAGCATTTTTTTTTGTTTCCAGCCATCTTAGCCATAAAAGAAGTCTAAGGACATTCCCTTTAATTAAAAGAAGGCATTGGTAGTGTTATCTAAATATTTCTTTTCCATTTGTTAATCTTTCTTTTTTCTTACAGTACTGGTGGTTCAATTCAAAGCCTTGTGTGTGGTAGACAAGCAGGCATATAGCACTTAGCTATATCCTTAGCCTTCTAATTTAAAAGATTTCTATGAATTTCTTATGACCTCTCTTTGTAGATGATATGAAATATATACATACACAAATGCAGACATAAGGCCTCTTGAATCCTCTTAGTCTAGGCATGAACCCAGAATTCTTGTCCTCATCAATTACTGCAGTACTCATTACCATCATAATAAAACTTTGCCTTTTAAACTAAAGTTCCATTTAAAAGGAAGTATCATGTCTTTCTGAATTCATCTAAACTAACAATGAAATAAAGGTGTGATTAACATATCATCTGTATACTCTGTGTATATATATTTGTATAAACTTTGAAAAATTCTCTTTTACAATATATGCACCAAAAAGGATATACTGACAATTTTGTATTTAATATTTTTTAAGTGCACTGGTGTTTTGCCTCCATGTATGTCTATATGAGACTATCGAACCTTCTGGAACTGGAATTAAAGATAGTTGTGAGCTGCCATGTGGGTGCTGGGAATTGAACCCAGATCCTCTAAAAGAGCAACCAATACTCTTAATCCCTGAGCTGTCTCTCTAGACTTGTACTTAATATTCTGAAAGAAACTAGCTCATATTTATTTTGTGATGTTTGTACCCCTTTATTGTGTATAAGACTCAAACGTAAAGTGTTATGTACCCCAGTATGGGCTCTTCACCTAAGCTGTATCTCCAGCCTTTGTGGTGTTTTGAGTCCCCATTAAACACAAGATTCTTATTTTATTTCCCTGTGTGGGTTCTGGCTGTGGCAAGTCTTTTTCTGTCCCTCCAGCCAGCTCCCGAATAATGACATGGAGACTTCTTATTAACTGTCAAAGTTTGGCCTATAGCTCAGACTTGTTCCTAACTGGCTCTTATAACTTAAATGAAGCCACTTATATTAATCTTCATTCTATCACGTGGCGGTACCTCTCTTTCATCTTGTATCTCCTGTTTCCTCTCCATGTCACTGGTGTCTCCATCCTTCTTCTTTCCAGAGTCCTCTCTGTCCCCAGGAATTCTGCCTAACCTCTTCCTTGCTATTGGCCATTCTGCTTATTACACCAATCACAGCAATACATTCTCACACAGTGTACAAGTGTCCCACAACACTCTAGCCCTCTTGCCAGGCTAATCCCAGGATTACAGATGCAGGAACTGATTTACAGTTGGTTATAAGCTGCTATGTGAGTGTTGGCACTGTACCTGTCCTCTGCAAGAACAAGTATTATAAACCACTGAGCAATCCCTCCAGCTCAGAAATTACACACACACACACACACACACACACACACACACACACACACACACACACACACACAAAAATTTCGGCAAGAATATCTTAGAATCAAATAAGCTAAGAGTGAACAAACAATTACCAATTAGAATGACTACTCAAAATCAAAACATTTTAAAATTTACTTTCTCATTAACTTTTGAGAATTCTGTGTATGAATAGACTATAGTTTGATCCTATTCATCTCCTATTCTTACCCCTAACTTCTTAGATCCACCCCCTCACCCCTCCTAACTTCATGCCTTCTTTTTTTTTTTGTTTTTGTTTTTTTGTTTTGTTTTGTTTTTTTTTGGTTTTTACGAGACAGGGTTTCTCTGTATTGTTTCGGAGGCTATCTGTCCAGCCCGGTCTCGAACTCACAGAGATCCGCCTGCCTCTGCCTCCCGAGTGCTGGGATTAAAGGCGTGCGCCACCACCGCCCGGCCATGCCTTCTTTTTTTAATAGCCCACCAAATCTAATTTGCGTTGCACATATATTCATGTGTGGCCATCCATTGGGAGCGTGGTTGACCTAGTGGGAACTAGATTCTTAAAGAAAACCACTTCTCCCTCCCTGAGAAGCATGGGTTATCAGTAGCAACTCAGCTAGGAGTGGGACTTGGGAGCCCCTCTCTGCCCAGGCTAGAATGTGGACCGGCTTTATCTCGCTCAGGCAACAACAGCTGCTGTATTTATGAGTGCGGCAGTCCTGGTGTGTCCATGAGATGCTGTGCTGCCCTGTCTCCCGTCTTCTGGTCTTACGGTCTTTTTGCACCCTCTTCTTCTATGAGTCCTGAGCCTTTGGGTAGGAGTGTGACATAGTTGTCCCAAGACACTGATTCTCTACAGTTTGACCAGTTTTGCGTTTCTGTATTAACCACTGTCCACTGCACAAAGAAACCTCTGATGAGGTCTGAGAGCTGGTAGAGAGAAATGATGGTAGAGGGCAGTTTGATATTACATCCAGGTAGCAGAATAATAATAATAGGTTCACCCTGGAGCCCATGATTTCCCCAGCCATGGACCCTTGTCGATTTACAGTACCAGATATGCTCCTGTAAGCAGGGCTTATGTCTTATTTTTTTTAAGATTTATTTATTTGTTTATTATGTATACAGTGTTCTGTCTGCGTGTACCCCTACAAGCCAGAAGAGGGCACCAGATCTCATTACAGATGGTTGTGAGCCATCATGTGGTTGCTAGGAACTGAACCCAGGACCTCTGGAAGAGCAACTAGTGTTCTTAACCACTGAGCCATCTCTGCAGCCCCACTTATGTCTTATTTTAACACAATATGAAATTTAATTTATAAGTGCCTTTCATGTTTAAGTTTTCTTTTGAAAACTATTGTATTTTTATTCTTATTTTCATTTGATAACTACTAGAAAAAGCAAAATATTAAATATTACCAGTGATTTTCAAATTGCTCTTCTGTAAGTAAAATATAACACTAAATAAATTTTAAAAAGACTTTATAGGTAAATGCCAAATTAAAGTGAAGAAAAATGGACTCCGGTGATTAGAGAATAGGATGCAATGCTGAGAGAAAGGAGCCGGGGATGGTGGCAGACCCCTTCAACCCTGACACTCAGGAGGCAGCGGCAGGGAGAGCTCTGTAGGTTTGAAGTCAGCCTGGTCTACATAGCAGGTTTCAGGATAGCCAGGGCTATGTAAAGAGACTGGTCTCGGAAGTAAAAAGGAGGGAGGGAGGGAGGGAGGGAGGAAGGAAGGAAAATGACTTGGTTATCCTCACAAATGAAAGATCTTGTGTTTCAAATACACACACTAATAAATTATATACAAGATTATTATTAAAAATTCACTACTTAGCCAGGCGGTGGTGGCACACGCCTTTAATCCCAGCACTTGGGAGGCAGAGGCAGGCGGATCTCTGTGAGTTCGAGGCCGGGCTGGACCGATAGCCTCCAAAACAATACAGAGAAACCCTGTCTCGTAAAAACCAAAAAAAAAAAAAAAAAAAAAAAAAAAAATTCACTACTTAGATTTTTCCTTTATCTCAAACTATTTCTGAATGGTATGTCTTACTTTGTAATACTTTCCAACAATCTAACATGTTTTTTGTTTTAGCTTATAATTGCCCCAGGAGTAGAAGAGACTGCTTTAATAATTCGACAAATCGCAGACCACAATTTAATGACATCGAAGAGAGATCCTCATGAGTGGTTGGATAAATCCTGGGTTGAAGTTTCACCATCTCAGGTTACTTTTTCTAAACGTATAAATTAGACATCTGTGAGGCAAACAAATAGGAATGCCTGAATTCCCTTCTTGAGAGCCTGTTTTCCCATGCTTCCCACATTGTTATAAATTCAGTGACAAAATTTTAATCTGTAGACTAAAATAGGTCCCTCTGAGAAGACCACTGCCTGAGGAGACACTACACTGTTTTCTAGGAAGAGATGAACCTACTTGATTTCCCATGTATTAACCCACTGGTGGCTCAGCTCATGTTACACAGAGCTCCTTCCCTGCACTGGCTACTGACAACATCGCCCGCTGAGCTGCAGGGACTCCTTCCCCAGGTTCCAGCCAAAGTACTGAAGGTGAGACTCAGAGAGCACAGGCTCCTGGCCCTTCCCACTGAGGTTACCCGTGTGGACCACAGTCTTTCTAATGACTGTGTCCAGCCCTGTTTTGGACATCTCATAGGAAAGAAATCATTTACTTGAACCAACTTTCATATGGAATTGCCATTAGTTGTCAACCACATCATACATTTTAAAGCTATCATACATGATTCAGTACAGTTTATCAAATTTGAAGGCATTTTGAAATATCATTGTATTCATAAATGCACAATTAGCATGTGTTTACATTACCCCTTCCAAGAACCCCTGATGTCTTTTACCATAGGGAATAGAGCTTTAGCTTTATTGCTGTTTTTAAAATCTTATCAAGGAATAGTATTCATGTGTAGTTTGTATAACTGAAATAAAATCCACTGTATCTGTTGTGAACCTAAACCATCTCTAAAAACAGTCTGTTAAAATTCCATTGCAAGATGCTAGGAAATAGATGCAAACTACAACATTCTCTTTTAGTGGTATTTAATTACTTTTTATGTTAGTTTGTGGCTCAATGTAGTATCCATGAACTTAGGTAGGCATCATTTTATTTTCTAGGCTGTATTCTATTAAACTTATTTTTAATTTTTCAGCATTTTTGTAGCATCACTTCCTTGTTTAAGATTAGTTCTTCCTCCAAGAAAAAGTCACCTCGAATTTCATCACTTCAGGAAGATATGAATCCAGGTGGTCCCTTTGTTTCTCAGAGTTTGGCTCCTGTCCTTCAGGAACACGATGAGTATTATTCCTATGAAGACTCTGAAGAAGCGGCACAGGGCGGTACAAGCTCCTCCCTTCTGGAGCTAAGAGAAACACCGCGTGTGTTACCATTTGCAGCATCTCACAGTCAGGCCAGGCCCCGGGCAGCCTCCACCTGTGGCCCTAACACAGTGCAGGATAACCCTTTTCTAATCAAGAAGCAATCAAAGAAAGTGGCTGGGCACTCCTTCCCAAGTCAGGATGATTCAGAATCAGGTGTCTTCTCTCTGGGCCTAACACAAATAACCTGTGGACCTGAAATGTTGCCAACTGATACTCAGAGGAGAGTTATCCATAATTGTGTAAGTTATCCTAAAGCAAAAGGAAGCAGAAACATGCAAATGTCCACCCCTGCCTTTTTACCAGAGGCTTCTCAACCCCACCATGGTTGGGACTTTAAGAAAAACAGTGATAGAAAACAGATTCGGTCATTCAGTTCAAGCCGTGGAGCACAACAGACTACCTACAACAAATGGTACCCACAACAAGATGAGTTACCCAGTGATCAGCCTGAGCATCTGTGGGCCGACTTGGAAGACATCACATACAGACATCCAGCTGCTGGGAGAGAGCTTCCGTCTGTTCCCAGCTGGGATTCATTCTGTGCTCCTGATTTTAATGTAAACCAAAGAGGATTCAAAGGCCTTAATTTCTACCAAACAGCTGGGAACTACTTGGGACAGAGAAGACTCCCTGTGCCTTCATCTAGCTGGGGAGATTATGAAACACCAACAGGTAACACTAATAGTCGATACACCTTCTAGTTATAATTTTTAAATCTAAAGCTAGGGGCTGGAGAGATGGCACAGTGGTTACAGTACTTATAGCCATTGCAAGGGACCCACATTCGGTTCACAGCACCCACTTTGGGTAGCTCACACTACCTGTAACTCCAGTTCCCAGGGATATGACACTGTGGTCTCCTTGGACACCTGCATTCACGTGCACACACCCACGTGCAGACACATACACATATACATAACTAAAAATACTTTAAAATGATAGTGCTATAATCATATTTCAATGAATGTTTTAATTGTCACACTAAAGTTCTCCATTAACTTTGGGTTTAAGAAAAAATCAAACTTACTGGTCTAGCAAAATATTTCAAATTCTTGTAGTATCAAATGAACCATATCTTCAACTTAAGTTTGATAGCACCAAGGAAGATCTCTGAGTTCAAGATCAGCCTGGTCTACATAGTCAGTTCTGGGACAACCAGAGCTTCCAAGAGAGACCCTGTTGCAAAACAGACAAAATAAGAAAAAGAAAAGAAATTTAAAATAAAAGTAGGCAATCTAAGTAAAGCGGAAGATGATCAGGATTAAACGAGGAATCAGACCGTCAGGTACATATCTATTTTGCTAACATTTGTTAAGTTAAGGGCTGGTGACAGCTCAGTCTCTAAGGTGCTTACTGTGCAAACATGAGGATCTAAGTTCACTGCCCAGAACCCACATACAAAAGACTTGCATTGTGGACATGGCTTGGAACCCCAGAACTTGGGAGTGAGAGTCAGGTGCATCTGTGGGCTCACTGTCAGACAGCCTAGCATATTTGGCAAGCTCTAGGCCAGAAAGAGATTCTGTCTCAAAAAAAATCAGGATGGCCGGGCGGTGGTGGCGCACGCCTTTAATCCCAGCACTCGGGAGGCAGAGGCAGGCGGATCTCTGTGAGTTCGAGGCCGGGCTGGACCAATAGCCTCCGAAACAATACAGAGAAACCAAAAAAACCATAAAAACCAAAAAAAAAATCAGGATGGATGGTACCTGAGGAGGAACAACACCTGAGTTGTTGTTTCTTCATGTGCACATGCACACTTGTGTAACACACACACACACACATACACACACGATGCTAGATCCCAGGTAAACCTTTTCCATGAGTTGTTTAACTTTATTAGGCAGGAACCCCTGTCAGCTTCACTTTGATGTATATTTTTTTACCCTGCCTTGAAAAACCAATAGTAATAATGATGATGATGATGATAATTTCATTCTGAAATTTAACCTGAGTCTTTGGTGGTGGTATCTTCACTATCACTGGGGCAAATATTGGCTTATTTAATGTGCTTTCCCATGGCACACCACAGTGTCCAAATATAATTGTCGTTTTATCTTCGACACAGCAGCTGTGCCTTAATCTATTGCTATTTCAGCCAGCAATTGTGACTCTGCAGTTACCGGCAGTGACCCAGCCACTCAGGCTGCAGCCTGTAGGGAATTCTGTTCCCATGGGCTCCAGCTCTGTCGCTGCAGCTAAAGGTAGCTTTAACTGAATCTCTACCATTCTATTTATAAGTAAGACGTGAGACTCAAAGGCTGGGGTGAACACCTGTGAGCTCAGAGGTGTTCTCCTTGCTGGCACCTCTGCAAGACCCGTGCTTCCACTCTGCCAAACCAGAAAAAAGCAGCGCCACTACTACTTCCTGTGTCTGTCCCTCCCGGGTGCCCTCTCATGCCCTATGATTACTTTCTGTCAACTAGCTTCTAACTCAGCCTCCTGACCCAAGGTTAATTTTATTTAATCAATGCAAATGCAAACTTGGGGTTCACAGTGTGATCAAATATTCCCCAACATATAATGTTTAAGATACACCGTTTTCCAAGTCAATATTGACAGTCTTGGGAAGTTTATCCAAAGGCTCTAAGATAATTTTCCACTTGTCCTGTATGTGTATTTTTGTGATCTCTTTGATATAATTAACCTACTATATTACTTTTAAACTTACTTATAATGGCACCCAGCTCATGAAGTTCTGATATAATACTCCTAGGAATAATTACTAAATTTTTTATTTTTCACCTGTCAATCTCCATAAGGGCTTAAATCTAGGGCATTTAAAGATAATATGTCATGTATAATAAGTTCATATAAAGTGAGTCACTCCAGGTCACCTCCTGTCATATATTAGGACTGAGGATCATTTTTATAGTGTAAATACAAGAGCAGGGACAGACTTAGAGCTGACAAGCAGGAGTCTTTTAAACATGGTGTATTAAAGATGCTGGGGTGCTGGAGAGACAGCTGGGCAGATGAAGGCTCTTGCCCCCAAGGCTGCACTTCCCGGTTCAGTCCCTGAGACCTAAATGGTGACAGGAGTGTGGGCGTCCCCTGACCTCTACATGCACACACGAGCACACACACACACTTCACATGCAGAAAATAATTAAAAATCTAAATAAAGATGGAATGAAAGCCGAACAGCTAATAAGACATAAGCATACTGGGTACGAGATGAATAGTTTCAGTGACACACAGAGCCAGTGAACATTGTGTGAGTTCAAGTCGATTGGAGTAAACCTCAAACTTATTTTCATCTGTGTTAGAAACCTTCAGGAGTTAGGAAGCCTGCCTGAGTGGCTTCCTGAGCTATTTCCAGTGGTTTTGTCTGAAACTATTAGAACCATGAGAGACTGAGATTGCATAAATTTTGCAGAAGAGGATAATTGGAATCTGGGCCCAATGAAAAGTTCACACAGTCTATGTGTGTGCTGATTTTAAACACAGAGCCATTGGGTACAGGTGCATTCATGTTTTTAAAAAATAACCATTTTTCATAGTTACCTATCCAAGAAAATGGTTTTCCTTTTCTCCTTTTGACAGGCTTAATGTACTCACAAGTACCACAACCCAAAAGACAACGTCTAACGTATGAAAAAATCCCTGGAAGAATGGATGGACAGACCCGGCTGAGGTTCTTATGAAGGACAGAAGGACGGTGTCACGTGCCAGATTCTACTTTATGATAATCCAGTAGCAAAATGATTTAGTATTGATTATATATAAAAGAAAATGGCATTATTTGTACATGTCCTCAGTGTTTTTACCATATATTCAATTTCCATAATATATATTCTGTCCTGGAACTTGCATCGTCTGATCGTCTGATTTATCAATTAGCTTAATAAGCCTTATACCCCCAAAAGTACTCAGATTTACGTGTACTTCACATGCATTTTGTATTTTTAGAGATTTGGGTTTTTCACGTACGTGTATGCGTGTGGAGGGTATGTGGAGTCCAGAGCTGTCCTAAGTTCCCACCATAGTCTTTTTCTTTTTAAGATTTAATTTGTCTTATTAAATTGTGTATGTCTGCACATTGGTGTGTGCATATTGAATGCAGTGCCTGTGGAATCCAAAAGAGGGCATGGGAGCCCCTGGAGCCTTAGTTACTGGTGTTTGTGAGCCTCCTGGTGTGGTGCTAGGAACCATACTCCAGTCCTCAGAGGAGCAACAAGCACTCTTAACCACTGAGCCATCTCTTGGCTCCCATCACAGTCTTACAATCTGAGGCAAGAAGTGAGGCTCACACCAGACAGTCAGAGAGGTTCCACACCAGTTTCCCTAAACAAATTAGAAAGAGAGTAGCAAACGGAAGTGTTTGCAAACTAAATTGTGGGAAAGAAAGGTTCACATTCTTAATGTACAAAGCATCCCTTCAAACCTGGAGGAAAAAGAAACCTAATGGGATAAGTGTCCAGACAGATGGTTCCCAGAATAAGACTAACTTGTAAACATGTGGGATAAGCAGCTTTATGTTTGGTTATATAATAGATGTAGTGTCTATTATATAAGTCGCTGATTCTCACCTATAGTGACAAAAATGATGAGAATTCAGATACCCGGGGTCAGCATGTCTGAGAAGACTACTCTCCTACACTGTCTGTGCAACCTTTTAGAGTCCAGTTTAGGCACCTGCTAATAAAATGTAAAACAACTGTGGAGTTCAGCTCAGAAATTAATATTACTAAGAATTTATCTTAAGAGGCTGGAGTGATGGCTTAGAACTTAAGAACACTGGGGCTGGAGAGATGGCTCAGTGGTTAAGAGCACAGGCTGTTCTTCTAGGGGTTCTGAGTTCAATTCCCAGCAACCACATGGTGGCTCACAACCACTTTGAATGAGATCTGGTGCCCTCTTCATGCAGGCAGAAGACTGTATACATAATAAATAAATCTTTAAAAGAACTTATCTGAAATAAATATCAACTATAACATAAACTCTACTGTAAGTATAACTCGATTAGGTAAAAATTATAGACAATTGGCTACCAGGAGAGAGGGCAAAGTAAATAATGTATAGAATACCTTGAAACTATTTCAAAGAAAGTTAAGTGTGCTCTGACAGAGAGTGGTCCATAACATAGTGAAAATGGACAATTCCACTTTGCTCAAAAATGATTCTGTAATACGGGGGAAACTTGAGCAGCCATGAACTCCACATTCTCTGATGCATGATAATTTGATACCAACCCTGGATTACATGAAAGCTTGTCTTTCATGGGGAAAAGAAGACTAAGAGGATCATTGCACTGCACCCACTAACACGTGCTTGGCAGGAAGGCAGAAAGAAAGGCTGGCATGAGGCGTGACCCACGTTCCCGGCAGCTCAGCGACCCGTTCTCTGGTGAGCGCCCCAGCATCCTCTCCTCTGCTTTCTGTTCCTGTCTATAATTTCATTTATTGATTCATTTGTGCTTCTCTGTCTCTTTTCCTCACACAGAAAAGTGTTGGAATCAGCAGTTACATGGGCTGCCCGAGGGGCTGCCGGGCCAGAAGCAGACATCCGTCGTTTTCAAGATGAAGCCCTATGTAATACTGTATTCTCCTTCACCAGCCTAGGTACAGAAAGCTGTTTTCACTTTGCTTAGATTTACATTCCTATATTTTTGTCACTAATTAAATTTTTTTGCTGTTAAACTCCTCACCTCATTTTCTCCACTGCAATCCGACTGATGTCCTTGTATTCCTACTTACTTATTCATGGGTGAATGCCATCCAGAGCTATTCCAGAGAGCATCTATGGCTGGTAATTGGGGGTTGCTTTTCATGCTATGTTTACGCCTACTTTTGGAGACATTCTACAGGGATTTCAAACCCAAGTTCCACCCTCTCTGTGCAACACTCCAACTCAGCAGCAAACAGAAATCCGTGGACTCCCAAAAGACAAAACCAGACACAAAATACTGTTGTCATGGGAAATGATGAATTCAGCAAAAATTTTATTTCCAAGTTCTTCAAAGATTATTATAAACACAAATTTTCCTTCTAAAAGTATCCCCAATTAAATCAAAGGCACATCACCCCAATAACATACTTGTGACATTAATTCTTTTATGTTGTAATATTTTCATTTTGTTTTTAACCAATTGCAATGTTCTGAATGTAGGTCATATTTTAAACTTTTTTAAAGGCATAAGCACATTTTTAAGAGCTAAAAATACAATTATATATTGTAAACCAAGGGAGCTAAAGAAAGATCTAACCAGCCTCAGGATGGGCACCCTAATGCTACATCAGTTCTTTCCGTTGGCTAAAGAGCGTCTCCTAAAGTCTACTGTCAAAGAAAGACTGTATCTCACTATGGAATGAAAACATGAAACAGTTTTCTTTAAAAATATCAGGATATCAATTATTCCCCCAATTTTATACTTTTTCTTCATTTAGTAATTGTAAATTCTTATGAACAAATTTTATTAGAGTATAAAAATGTTAGGAAAATTACAAATACTCAGTTTTTGAAAATAAACGTTTCCTTCCTAAATTGCAAACACCGGGTAAGTAAAACATGCCTATATCCCAGGCAGACCATCACAGGTTCTGTGAGGGAAGGGATGCAGCTTAGGAAATTTTGAAGTGAGGTTAAAACAAACAAATTTCTGTAGAATTTGGCTCTAGGACAAGGCAACAGAGAAAGGGACTTGGCTGTTGAAAACCGTTTTCTTGGGACGTGGTGGCAGTCACCCATCACCATGTGCTTCCCCAGCGAACTTCTTCCCTGTCAGAGAGAGAGTGGTTGGTTTTTAGTTTAGTGAGATTGACTTGTAAATTACTTCATCGTTTCATAGGACACCTAATATTCACAAAGTAGAAAACAGTACATGCATACAGTGAAATATGTAAGCCCCATCCCTGGACAGACAGCACCATGACAGTCAGTGTAAGACAGTCAGTTACCTTAGCAACCCAATGCACCATTTCCTTCAGTACGCAAAATGTGCCTGATAGCAGAACCAGCTCCTAATTCAATATGAGCAATTTCCTTTTACAAGTATGTGTAAATACAAAATGTGAAATACATTGGTCCCAAGACTAACCATCTATGTCCAGGTTGGGCTTGAACTCTCCAGTTTTCATTTCTTTTTAAAGCTTTTCGGTTGGTGGGTAGGCAAAAGTCGGAGATTGCTCCATTCATAAGATTTTCGCCATTTCCTACACAAAGCCATACCAGGAAATATGGAGGTGTGAGTAAGAAGAGCTTCCTCTTGCCACAGAAGCTTCTCCAACGTGGGAAGCAGGGAGGACATTCACACTGGCAGCCTGCCCTGTCTGTCCCGCATGTTATCACTGAGAATGGGCAGGACCTATACTTTTCAAATGGCCTTAAAGAGGATTCTTTGGTGAATCCTCCCAGAAACTGAAGCGTTTGTAGCACTACAGTTTGTAGGAGGTGATGAAGGAACCACCAGTTTGTTGCCAGGAGTGGGCAGGGCAGCTTGACAACCGTGCAGTAGAACTGCCCTTCCTCAGAGCTCCAGGAGGCTGTGAGGCCGGTTATTTCCAGATCCATCCGCTAAGAAAGCCTGAGACCCTGCTCATCATTTGAAAATACACCGTGTGTAAAGGCTGCTTTGACATACTACCTTTCCATGTCAACAGGTATGGGAACAAAGTATTTCCCTATCCTGCTCATCATTTGAAAATACACCGTGTGTAAAGGCTGCTTTGACATACTACCTTTCCATGTCAACAGGTATGGGAACAAAGTATTTCCCTATCCTGCTCATCATTTGAAAATACACCGTGTGTAAAGGCTGCTTTGACATACTACCTTTCCATGTCAACAGGTATGGGAACAAAGTATTTCCCTATCCTGCTCATCATTTGAAAATACACCGTGTGTAAAGGCTGCCTTGACATACTACCTTTCCATGTCAACAGGTATGGGAACAAAGTATTTCCCTATCCTGCTCATCATTTGAAAATACACCGTGTGTAAAGGCTGCCTTGACATACTACCTTTCCATGTCAACAGGTATGGGAACAAAGTATTTCCCTATCCTGCTCATCATTTGAAAATACACCGTGTGTAAAGGCTGCTTTGACATACTACCTTTCCATGTCAACAGGTATGGGAACAAAGTATTTCCCTATCCTGCTCATCATTTGAAAATACACCGTGTGTAAAGGCTGCCTTGACATACTACCTTTCCATGTCAACAGGTATGGGAACAAAGTATTTCCCTGAGGCTGCTGGATTCCAGGGTGAACAGCTCTGAAAGCCTACCTTACAGTTCTTACCTGGGTTTGACCTACACTTCATTCTGAATCTGCTGGAGGGGGAAGGGGTACCAGGGGGTAACATCTGGGCTAAAATCTAGAGATTTGGGTTGTAGGGGTTTTTTAATTCTGACTCTGAGTTGTTTTCTGTTGCATCCTGGGTCTCATTCTTGGTCAGGTTTGCTTGTTCATTCCTGTTTCTAAAAATGCCTTTGAGGGCTCCTGCTCCTGGTCTTGATTCAGCCCCTCTCTGTCATTTTTTCCCTTTTTCCCAGGAGAATCACTAGTCTGAGTGCTCCAAATGCTGGTTCCTTATGCAGTTGGTTTTTGGTGAGCTTTTAACACTTGGGACTCTACTTCCTTCTATAGAAATGCTTGTAATTTTCATTTTTCCCTATTGGATTTAAAGTTCATTCTTATCATAAATCAATACAATTTTTAAAAACTTGTAGAAATAATAAGACCTCAATGCAAAACACTCAAACTCATGCCATGCCATTCTAATGTTTAAATGCCTTCAGATACACATATGTACATGCACACATGTATACACACACACACACACACACACACACACACACACACACACACACGAACACACACATGAATAGCTACAAAATCAAGGGAGAAACCACAGTCCAAAGCAGACAAAGTTAGCCCCTCTGTTAAGTCCTTAGTCCCAAAAGATGCAAGTCAGTTAGAAACACCAGATAGCAAATGACAACTCTGGGATGCTGTAACAGCAGAGAGAGAATTAAGGTCAAGAAATACTGCACGGTAGGCAGTGGTGGCACACGCCTTTAATCCCAGCACTCAGAAGGCAGAGGCAGGCAGATCTCTGTGAGTTCGAGGTCACCTTGATCTACAGAGTGAGTTCCAAGATAGCTAGGGCTGTTACACAGAGAAACCCTATCTTGAAGGAAAAAAAAGGAAGGAAGAAAAAGAAAGATTGCTGTCAGCTCAGTTAAAAAGCTTGTGTGCATAAGGCATGTCACAGATAGTGTCAGAGAGAACAGAGCTTCTCTTAGCTAGACCTCTTCCATGTGCAGGGAAACTACAGACCAGAATCACCCATCAGGCATTTTGACAGTTTTTTTTTTTAAACTCTGTTGCCCATATCCTTTGGGAAGCTTCATGATAACACACTATGGCCCCAAGATGGCACGGTGCATCCTAACTCACCGGTCTTCACAGTAAAGCACAGGACCTGGGCTCCCGGAAGGGATTGCTTCCAGCTGGAACGCCAAGGAGCAGGGCATCCTTGCAGGCATTCTGCATGCAATACTGCTGAAGCTCAGCGGCTGCCTGAGAGACCTGAGACAAAGCAGAGGACATCCTGCTCACAGCTAACTCCAGTGGCAGGCACTAGACTGTGAGGTGGGACACCATTATCATCATCCAAGGCTGACTCCAGTCACTCATCCCCAGGAAAGACTTCAGTCTACCATGGAGTTCCGGGTATGTCTGGTTTGCTTCAACAAAGGAAAAGCTGCAACTCTGATCCATCTGGAATTCTAGTTTTGAGACTGAACTTGTAAGAAATGGCTCATTCTCAAGCGCCCAGGACAAATGTCTACTATGTAAAACATGCACTGATAATCTAAATTTGCCACGTGAACAAGGCCAGAGCTTAGTCCAGTCTGTGCCAAACAAGAGATAGAATTTTCCAAAAGTACAGCTTGCTGGTTAAGAATTTGGTCCCTGGGGCTGAGGGTGGAGCTCAGTGGTGGAATGCTGGCCTAGCAAAAAGTGAGGCCCTGGAGTGAGTCCCAGGCACAGTGCACAAGAATAAGAGTACAGCCGAACGTCACCGTCATCATCATCATTATCATCATCATCATAAATAACACAGGGCTATTATGTTTTAGCCATGGTTTGAGTGTGTCCTCCAAGGGCTTAGAGGTTGAATTTAATTTTCACTATGAAGGGCGGGAACTTGTGTACGTATTCGATGTACATAGGTGTTTTATTGCACGTACATCTGCACACCAGAAGAGGGCATCAGATCCCAGGAGGATACAGTTATAGATGGTTGTAAGCCACTATGTGGGTGCTGGGAATTGAACTCAGGATCTCAGGAAGAACAGTGAGTGTTCTTAACAACTGAACCATCACTCCAGCCACGAGAGGAGAGGATAGAAACTTAAACCATTACGTATGGTATTTGATAAAGTCCCCAGGGTGGAGGACCCCATGATTAAATACTGGAGGCTCTAGCTGAAGGAGGCCTGAGGGACAGACACAGACACACATGCTCCCTGTCTCCCATCATGAAAAACTCTGTTCTGCCTTGGGAAGTGACCAGCTAAAAGGTCATCAGCAGATGCAACCCCCACTAGACCTTGGACCCTCCAGAACCGTAAGCTAAAATAAACTCGTTTTCTTTATGTTATTCTGTATGTGGTACTTGGCTATTGGCAACAGAAAACAGACTGATAGATTCTGTTGCAGCTGTTTACCATATGCTTACAGATGCTACCAAGTTTCTCAAGTGCCTTGGGGATTTGCTGTTAGTACTAAAAATTTCAATTGTTAGTATATAAAATACAATATAACCAGACTAACGTTTAAGCTAATTTTTTCCATCAGTAGAAACTCTGATGTTTTCACATTAATTATAATTGGTACTAACGGCTTCATATGTTACTAATTTTCAAAGAAATGCAGAACCAATCCTGCCCACGCTTGCTGTGTGTGAGGAAAACAGGTGAGCTGCACATGTGGTAGGTAGGCGTCTCTCCCAGGGCACCTGGAGAAAAAGGGGTCATGGTGACAGAGGGAAAGGGGATGCCCAGAGAAAACAAATCAAGTAAGAGAGGTGAGCAGCTGTCAGCAGGACCTAGGGAGACTGGGTGACAGAAGACAAACCCTGTAAGCTGTCCCAGGAACTTCTCAGAGGCCACTCCAGAAGACTCCTTGAGACAGCAGGCTTTCCAGACCCTGGGGAGGGATGCTACAAGACCGTGCCTGGCTTATGGTGTGTCTAAGTGTACCGAGAATTTCCAAGACTGAGCTCTGAAATGAAGTTGTCTGGATTCTGTAGAGTTCTGCCCAAGTTCACCCGAATGTCCAGTGTGTGGTCATCCACAGTCCTTCCTCAAGTGTAGGTCAGTCTCTTCCCTAGAAAATGTCCCCAAGCTGAGAGATATTTGATTCTGTTTTCCTTCCAGGCCTGATAGTGAGCACTTAGAACAACTCTAGTCTTAGTTCCATGTGTTCTCTGTCAAACAAGCTCGTTCTCTGCCAACAGCTCCAGCCAACACCAGTAACTGCTCCACTTTGGAAGGTGAGGGGAGCCACAACTTTAATCATCCAGGATGAAGTTGTGATTCTCTTGCGCTGACCACACAGCGACCACTAGGTGTCGCTGCTCCTTGCATCCATGATCACTAATAGGCTGGACCGCTGGCCCTCTCTGCAGACTGGGTTCAGCCTCTTCCAGCCAGACCCTCAAGCTCCTTGGCCTCTGACCCCACCCCTACTTCCTACCTCTTACGCACCCACCACCTGGGCCAACCTCCATGTGCTTTCTGCCCTCAGACACCAGTGAGGAAAAAGGAACCTCAAGCGGCACAGGCCTCCTATTTCGGTGTCTAGGTTGTGACTGCTCAGCCCAGTGTGCCACTGTGGACAACACTTCCTCCACCCTTGCTAGTTCCCGTTCCACCGTCCCAGAAGTAAACTCGGCTTCCTGTTTCACAAGACTGCCATGGCCACATCCAGTAACCCATGATCAGCTTCCCTCCTGTCCCGGAAGATGCCACCCCACACCGGGTCCCCGATACATTCACCTCGACGCCCTTGGTTTCTTCCCTTGACAGAACAATGGCAAAATAAATAAATTTTTCCTATCAACCCCCGAAACCCGTGTTATTTTCGAAATTAAAAAGAAAAAAGTTATTTCCTCTTTGAAACTAGTTTTTTAACCTGCCTGGCCTCTTCACGAAGTCCAGAGTGGCTACTGACCCTTATTGGCACTTCTCTGTACTCCATGCCCGCCCCTTTACCTTCCAAACCTGGCTCTCTGGGATCATTTTGTTTATGGGTTAATTTGTTTGTTTACCGCCAGGTCCAGAGTTAATAAGCTACCAAGCAAACTGACTACCATGATACCTATCCGCACACGCTGCAAACCACATTGGCTGCTAATCACACACCAGGCCAACTCAGTAAACACTGGCTGTGTTCACGGGCCTCCATGCGCGCATACGCGCTGGGAATTGAAGCTGGGTCCTTTTATCTTCATCTTTTTTCAATAATCCTTCCCTCACCTTCTCCGGGCAATCTCTTTTGAACTGTCCCTGGTGGCAGGCACGCTACAAGTTCTGCCCTTTGTCTATGTCACACTCCTATATTTTAATGACTTCTCCTGGCCTTGTGCCGCGGGCCTCTGTCCACACAGCTAAATGTCTCCGGGATTATCTGTAAAAAATCCACAGATCCCAAAATGGAGCTCATTTCCCCAAACCCTCCCTCCCGACGCCCCAGCCTGAGCATCCTTCCTCTCTCTCCCTCTCATCCGCCCACCCCTGAGCAGCATCCTCCGGCTGCCCAGGCCGCCAGCGTGTCACCGGCCTGGTGTGGACACACCCACGGGGCCCTCGGACCCTGGCCGCGTCTCGGGGCTGGCTGCGTCGTCGCCTGGCGCATCCGTGGGGCCCCCCAGCGCTGGCCTGGGGTAGGGAGGGGAGGTCGCGCCCGGAGCCACCCCGCGTCCACGCACGGCTCGCGAGCACCCGAGGCCCCGAAGCGCGCCCGATCCGGCAGCGGCAACTTGGGCCGGGCCGCGGCGTCGTGCGAGCCGAGCGGCTCCGCGGGCGGCGGGGCTGGCACTGGGGTCGGGCTGGGCGGGCAGGCGCTCACCTTGATCCTCTCCACGCCGGCCTCCAGCTTGAGCTGCTCCACCAGGCGCTGCAGGGCGCTGACGCTCGCCCCTGAAGACATGGCGGCCGGCGGCGAAGGCTGCGCGCAGCGGGCTCGGCTGGGCGGAACCTCCGCGGAGCAGGGGCGTCGTCCCGGGGCGGGGAAGCAGCCGCGCCCGCCCTGCTGTCCGGGCGCTGGGGGTCCCGAGCTCTGAGCCGCCCGGATCGCCGCTGCCTCAGAACAAACCTAGGTGGCGCCTGCGCTGCCAAGGGAAGGACCCCGGGAGGATTTCCAAGAAAAAAACAAGTTCAAGGAAACCCTGCTCGTTGGTCTGATAGTCACGTGTGTGTGTATGGGGGGGCGGGGGATCCCAGCCTGGCATTGTTGGAACACACCAAATAAAATGAATGACTCCAGCCCCTTCATCCCCTAGCTATGACCATTGTTCCCAGTCTTGTCCTGAGTTTTTGTTTTGTTTTTTAAATTATTGTATACGTTTGTTTTACAAAACTGAGGTCATTAAACTGAGGTTTGGGGGGTTTTGTTATTTACACCTACTATATGACTACGCCGCCATTCTTGTACAGCATCCAATCTGTCAGCTCATACTAAACTGGGTAATAAAAAATAAAAATAAAAAAACAGTTATCGGGTGGGCTTCCTAAAAGTAAAAGCCCAGAGACTTGAAAGCAGTGGTTTTAATTACATAAAAAATACCTTCAAGGCTAAATGCTCATCTTCTGGCTCTGCTCTGAGTGCTGGGCGCATGAGCTTCCATGTGGATAGACTCAGTAGTGCTGTGGGGAAAAAAATTCATATTTTCTTTTAACCCTGCCTAGACAACCCAGAACCAAAAACACCTCTTTTATTATGGAGGTGGGGGGGGTGGATTCCCCAAATGGCTTGTACGGAATCAGCCTTCCCTTAAACTGGTGTTTCTCGCCTTTCTGATGCTGCGACCCCTTCATACAGTTCTTCATGTGGTGACCCTCGACCGTAAAACTATTTTTCGTAGCTGCTTCATAATTGTCATTTGGGAGTCGAGACACACAGTTTATTGGAACCGGCCCTTCTAATTAGTCCTTGTTATGGGAACCCAGTAATTGGGGATTGGGCTGAGGAAGAACCTGACCTGCAGTGTAGCAGCCAGAAAGCCCTTAACCACTTCCTGAACCCAGTGGCTACTTACAAAGGGTTCCTTGCTGAAGCACCCCGTTTCCCTGTTGCTGAGTCCGGTCACTCTGGACAAGGTCACACACACAAACACACCCAACAGCCAGCTTCCATTCAGGGAGATTTTCCCCCTACCCTTAGGCCCCTCAAATTGAGGCAGTCGGATTGACCACCCCAACTCTGGAGCTCCTTCTGGGGTTCCAAAACAGGGATTGATTAGAAGGGCGGGTCACAATAAACTTCCCCCATGCAAGCCTCCCTCTCAGGGTCTGTGTCCCCAAGAACCCAGTCAAGTAACAGTGGAAAATGATTTTTTTCCAAATAATAACTGAGGTATTGTAGAAAGTGACAAAAGGTAGTATAAACAATTTTAAGGCCTTAAGGCAATGGTTCTTCTTACCATTGCACAACCAGATCGTAATTTATTGACAACCCTATTACTTAATACCACAATGAGTATACAATTTGTTCTCTCCGCCCTGCTTCCTGGGCAGCATGCTAAAAACAAAATTGATGGGTCCAAAAGTATTAATATTTATGCCAAACCTGGGGGCACATGCCTGTGAGCCCATGACTTCACTGGCTGAGGCAGGAGTAACTACTTACTGAGTAACTGAACCTTAAATTTTAAACCTGGAAGAAATGGCTGAGGTGTCTATTTAACATAACAAAGCAGACCCAGCTGCCAGGTTCTCCCAGCATCCCTCAGTCCCTCCCTGCTGTGAATACCAGGTGTGGGGTGTGGGTTCACAGGGGTCTGTGGACGTGAGAGACAGAGGCCCTGTAAGAATGAAAGCCTCTTCCAGCTTCAGGGGGGTCAAGTCTTTAGCAGACTCACTCACCGTCCTTATTAGCAAAGGGTGATTTTATTGTTATCCAATTTATACCTTTAACAAGTTAATTTCTGTACACCAAACCTTTTATCTAAGTTCCCCAAAGGGACAATGCCAAATGCAAATTCTCAATTTAGGGGCACCTGGCGTGCCAGGTCCTCCCCACCCCCAACCAAGTTCACACAGGCTTTGCACCTTTAGGAAACTCTCAGGCAAGATTTACATATTTCAAAGGAAGGTAACAGAGACAAAAGACAGATTAAAGCTAGGTGCTACCATCAGAGAATCAAACCAGCTACAAAAATTTGCAGGAGCTCCTCCCTACACCACCCTCTACCTACCCTGAACTCTCCAGCCCAGGGGCTGGGCTGCCCCTCCCCCAGAGGCTCTTCCCTATATAATTCAGACATGGACATGTCCACTCTGCCTCTCTCTCTGCCTCTATGCTCTCCCATATATCTACAATAAACTCTCCTCCACCATACTTAGGAGCAGTCATGTTCTTCCTGTCCTTTTCTTCCTTCCTTCCTTCCTTTCTTTCTTTCTCTTTTTCATGATGATAATGTTATGATAAAGTACGAGAGGAACACACGAGGTAGGCAGAGCTTACTGAGTAGTTTTATTTGGAAGGGGAGGGAAGGGGGAAAGAAAGAGAAGAGAGATAAAGAGATGGAGACAGAGAGAGGACAGAAGAGAAGGGGGAGACAGGAAAGTTGGCACCAGGGGAAGAGGGGGGCCAGAAAGAGAGTGTAAGTGGGCAGGATCTCTTTTAAAGGGGTCCTTTGCACCTCCATGCAGACTATGCAACCATGGAACCCTGGGCTGACCAGAGTACTGCCTGGGTGCAGCATTCTGCCAAGTGACAGGGCCAGGCCAGCATAACGCCTTGAATACTTACAGATAAAAACTGAGTTAAAAAATAATGTGGGGGCCTGGAGAGATGGCTCAGAGATTAAGAGCACTGGCTGCTCTTCCAGAGGTCCTGAGTTCAATTCCCAGAAACTACATGGTGGCTCACAACCATCTATAATGAGATCTGGTGCCTTCTTCTGGTGTGCAGGCACACATGCAGACAGAACACGGCATACATAATAAATAAATCTTAAAAAAATAATGTAGGTTAGAAAACTTTTCTTTCCTTCCTTTCTTCACCCTTCCTTTCTTCTTTCTTTCTTTCTTTCTTTTTTTCTTCTTTCTTTTTCCCAAGACAGTTTCTCTGTGTAGCCCTGGCTATCCTGGAACTCGCTCTGTAGACCAGGCTGGCCTTGAACTCAGAGATCCGCCTGCCTCTGTCTCCCTCTTAGGATTTAAAAGCATGCACCACTACTGCCCAGCAATCATCTTTCATCTTTAAGAAATCGATGTGGCTGGGTGTTTGTGGTTCGCACCTTTAATCCCAGCACTCGGGAGGCAGAGACAGGCGGATCTCTGTGAGTTCAAGGCCAGCCTGCTCTACAGAGCGAGTTCCAGGACAGCCTTCAAAACAATACAGAGGAACCCTGTCTTGAAAAACCAAAAAAAAATAAATAAATGAATAAAAAATAAAAAAGCGATGTGTAAATTTTAAACTTTTCCTATGACATGTACTATGTCTTATGACTCGTACTAACAATTTTCTCACTGATCTGTGTTTATGCCACAAGTATTATACAACTTGCATTTCTGTTCTTTATCTAAAAAAAATGAAAAATGGTATCTTGCATCTTTTAAACGCCTTGAGATGGAAATTTCCTATATTCTTTTTATAGTTTTTTAAACGCACACGCACACGTTTGTATCCCAGTGTTTCTGCACAGCTGTGAGGGCATCTGAGGCCAGAAGAGGGCTAGAATTACAGGCTGCTGTGAACCACCTGATGTGGGATCTGGGAATCTAACCAGGGTCTTCTAGAGCAGCAGATGCTCTTAACTGGGGCTCATCTCTCCAGCCCCATCCTTTATTACTTCTGTGAGCTATGCATCCAAGGTCTTTGAGGCAGCAAAGCCTGCCTACTGATAGGAGCTGGCTATTTGAGAGCCTTCTCTAGCTGCAAGCTTCTTTGGCACCAAGCACAGAGTGAGGAGGTGGGAATATACTCCTAGACTGCAGAACAGAATGGCTGTGCGTTGAAAAGAAAAGCCAGATAACTCAGTGCACAGTTCAGGTTGAGACAGGGATAAGGCTTCTCAGACAGACAGTGAGACCTGGACCTTAAGTACATGCAATGCAGATGACTAAAAGGAAAAGGAAACCGAGGAGAGGGGGACATGATGCACAACAGAAAAGATAGATTCAAAAGAAAAAACAACAACAAACCAAAGACCCAAAGCTGCTCAGCCAAAATCAAAATCACTGAAAACTAAAAACAAAACAAAAATATGTAGACTTTTTTTTTTTTTTGGTCATTTTGGTGAGAGGAGTGGCCGTCATGGATAGGGCTGTAAGGGTAGGAATGGGGCAGGAGGGTGCTGGAAGACTAGGCAGTATTTCACTGTGGTTATGAAACGTGAAGGAAAGGGGACAAAAGGTTCTGCGTCAGGAGCCAAGACAGAAGCTAGCGCTCGGAATCGGAAGACAGGCGTGGCCCCGAGGCCATAGGAAAGAATAATGTGGAGTTTGGTGCAGGAGAAACAGTGGTATTGGTGTCTGCAGACTCTAAGGCGCTGGGAATGTTTGTCCGTGTGAGACATCTGCACAGCGCTTACCTCCGAAGCGACCATATTGGAAATGAAGACTTTGCAGCTGCCAGGGTTAACCTGATGCCTCACTGTGTGTCAGCCAGGAGGCAGGGATGTCTAGTCTGGGCCCCTCTGTCATGACTGCACCCGCTCTCTGCTCCTGACCGCCCCTGTTCTTCTTCCACAGGAGTGTTCTGATTTGAGAAAAGCAGCTGTCTGGGCACGAACCCCACTTGATGCCCCGCGGTCAGAGCGCCTCCCCTTAAGAGGAAGGCGCACACCATCTCCATCTGTCTGCGTGGTGCTGTACGTCACCACAGTGCCTTTTCACCTAAGACCTTGGAATCATGCGCCTGGTGGCGTGAACCTGGGAAGTTTAGGCGAGGATTGCTCCAAGTTCACCTAACAGACTAGACGCTTTCCCAAGCGTGCCAGACTTCCAGGGCTCTGGAGACAAAGGCCAGGCTGCAGCTGAAATGCACCCATCAGCGGGTTCTTAAAACTTTATCAGACCACCCTCAGACCTACTGTAAAAAAAAAAAAAAAAAACCAAAAAACCAAAAAAAAAAAAAAAACCCTTTAAATCCGTAGTTCGTGGAACATCAGCTTGTTTTTGAGATGCCAGTGCCCTAGACCTTCTCCTTTGACCCTCCATCCTATATCTCACCATTCCACTAATAAAAACTAAGTGCCAAATAACGTTTCTCCATTCCCCAGTCAAACAAGGAGGAGTCGACAGAAACAACGCATTACACTGACCTGAGACCACCCAACCGTTGAAGACATCCTCAGTACTTTAAAAACTGAGGTGCTGCTTAACATGTATTAACTACGTATGCTTTAAAAATAGCCACAGTATTTCTCACGTGCAAGCAATCCGTGTAGTTCAGACCCCGGTAAATTATGCATTGCTTACCTACATTAGAGCTGTATGAATTCAGCAGATTTATATCACAGAATCTTAAAATCCTGGTTATTTAAGAAGATCCCGTCATTTTACAGATGAGGAAACCAGAAAAAAAATTAAATAACTAGGTTATTAATATCTGGGTTCCAAGTTTGTCTTTGTCCCAAAGGTGAAGTCATCACAATTTGCCCCATCAGAGGAACTGTGATTCATCCATACACGGCTCCTTGTCTCAGTGTCTCAGATGCAGAGATCATGTTTGATTCAGTGTTCCATGGTCTCACTTTGAGTTTCCACAGAGCTTGCGGCGTTGTGTCCAGGTTGCCCTGTTTCAGGAGCCCAGTTTGCTTGTTTTTGAGACAGACAGGGTCCATTACATGGCTATGTCTGTCCTGGAACTCACTCTGTAGACCAGGCTGGCCTCAAACTCACTTATCTGCCCGCCTCTGCCTCCGAGTGCTGGGGTTAATGGCACTTCAATGGGCAGCCGGGGTCCCGTTCAATCGGTATCTCCAGGGATTAGGTGTTAAATGTTTGCTGTTCTTCTCACTCCTCCCCCAAATAAACCCAAAGGAAACGAAATGGGGTTTCTAAACATGAAAGCAGCAGAACTAAACTAGTTAATTCTCTAAGCTTGTTCTTTTTTCGTGGAAAGTTTAAAGAATCCCTGTGTGCTACCCTGTGTTTAGATTCCAGGCAGGAGATCTGCCGGGTGTTACAGGCTGCAGCTCCTTACAGCCTCTCCCCTCCCTCCACTCCTCCCACACTTCTCCTCTCTCCCGGAGTCACTGCTCCTCGGTTTTCCTCCCAAGGACATCAGCTGAGTTCGGCGTAACAAGATGCACTAAGACTAGGCACAGCCCCTCAGCACCAAGGCTGGGTGAGGTGACCCAGTATGAGGAAAAGGGTCCCGAGAGCATACGAGAGAGTCAGAGACGCCCCACTCCCACAAAGCACGCCAAGCTAACAGCCATAACACATACGCAGGGGAACTAGCGTGGACCCACGAAGGCTCCCTGTTTGTCACTTCACTCTGTAAGCTGTGAGCCCTGCTTAGCTGATTCTGTTTACCTGGTGTCTTTGACCCCTCTGGCTCCTACACCCCTTGATTCCTTTTTAATGGGGTTCCCAGATCTCTGCCTAAGTTCTGCAGCTGCTCCCATCAGCTGTGGGAGGAAGCCTGTCTAATGACAATTAGGCTAGGCACCGATCTGTGAGTGTAACAGAATATCATTTGGAGTCCTTTTATTGCCTCTTTTCTTTCTATCCTAACTCTCAGGGCTACCTAGCCTTGGGTTCTCGGTCATCCATCCAGGCAGTATCAGGCACGGGCTCCCTTTCGTGGAGTGGGCCTCATTGGTTGAGCGCGCCCACACGTTCTCTGCCTCCATTCTCTCCCCGCCCCCAGCAGACCTTGCAGGCAGGATCAGATGGTAGGTTGAAGGGCTGGGTTGGTGTCCAGTCCCACCATCAGAAACTGCATGGTTAAAGAAGGTAAGCCAGCTCAGGCTCGGTATCCTCCATTACTAGGATCCGTGCTAGGGTCACCCCCACAGAGTCCTGGGAGTTTCTACTACACTAGGTTTCCACGTCACTGCTATGACCCCAGTCCCAGTCTTCCTGTACTCTTGCTCCATTTCCCCGGCCCCAGGGAGATCCCTATCCCTATTCCCACCTGCAAAATCTATTTTATTTCCCCTTCCCGGAGAGATCCACGTGTCCCCTTGAGAGCTCTCCTTGTTACCTAGCCTTTCTGGGTCTGTGGGTTGTAGTGTGGTTATCATTTACTTAACAGCCAATATCCAATTATAAGTGAGTATATACCATGTTTGTCTTTCTGAGTAGGGCTACCTCACTCAGGAGATTTTTTTTTCCAATTCCATCTTTTTGCCTATAAATTTCACAATGTTATTTTTTTCTAACAGCTGAGGAATACCTCACTGTGTAAATGTACCACGATTTCTCAATCCATGTGTTGGCTGAGGGACATCTAGGTTGCTTCCAGTTTCTTGCTATTACGTTTAAAGCTGCTGTGAACACCGTTGAGCAAGTGTCTGTGGTATGATGACCATCCTTTGGGTATGTGCCTGAAGACAGCTTAACCAGACTATCACCATGACAGTCTTTACAGAGACCGGTCACTAGAGTAAGGCCTAAGTTTCAGCTAACTGTTGGCCACTGCCCCGTTCTAGGGAAAATCATAAACTGACATCACCCGGGAATGGGCCGGTCAGCATTCATGGAAAATACTTAAAGTTCCAACTGTTAAGAGTAAGAGCACCCGATGTCTGGAAGCCCAGAACATACCTATCCCCTTTCGCCAAGACACCCCTAGGCAAATGTCAGCCAATCAAGTGTCCTATATGATGAAACCCCCCTCACTTCAACCCCTACTATGATTAAAACAAAACAAAACAAACAAAAAACCTACCCCAACTGGGTCAAGCCCGAGCTTGAATAAAGGCTCTTTGATTTTGCATACGGACTTGGACTCCTTGGTGGTCTTTGGGGGAATCTTGAGACTTGGGTACAAAAACATGGGGGAATCTTGAGACTTGGGCATAACATGCCCAAGTGGTAGTTTTCTGAGGCACTGCTCCACATGTCACCAGAATGTAGTCACATGTGTTTGCTTTTGAGACAGGGTTCTCTGTGTGGTCCTGGGCTGTTCTGGAACAAGTTCTGTACACCACACTGGCCCCAAACTCACAGAGATCTGCCTGCCTCCTGAGTGCTGGGAGGTTTGTACCATGATGCCTGACTGTCTTCTGTTTTCAAATTGGAAAGGCTTGTTATACCTAGTTTCTTGAGTTCTTTATATATTTTGGATATTAGCCCTCTACTGGATGCAGAGTTGATGAAAATCTTTCCCATTCTATAGGCTAGTGTTTTGTCCTACTGAGTGGTCCTATTTATTGATCTTAGTATCTGCGCTATCAGTTTTCAGTTCAGGGAGTGGTTTCCTGTGCCAATGTGTTCATGGCTATATTCCCCATTTTCTCTTCTATCAGGTTCAGTGTATCTGGATTTATGTCAAGGTCTTTGGCCCACTTGGACTTGAGTTTTGTGCAAGGTCATAGATATGATCTATTTGCATTCTTCTACATGTAGACAAGTTAGACCAGCACCATTGTTGAAGATGGCTTTATTTTTTTCCATTGTATCTTTTTGGCTTATCAAAACTTAGGTGTCCACAGGTATGTGGACTTCTACCTGGGTGTTGAATTTATTCCACGGATCAACATGTCTGTTTTTATGCTGATACTATTACAATAGCTCTGCATTATAGCTTGAAATCAGGGTTCAGGATTGTTTTAGCTGTCTTTTTTTTTCCATGTGAAGTTGAGTATTATCCTTTCAAGGTCCGTAAAGAACTGTGCTGGAATTCTGATGGGGATTGACGGTGATTGCTCTTCATCTTTAACTGATAGGATGGCCATTTTTACTATGTTGATCCTGCCAATCCATGAAAGGCTGCAACTTATAATTTATAGAACTTGGGGAAATCATAATACACCAATGAAGAAAGGGCTAATAGCAGTTCTGTTATGAAGGTTTTTATATGAATAAAATCCAAAGGGCAATTTTTCAGACTTCAATGACATGAGCTGATGATGAATAGGCAGCGATGAACACTACGTGCTAACAACGAACCCTAACCCATGCTTCTACACTAATGAAGTCATAACCCTAACCCATACCCTACATTAATGAAGTCATAACCCTAGCCCTACACTAAAGAAGTCATAACCCTAACCTACACTAATGAAGTCATAACCCTAACCCATGCTTCTACACTAATGAAGTCATAACCCTAGCCCTAAAGAAGTCATAATCCTAACCTACACTAATGAAGTTGTAACCCTAACCCTACACTGATGAAGTCATAACCCTAACCCTACACTGATGAAGTCATAACCCATACTCCTACACTAATGAAGCTGTAAGGGCCTCTGGTCTTTTCTAGGTGTTTCTAAAATGGAGAGATTTGGTTTGGGTGGAAGATGGGCAGAGTGCATTGAAACATGGTGACTGTAGCAAGCAATGGCCTTTCCTTCATGTTGAGACGTTAAAGCACAGTGAATTGAGGGGAAGGGGAAAACTGTCATCTTTCTGTAAGAGTCCACCTTGATTCATGCAATGACTGTGTCCAAACTCCCACATTAATAACATTCTACAATACAGAAATAAAAAGACAGACAAAGCACCCAAAGACACAGAGTTTTCATTGGCTGAACATCTTTCTTCCCACTTTCCTTATAAACAGGTGTGCTGGTTACTTTTCATTGCCAACTTGATACAACCTCAGGTTAACCGGGAACAGACAGCCTCAATGAGGTTGGCCTGCGGGCACATCTGGGGGATTGCCTTGAGAAGAGATGCAGGGAGACCCGGCCAACTGTAGGCAGCACCATTCCCTAGCAAGGAAATGCTGAACAATATGAGAGGCAAAGATACATTGTCTCCTTGCCTTTGACTGTGGGTGTGATATAACAATGGCTGATTGTAACCTGGGACTGTAAGCCAAATAAACCCTTTTCTCTTTGTGTTGCTTTTTGTCAGGGTGCTTGTAACAGTAACAGAAATCAAACTAGAAAAATACAGGCAACTAGAGAATTCTAGGAAAATGTCGATGTACACTAGTACTGGTATTTCTTCCTGGTCCTTATATGACATAAATTTGTTCACAGATAATAACCAGCAGTGTGTGCTAATTATATGATTCTCCACAACCCAAAAGAAGTTACATAAAACATTTCCAACTAAAGTTTATAGAACTCTAAATAATTATATCGTTTCAGAATCCCAAAACTGCAGAGCCCTACTGACAGCCTGGTCAAATTCTATTTTTGTAACTAGCAACTGAAATTCATTCACTTTAAATAACTGACCTCAAGTCTTTTGACTTATTGGCAGGGATGGAACTCTGCGTATATCATTATTTGGACCGAGCTTTGTGTGTTGGTGTGTGTGTGTGTGTGTGTTCACATGTAAGCAGATGCACAAGTATGTGGGTGTATATGAAGGCCAGAGGACAAGCTTGGTTTTCATTTTTCAGATGCTGTCCACCTTATTTTTTGAAACAGGTTCTCTGGTTTGAACACACCACCATGCCTGGCAATTTTTACGGAAGATTGACTGATGTGGGGAACCAAAGTCACTGCCCACTCTTTGCACTTTACCAACTGAGCTCCCCAGTGCCTGGGTTGAGCTTTTAAAAGAACTAATTTACTTCACTTAGAAATAAAGCTTGCATATCTACTATGCTACACTAATATTTTTTTAAAATTATGTTACAAAGGCAATATGTTCATCTTTAAGTAACCCTACCAGGCAGCATGGTAGATCACAGCCATTTTATTAATATGAAGCAGTGGTGTAAAACTTTAACAAGAGTACTGCATATGAATACATGCAGTCCTCTGATATAGTATCAGGTGTGATTCAGTCAATGCTGTCATTTACTTCCACTTCTATATGAATAAAAAACATTTATACCCTAGTGGTTGAGAGAATGGCACACAGCCATGCCTATCTTCTTTCTAGTTTAAATGCATGTAAATGACCTCATGGGCATTACATTTTCACCACACAAGTAATTCATAAGAAGGGAGGGAGGGAGTGGTACAAAAGACCTTTTCACAAGGTCCCCTCTGCAGAAATGTTTTAGAGTCCTATAATGAGACTGTAATCAAGCACATCCCACAAGGACATGGTGGTGACCCACTCTCCTGGAGAGTTTCTGATCTTATCAAGAGTAGAATTACTGAGAGGGAACTGCAGAGATTCTACAAGACTCTCCTAGAGATTACTTTGAACATACTCAAACCTGTAAGGACTACAGTAAGGACAACATGACACTGAATGGTTTCCTGAAGAAATGTGTGTCCAGAAAGACACAATAATATGATCAAGTGCTGTTGTAACTTTTGTTGCTGTTCTGTAAAAACAGAGACCAGGAAAGAAGAAAAATGTAGCAATATGAAAACATAAGGGAACACTCTTGAAGAAGAAACACTTCACACAGAAGTTTTAAATGTTATCTAATAAAGTTCATGTCAAATTTAACTAAACATATAAAAATTTTAAATGGCAACTAATAAATTCCCATGTCAAATCTTTTTTTAACAAAATTCACAAATAGATTATAAAAATTGAACCATCATAAATGTCTTCTGTAGAAAGTTTTATGGGAAAGCTGAAATTTCTACATTATTCTGTTTAATCATATCTCACGAACTTTAGTTACTGCTGAGACCAGCAGAAATATCTCAAGTAACTGCTATGAAAACGATATCACAATTAAAGTCAGACATAGCAGCGTTCCGTTAATCTTCAATCATCCACAAATGTCAACCGTCCAGGCCCTTCATTCTTCATCCATCTCCGGTATCGCTTCCACCGAGGGTCACTTGCCAATTTTTTCTTTAATTCTTCCTCTTGTTCCTGCTTGTAGACCTATGAGTATAAATAATAAAAACAACTTTATGATACAAAGAGAAACCCATGTTGTTGTATGTATGGAGTGTCTAGTTTTCCAATATAACATCAGGTGAGCATGTGAATTTGCTTTCTGGAAACTGATTCAAATACAAAGTACTTCAAGGCCCACTGCACAAGAGCTACACAACTTCCCTGTTTTGTTTCTGTGATGGGCTCTTACAATGTAGCCCAGGCTGGCCTGGATCTTGCTAAGCAATTCAGACTGCCTTTGAATTCACAATCCTCTTGTCTCAGGATTAAATCCTCAAATGTCTAGGTTTGTGACAGGTGTACAGTACCACACTTGGATATGGCTTGAAGTAGTACTTTTTTCCCCCTTCAGATGTTTTACTTAGCAAAGGAACAAACTGGCTGTACATATACATTTGCCTCTAAATTTAATTTACATCTACTTTTCAAAGACAACTAGCTTTTTTTTCTTAAAATCACCAAATAAGGTTGCATAAATCACATAGGTTAAGAACCAAGAATTTCTAGTATTTCAAGCTTTAGTCGAGTAAAACTAAATGAACAATTTCTTACTGCTAGTTTTACAGTCATGTTAATTTTTTAAAAGTATTGCTTCCAAATAGAAGCAATGACTAAGAAAACCTTGTACAATATAATTCATCCCAATACAATAATCTGAAAAGATAGGGTTTAAAGCAAAAACCTTTCAAAAAGCTGTGTGTAGATGGCAGTGACGGGCGTGTGTGTATATGGATGTTTACACCTGTATAGATTGCAGAGGTCCAGGGCCGATGGAGATGTCTTTTCTCCAGCATGCCCAGTCTTTAAAACAGGGTCTCTTCTTGAACCCAGAGCTCATGGATTTGGCTGGCTGGCCGGCTGGCCAATGAGCATTAGGGATCAACCTAGCCCAGTTTTTCACGTGGTTTCTGGGAACTCAAGAAGTCAGTCATGTATGTAAGGCAAGAACTTTACCTCTCCATTCCCTCAAATAGTTTTAAGGGCTAAACAATAGTACATTATTTCTCATTTTTAGGTAACTTACACACAGGAATGTATTTACTTGCCAACATCTGGCAACTCCTAGTAATTTTACTTTCAATAAAGTTCTATTTAGAACGTTACATACAAAATGGAGTTGACTACAAAACAATGTAATATCTAACATATCTTAAATTTCTGAAGATAATTCCGTGTGCTCAGTGCTTATGTTACTTAACCAATGAATTGTATTCAGATCCTAGGACAGTGAGATTGCTGGAGTCTCCAGCATCATCGTTAGAACGCTGAGCACAGTAATTTCTGTAGCTGACAACAGTGGAAGGTAACAATAAAATGTCTTTAAAGATGTTACAGCAAGTTGATTTAAATAAAAAGCCAACAACATTCAATAATTCAGTAGTACTATTCAGAAGACTCTATGCTTTTTTGTTTTGTTTTAGAGACAGGGTTTCTCTGTGGCTTTGGAGGCTGTCCTGGAACTAGCTCTTGTAGATAAGAACGGCCTCGAACTCACAGAGATCCGCCTGCCTCTGCCTCCTGAGTGCGGGATTAAAGGCGTGCACCACCACTGCATGGCAATTATTTTGAAATAATTATCTCAACAAATATTTTTTTCTGTCTTGCTTTTCTGAAAAGGAACAAATTTAATTAGTGTAAACAACAGAGAGCCATCTACACAGTCTAGGCACACATCACTCCATTGGTTTGACAAGGCAGACTATTCCTAACTTTTACCGGGTTTTTAAGTTAAAATCCATTGTCCCACTATAAAACACAGTAGGGACCCCATTCCTCCCTTCACCCTGGGACTTCTTCTGCAGTGTGACCCTCACCACTGTGGCCCTGCAGCATTGGGAGACAGCACCCACCACTCACCTCGTAATTCTCCTTTATCCAAAGCTCCCGCTTAAGAAACGTTTCTTTCTGATGGTCCTCCAGGCTGTCAAACTGAGACTGGGACATCTTCATGGACTTTCGTATGAGGTAGAGTCTCTCCTCCTCCCCATACTCTTTGCCTTTAATGTTAAAGTTATAGATCCACCGGCAGTACCAAGCTACGTATGAGCACAGGTGAAAAGGAGCGAGGAGGACTTGAAATAGGAGGAGGTCACGTACTTGGGGTTTCTGGTAGCCCCCCTTTATGTCTATCTTACTTTTTATAATGTTCTTTATAATGTTCTCCTCCTCATCACGGATTTCTTCTTTGGATTTCTTATTTTTCCCTTTCTCTTTGGCTTTTTTGAGCAGTCCTTGCTCCTTGGCAATTTCTGTTGCCTGGATGCGGTATTTGGGTACTGTGGCAAGGTAGCTGATTGCTTTGTTGTAGCTATTCCACCAGCTGAAATACTAGAACATAAAATAAAAAGAAGTCATTTTATTAGCAAAATTCATCAAAAAGAAAGCAAGAGCAGTAATACTTGAGGATGCCACCCCTGCAAGAAACCTAGCTGACTAAAACTAAGGCTCTCAGCCAGGTGTGGCGACTCACACCTGTAGCCCCGCACCTGGCGGGAGGATGGTGACCTCAAAAATCTTACTTTATGCCGGGTAGGGGTGGTGGTGGTGGTGGTGGCGTCGGCGGCGCACGCCTTTAATCCCTGCACTCGGGAGGCAGAGGCAGAGGCAGGTGGATCTCTGTGAGTTCGAGATCAGCCTGGTCTACAAGAGCTAGTTCCAGGACAGCCTCCAAAGCCACAGAAAAACCCTGTCTAGGAAAAAATAAATAAAATCTTACTTTATTAGTAAAACACTTCTCCTTTCCTTTGTTTACCAGAGGAAGATTAAACTGCATAACAGTTAATAAGACATTTGCTTTAAAATCTCACAGGGTGTAACCTCAGGCAACTTTATTACTTTTTATCTCTTTCCTAATTATCTACATATCTGACAGGAATACTTATTCGGGACACAAAGCCTCAAGTATATTTGGATTCTAGTCATTTGGCAAGAGAAAATTCACTTACTTCATAAATATATTCAACCTCAAAAGGTTTAACTCTTAGAAAAGGCACTGCATCTCATACAGCACGTCCTAGCTTTAGTCCCTATACTAATAATATCCTGGAATCCACCAGAAACAGAAGAGAGAGGGGGGAAGGGCAATACGTCTACAAGTGCTAATAAGCTGACACATACCACCTCAGTGTTTAATAAGAGTTTTTTGTTATCTAAGCTGAATATTGTTCTAAGAGAAGCAATTTCCAGGGCTGGGGAGATGGCTGAAAGGTTCAGAACATTTTGGTCTTGGAGGGCACCTGGGTTTGGTTCCCAGCACACACAATCATCTTTAATCCCGGCTTCAGGAAATCTACCACCCTCTTCTGGCCTCCACAGACATGAGGCACACAGGTGGTCTCTCTCTCTCTCTCTCTCTCTCTCTCTCTCTCTCTCTCTCTCTCTCTCTCTCTCTCTCTCTCTCACACACACACCCATACACATAAAATAAAAAACTTGACAAGAGAAAAGTAATTCTCAAACTTGCCAGCTACTTTTTCCTAGTCATCTGATGTGCTCTTTTCTCTAAGTGGGCACAAGAAGAGTAGTTAGTTTAAGAATAACAGGGAAGACGTCACTCTAGGCTGAACTTGGATTCCTGTGGTATTTTAAAACCACATAAAGAGTTTGTGTATCTCTTTGAAGCCACTGGTTTTCTAACTGAGCAGCAGCTCCTTCTGGGCATGCAGAATTGTGTGGGGTATTTGGGATTGCTAAAGGTAAGTACTGCTGGCATCAGCCAATGGAAAGCCAGCCTTATTAGGCCATGGTAAGGGTGTTCTTAGCTTTTCCAATGTCATGGGAAATCATTGGAAAGCCCTATAAAAGTACATGATATGCTCTGGTTGTTGTGAGAATCCAAACCCTCTTAAGAGGGAAATGAGAAGAAATAAATAAGTTTGGAGGGTTTTCGTAGCTATGTAGTGATATTTGATGTGACTGTTTGGGAGTGTCTGAAACACCCAGGATGTGGAGCCTGGGGGTGGGCTCTGAGAGCTTATACCCTCCCCCTCCATTTCCAGGTTACTTCCTCTACTTTCTGTATGACAAAATGTGATCAGCCTGCTTCCTCCTCATATCTTCCTCACTATTATGGACTCTCTTTGGAAATTCTTCCTGTTCTGTTTTTTGTTTTTTTTGAAACAAGGTTACTCTGTGTAACAGTCCTGGCTGTCCTGGAACTCACTCTGTACTCCAGGCTGGTCTTGAACTCGCAGAGATCTGCCTGCCTCTGTCTCCTAAGTGCTGGGATTACTGCTGTGTGCCACCACACCCAACTTAATTCTTCCTTCTATAAATTGTTTATGTCATGGTGTTTTATCATAACAAAAGAAAAGTAGCTGATAGAATAACCAACACTAGTTTTTCACACTCCCTGATGACAATGCTAGGGGGCTGGGGGAAGGGTATGTTCTACCTACAACATATATTTGTAGGAACATACCCCTATGTAATATAGCACCATGTACAATGACTATATGAAATGAAAAATCCTAGAAAAGTATTTTTCAAGCGTAAAAAAATGAATCTCAACTGGAAGAAAAATTTGCAAACTGTACATATAATACAGATTTAATGACAACACAAATACACAGGAATACGTATCTATATTTATGAATACACACCTGAAACACTGAAATGGCACACACACTGACCAAAATCACCACCCTAACATCCACTTTTGGAGCTAGGCGCCTGCTGTAGTAGTGGTAGTAATGGCTATAGTATTCCTCCGGGTGATCCAGCATGTAGTCATAATCTTTCCGTGTCTCTTCATCCTGTAAAGTGAGGGACAGTCTATTTCATATGACATTTCACCAAGAGCATCGGTTTATAATCTGATAGTTGAGAATTTTATAATTATGGAAGATACAAATAAAACATTTAATTTTAAAAACTTCCCAATACTCTTAAAGACATGTATACACCTTGTTTTCCAGACTTTTACATTAGATATAAAGATACAATGAAAACATTCACCAAACTCTTCAGTATTTTCAGTATTCTGGGAAAACCCAACAGCCTGGCAACAGTTAACCCTTAGTTAATGCTATAGTAGAAGTTCCTGTAACATCAAGGCACTCTGATATCTACTCAAAAACCACCAAAATATATATATATGGTTTATCTTCTATTTACCCTCACAATCAGATTCCAGCTTTGCGTAGATGAAGCTAGTCTAACACTGAGACATTACTTAGCACAACTCAAAGGTCAAAATCTAGCTTTGTGACCTTGGGCAGAGTACTAAGCTCCTATGAGCCTCATTCTCTTTCTTTGCAAAAAGAAACACTACCTACCTGTCCTAACATTCTCCATGGTTGCCCTGAATTCAAATGACAACACTGTGCAGTCACGTGCTACAGCTGTGTAGTGCTCGTTGTTGTAACACACTGAGAATCCACTTCATAAGTAAGGTAACCTATCTTTCTCATTAATGCAGATCTGCCCAGAGAATTCTGAAGTTTTCACTTGTTGTTTATGATGTGTAGGGTGTGCATGCACATGTCTGTGTGAGTACAGGCGTGTGAGAGCCACAGTGCACGCGTGGAGGTCAGAGGACAGTGTCCGTGTCAGTCCTCACGTTCCACCTCATCTAAGGCGGGGACTCTTCTTGTTCACTGCTGTGTGCGTACAGCTCAGGGACTTGCAAGCTTCCGGGGAGGGGCTCTTCCGTCTCCGCGTCTCCGCCTGCCCTCTCAGTGCAGAAGCACTAAGCGGTACAGATGCACAGTGCCACCTCAGCTTCATGTGGGTTCTGGGAATCTTAACTCAGGTCACCATGCTCACACACAGAAAGCACTTTTATCTCCCCGTCATAATAAAATATTTCTTAAAAGATAAATTTCTTAGAGATTTCTTAAAGGGGCTGGAGAGGTGGCTCAGCAGTTAAGGGCACTGGCTGCTCTTGCAGAAGTTCTGAGTTTGAGTCCCAGGAACCACAAGGTGGCTCACAGCCATCTGGTGCCCTCATCTGGCCTGCAGGCATACATGCAGGCAGAACACTATAAACATAATAAATAAATCTTTAAAAAAAAGATTTCTTAAAAATCTTTTTATCTTTTTATGTAATCAATTTTTAGCAGATGAATGCCAACAATTATTCAACTACCTTGGAGTTATTAAAGTATATATGATACAGTTTTTATCTTAAAAGAAACCTAATTTTCAACTTGTCCCATTTTACAAAAAATGTCATACTAAGACCAAGACAAATTCTTTGATCTTTATATGTTATGCAAAAGAAACCACTGCAAAAATAATAACAACCTAAGAGGATGTCCTTCTAGTTGTTTAAACTGTTCAACGTTTATTGAGCTGTTCCTTCTGAGTAACAGACACTTCAAAATCCAACTCAGTGCCTGTCACTGGACAGATGCTACAAGGTCTATTTAGACCTTGCCTGCTTTTGAGTCCTTCAATATGTACCATCTTATAATTAAAATAAAAATCTGGCTGATGAGAAAACCTTTCCTGTGTTTATTAAAATCATGTATTTTCCATTAAAAACTCTGAACTTTAGTAAGAGTGCTCAATGAAAGCTATCCTGCATTCATTAGCCTTGAAGTATTTCCCACTCTTGCTAGCATATGAAAGGTAGTATTTGGTTAGTCATAGGCATCTTTAAACATGCTATGACCGTATGGAGAGGAATGAAGAACTGTTACATAAGCAGGAGTGGGCTCAGGCTGATCCTGTCTTCAAATTCACCCCTTGTATGTTCTCCTCTGTAAAAAGGGGTTTTTTTCCCCCATGGCAGTCTCTGTGCTATCAATCCGCGACTCCTTATCAAACTCTAACCTAGGAAGGGTCCATCTCTACAGCAGTCCACAGGCAGTTCTGAACACTAACACCCACGTCTCTAGTCCACATCTCTTGAGGTGGCTCACTCAGTATTTTAAGATATCCTTCTAGAATTTCCCTCTTTTTCAACAATGTCCTCATGAGCTTTAACCCAAGCTTCCAACCTTTTGAAATGTACTCAAACAAAACTCTTTTTGCTCCAGCTAGATTGCAAATAATTTTGAATTAGATGCCACACTGAAGTCAGATTCCTGTCACCGTCTGCCACTAGTGTCCAGCTTATTTGTGGCACCCTGGCTGGGGGCACTGACGCCTGGCATAGGAGCACCAATGTGCCATGGGCCTATTCACTCCGCTCCCCCTTCTCTTAGTGAGGCTCAGTCTATTCACACAGATGCACTCCTGCTCAAGCAGCACGCCCAGACCCTCCCCCAGGTCATCGCCTTCTAAAGTTTCTGGACCTGTGACATCAGGTACTGGACTCATCTAAAGCTCCAGCAGCAACTCCACATCCACCCCAGCACCCGCCTGTCTCGATGTAGTCAGAGCTTCCTAAGTCTTGACGCTTTACAACACTATACAAGCTCACAGGGCAAGTCTGACTTCCCTTAGAATGGTTTCTTTTTCTAAGGGACACCATAAATGTAAGTGCCTATTTTGGTTTTTAGAGGTAAAAAAAATTGACCACCTCCTTGCTATAGCATTTATTCATTTTACTTAATTTTCACTGTAAAGCCTTTTTGTTCCTATATAAAATGAAAATAATCTTTGAACTGAAGCAGTCATGAAACGTAAAAGATTCAAAGTTGGTACAAAGTGGAAAAGGAGTGTTCTCAAAGACTAAGGTCAAAAGCCTATTCTTAAGTAACCTACAAAGTTTAAGACACACAGATACCAAGAATAAGTAGCCAAAGACAGAATAAGAATGACTCTTCTAGGGGGCCAGTTTAGAGAGCTAAGGTATATTATTATTACAATAGCACTTTCTTCCCCTTTAAAACATCTTAGAACTGAGGTTCATAGGTTTTTTTCTTGTTCTTTTTATTTATTATTATTATTTTTGTTTTGTTTTGTTTCTTTTGTTTTTCGAGACAGGGTTTATCTGTGTAGCTTTGGAGGCTGTCCTGGAACTCCCTCTATAGATCAGGCTGGTCCCAAACTCACAGAGATCCGCCTGCCTCTGCCTCCTGAGTGCTGGGATTGAAGGTGTGTGCCACCACCACCCCTCCAGTTTTTCATTTTTATCTTGAATGTTTCTCCACAGTCGAGTTAAATTTCCTTGGCATGCAAGAAGACCCCAACGCTGGCCAAACTCACCTACCTAGCAATCCCTCACCACTCCTCTTACCCACGGCAAAACCACAGTTTGAGTATGCTGTAGCTTCTCTTTCAACATAGTCCCTTCTTTTAACCCCATGAGCTCCTAAAAGTCATGAATGCGACTGCTTCAAACAGCCTTTTGTGTGGATGGGGACTGAACCCAGGCCCTTGAGCATGCTAGACAAGAGCTCTACCACTGAACTACAATCCCTTACCGGAACACTCTTATCACACTTAATGCCCAGTTATTATAGCACTTATCACACTGTAATCATCAGGGTGTATTTTTGTTCTTAAGTGGGAATTTGTTAGAAGGTAGGTAGTAGGGTGTTCATTAATCTCTATATTCCTAGGGTCTAGCTCAGTGCCTGGCAGTCAGTTTGTCATTTCAAAGCTATGTGAAATGTTAAAGAGTTTTTCCTCCTTATGCATCTCTCTCAGGCCACACAGGTCTGAACCCACCAGCAAGGCTGGGTGAGTGATTATGTCACAAAACCCTCAGCTTGACAGAAATGACTGCTTGAATTTACAGCTTAAGAAAATATGCTAATGTGGCTAAAACAGCTTGAACAGTTTAATATCTTACCTTTCAATAAGGTAGTACTTTTTCTTTCAGCAATATTGTGGATCTTAAGGTCCCAGGGTCAGGAGATTCCAACTTCTTTCCAAAATCAAAACCTTTATACTTGTTTCTTCCTCTCTGCCCTGAGCCTTGACAAGCAGGGCAATATACTCCTTGTTTCTAATTTCTACAGGAGTAAGTGGTGCTTCTGCTGGTCCATCCATTCCCAATCCTCTTGGGCATATGCAGGAGGACTGGAACACAACCACCAATATCTAGATCAAAAGTGAACAAAGGAAACCCACAAGCAAAGCAGCCCTTCCTTCTCTCATGAAAATGATCACCCCCTCCCCAGAGCAAAAACATCACGTCCTTGGCTTAAATAAGCTATGCATTGCTTACTTTCAACAAACATAAATTGCAATATAAGATATTGCAACCAGTTTTTTCATCAAAACACTCTATTATACAGAATAAGGAAATGATTTTCTATGGCAAAGGCCAGGAATCAAGAATGTATGAAAATGTAATTATATTTTGTTCATTCTTAAAAATACATATTGATTTTTATTAACACACACACACACACACACACACACACACACACACACACACACACACTGATGCTTCAAAAATAATGTTCCCTCACATTTTTTTTTCAGGTCATTACATCCTGCTAGGGAGCAAGAAAACTCACTGCTATCAATTTTATGTTCTTTCTTGTTCCCTGCCCTCTAGTCAATCACAAGTGCAACTGTCTTATGTGTCTTCTCAAGCCCTAGTGAGACATCTGCTTTCCCTGGCACCTCCTACTTTCAACTCCATCTTGAACATTTTCTAAGTGTAACATAAATGTCTCCAATTCAACAAGCTCAAAAGCAAGTTTGCTCTTTCATGTCTCGGGTAATAGTATCAACTTGAACCCATGACTCCTGTTTTTAAAATGTCCTCTTTTTCTATTCAGCAAATAAGAACACAAGGAATTAACCCCCTTGTAAAACAGTAAGATAAGGTCTTAGCCTCGAGAAGCCTCCTGTGTAGAAGAATCTGGCAAACAAAAAGCACAGTTTCGTGTGGGCTGAGTAAGTTTGC